TTAGTTTATATAATATTAAGATTTTTATTAAAAAGTTAATTAATAGCTATATTTCTTTAGTTTATATTTTTAATTCTTTTTAAAGTTATAGTTATTAATATTAATAGCCTTTTAAATATATTTAATAAATTTAATTTTACTTTAATTTTCCTTAAATAATTTATTTTTAATTTTAAACTTAATGCTATTATAATAAACTTTTTTTTTTATTTCTTTAGTTTAGTTAACTTTAATAAGTAGGTATAAAAAGGTAATAGTATATTTAAATAAAGCTCTTTTTTATTATAAAAACTTAAGTTTTTTTTTTACTTTTTATTTTTTATTTATAATTTTAAAGGATTTTTTTAATTAATCTTTAAAGATTTTATAATTATTAAAAATCTTATTTATTTAAATTTTTATTTTAATAAGTTCTTTTTTTATAATATTATAGTCTATTAAAATAAGTTTAAATTATTTAACAGCAGTTCCTATAAGGCAGTTAGCTATAAAGAAAACTTAATCTTTATTATCTCCTAGGTTAATTAAAAAATAACTAAAATAAATATTTAATTTAGCAAAAAATTTATTTATTTTTAAAGTATTTTTATTAAAGTTATTAAGTTACTTAAGCTTAAGAATTTCTTTTTTTTTCTTTTTTTTATTCTTTAGTTAATCTTTTAGCTTTTTAATTTATAAAAAAAGTAAATTAATTACTATTTACTCTAGAGTAAGTAGTAAATATTATTCCTAAGGTTCTTTATATATAAAAGTAATTCTTTATTAACTATTGCCTGCTATATTTCTATTATTGCCTATAGGTCTAGTAATTATTTAAATAAAAGTTATTAATATATAACAACTTAGTTACTAAAGTCCTATAAAAGTTAATAGCTTAAAAGATTTCTAAAGAATAAACTTAATCTTATAGTTTATATTAATAAATAAATTAAAAAATCTATAGATAATAATAATAATATAATATTACTAGTAAATAAGCTTTTAAAAGTATATTTTAATCTTAATTTTATATTAATAACTAGCTATTTAAATTATTTAAATAAGTATAATAAAATAAACTTATATATTTAGTTATATAGGCTAGATTTATAATATCTTATAGGATTTATTAATAAATCCTATTAAGTTAACTTACTGACTTAATAATTGAGTTAATAAGTCTTTTTTAATTAGTCTATTGTTCTGACGTTAATCCAATTTGGCCTACCCTGTAGGCCTATTGTTACGACTATAAGAGTCGGGTCATAATAATTAGACTTTTCTTATAGTCTCTTCATACTAGTCTTTGCTTTATAGCCAAAATTAATTCATCCATACTATCGACGTACTTCATATCACAAAGGCCATTCATTCAAATTAAGACCCATATCCCAGTCAAAGTCAACAAATGGCTCATCAGCAAGCGTAGCTGTCTGTGGGGCATCTAGAGCAGCGTTAGCGTCGCCAGCAGCCTCATCCGCTGTTCGCTGCTCTAAGGAAATGCCATTGTTATTTCCCATCAAAGATGTAACTTGGGCTGTATAAAGAATTGGTCGTTAGTGGAGTATTTCAAACTGGAGGATCAAATGAGTGAGAGCGAGAATGCAAGCTTACTTTGTCGCTTATTCTCATAGGGATTTCCGGATCCACCAAACTCTTGTCGCCACCACCAGAGGCAGTCGAAGACAATGCTCGTAGACAGTCTACTCGAAATTCGGCTGCTCAAGCTATCTATTCTGCCATCTTTACCCTTGAAAATATTTTGACTATTCCATAGCTGGCTGAATATGGTGGCACCCCTCGCACTTAGGTCGTTGTTTTGTATTGATCCTTCGCGCGCAAAGACTATAGAAGCAAAATAGGCCTGCTCCCCTGCCTCAAGGTCTAAATGGGGTGCAAGGTCGCTGCGATGAATCTTCAAGATTGTGCAGGCTGCTAGCACAATGGTCTTTTGAACGAAAGCAGGAGCAATTTTTGCAATGCTTTCTTCTTCTTCCGATCGCTGACAGACCATGTTAACGAGATTGCAGGCAACAGCGTAGAGAGAAATGAAGCCTTCGGGTTTGCGAAATGCCGCGTCTACAAGGAAGTGGTATGCGAGCAGATATAAGCGATAGCATTGGTAATAAATGGAGTCTGGTTTTCTCGGAGGTCAGAGTATGGACTCCATAATCAAAATGAACAATAATTCTCACCAATAGTTGTCTGCAACTGTAATGCAGCTTTTGTTAACTGTGTATCGAATAGACTAATGCAGGAGAGCAATGATGAGGAACTTTTGGAGTCGGTTCCACTGTGTGCTCTTTTCAAGGCCTCAGTTGCACAAATCATGATTTCGCACAATTTGAGATAACCTTTTGCTTCCTGTGGAGAATCAAGCTCACAGCCGCTGTTTCCATCATCTCCTTCAGACTGGACTGGTAGAGTGAGTGCGTCATTCAAGCCTAGAGGCATAATTCCTTCGCTAAGCCCGATTCTAAGGATGGTAAAGAGTGAGCCAATGACTTGTGTTTGTGTAGAGTATGGGAGAATCACATATAGCTAGTTGTACAACATTGTCTCCATAACATGCGTCGATTGTCTCTGTCACACCTATTACGGTTGAGTATCGTCCTCGCAAAATCTTGTCCGACGCCTGTAATGTGTAGCCCAACTACCATGGCGAGGTGGAGGGCCGCGCCTGCAAGCACAAGACTGATGCCTCTGTGCATGGTATCAATAGGAGTTGGCCACTGGCATAATAGCAGTATGCCTTGTATTGTCTGGATAGGATTGTTCCGTTTTTCAAGCGCTGCGAATGCCATTGAGTTTATCCTTGGGGCAAGTCGCTCCAACAAAGTTGGATCTCCAGCATAGTGTCTGCTTCCTATATAGACAATCATCCATGACAAGAAAGGTGACTGCGCAAAGCACTGGTTTGGACTAATTATGGCATTATTAAAAATGGGCAAGAATGGAGCATAAAGGCTGAAGAAGCTGTGGATAGTTAGCATTGGATTCCTGCATCGGATGAGCATCCAAGAGCTAGAGCTAGAGAGTCGTACAGGTTGAAACAGTCTTGAATTTTACGGCCGGCGACATCTTGTCCGTCAAATACTTGAGAACTAGTCGGAGATTCGATAGATTGACTTTGCGATATAGAAGATTGGCGATTGTTGCTCGTTTTAGATATCGAAGGAGATGTTTGGGGCTGTAAACTGGTCGCTATTTCCTCTGAAGCTGGGGTTAGAGCTGGAACAAGCAATGGGCCCGGAACCGGGTCTGCAACCAGAAAAGGAACAGAAGCCGAAGCTCCATCAACCTCGACCCCAGAGAGCCTTGTGGGGCTGTTCGACCTGCTGTCATTGTCTTCATCCGGATACAGGCGCTCGGCACGGCGTCTGAAATCTTCAAGCTCTCTTTGCAGCTGAGCTTTGGTTCGTCGAGATGCCGGAGTGGGTACAATAACGCACTCAAGCTGCATACGGCGACATCGTGTACAGGGATTGGGGGGCTCGGTATCGCATTTGACCTGATGATAGGTGGTTTATGTCGGCTATTGGAGCGTGATGGAACGGTCGTGGTGATTCTGCTTACCTTTTGCACTCTACACTCTCGGCATGCTGGACGACGACGTACTCTGTCTGGAGGCATCTCTATCAGACAACTTAACTTGGAGCAATGAGAGAGACGATGCAATAACATCGGTAGCCGAGATTGACCGATTGAGGTGAGAGCTGAGGTCACGTGCAGTCTATGGCTTATACTAATGTTTGTCTAACGCGGCAGTCATTCGCGAGCAGTAAATTGATTGAATACAAGGTGTAAATGAAAATGTATAGAAAATAGTTGAATGTGTCTTCACTCCAATCTACCATTGCATATTGGCTGCTTGACCACTAACTTCCACTGCTCTCCTGGCATCTTTGGTGCTGCCGCAGATCATGTCAAAGAGCTGTTTGCCAAACTTCTTGAAGGCAGGAGTAATACCGCCTGCTTCCACCAACTCCCTCTCCATTGCAGATAAACTAAAAGAAAAATTTTGTTCTCCAACAGTAAGGCTATTGGTTTCCAGATCAATGCTGATTTCTTCGCCGTCTGCAGCAGCTTTGTAAAAAGCCGGGTCGTCCATGGTAAAGCCTAGAAGACCGAGGCTGGGCTGATTGCGGCCATAGATAAAGGCGAAGGACTCTGCAATGACACATTTGATACCGCATCCTGTGTGAGAAGAGAAGAACATCAGTACCTAGACCTATGAAAGGGAGAGAAAAAAAAATATAATAGGTACGACATACCAAGTAGGGCAGATACGGCCTGCTCTCGTGAAGAGCCACAGCCAAATGCTTTCCCCGCCACTACGACGTTAAAGCCTTCTTTGGCTCGAGATCGGAAGGCAGGATTTGTAAATTCAAGACAGTGAGCTCCCATTTCTTCATTGGTCCGAGACGAGATGAGGAATTGGGCCGGTGCCAGCTGTGATTGTTAGTCTTGTTGCACGCATTATTGTTGAAGGGGATTGACGTACGGCATCTGTGTCGACAAAATCTCCAAGCCTCTGAACTTTCCCGCGAATTATTGTATCTGCATTTCCATCGTTTTTTACACTCTCATTTGTTTCTGTCTTGTTGATATCACTTGCTTGCGATATGGATGTAGCCAACAGATTGGCATCCACTCCACCCTCGTTCGTGGCCGCTTCTCCTGGACTTGCTGGTTCGACCCAATTTGGCTCTTGTCCTGATGATATTCCTTTCAATGACCCACGGCCAGTCATCATTTCCCACCTTTCTGCTGGGATTTGGTCAATGAAATGTTGTGGATTTGTCACTGCCATCAAAAATGAAGATGCTGCTACTGTAGCAGCGGAAGCGAGATTTCCAATGGAACCTTGCGTTTGTTATTGTCAACATCTGTTTTTTGCATGTTTATGCCAATAATTCACTCACCTTGGCCCATACGGTTCTCAAAGTTTCTGTTTTGAGACGATAGCCATACTTCGCCCTCTAAAGCTCGATCCGCAGATATGCCCACGCAGTAGCTGCATCCTGGAACGCCGATTTCAAAGCCGGCGTCTTCATATATTTGCGCGAGCCCCAAGTTCCGCAACCTATCGAGAATAGGAAGGGATCCGGGTACCACTTTTCGCTTCTTGCCATCTTTCAGCGGAGAGAGCCCCATCTGTAGCCCCTGTTCTAAGACCAATGCGCCGAGAATAATATCTTCCTCTGCCGTGGTACAAGCTCCAATAAAACATCCGTCCAGCTTCATGCCCAGAACATCCGTCATTGGAACAACGTCATCAGGATTCGGATATTTAGCCACGAATGACTCAACCTTGGACAGATCGATAATATGTGATTCAGCATATGCCGCACCCTTGTCCGGGCGAAAGTAATGCGATGCATTCTTATGCCGCGCCAGCTTTCTTCCATCGATAAATCCTTTAGTTATGTGATCAGGAGTGAAGATTCCTGTAATGCCTCCAAGTTCCTGCATACAAAACATCTTCTGTTAGACATGACTCACAAAAATATTCACAGGTTCCATCAACGTACAGTTGTCATATTGGCAATGGCAAAACGCGCATCTGGGGAGAGGTAGTTGAGGCCGGTTCCTGTATACTCCACGATGCGATCTGATGCGACTGTGTTTCGCTTGAGTTGCTGCAGTACATATAAAATGACATCTTTGCCGCCGATACCACGACTCGGCTCTCCAATGAACTCGATCTTTACGACCTCAGGCACCTTGAACCATGTTTCTCCGGTAATGAGACCCATTGTGACATCTGCGGCTCCAAGTCCAATGGCAAGGCAGCCAACCGCACCGGAGGAGCATGTGTGGGAATCTGAGCCAATGATGAGCATACCTGGCTGAGCGCGCTCTCTAAAAAATTCGGTATGCATAATAGTATACTGAATTCGTCATCCGAATTAGTGAGGCCTTTGTAGCGAGAGCCGTTCGGCTTACATTCATTCCTTGATATTCTGTCATTTTGAAGACTTTACGGGCTTTTTCAGACGACTCGATGAGCTTCTGAACAGCTGGAACACCTTTGACTCTCGGCTCCACGACGTGGTCTCCGGCAAGCCAGAAACGGTCGTTGCGGAAAATTCCTGGACTTCCCAAGCGGTTATATGTGCCTTCCATACCCTAAATAGTGCTTCAGCTCGCATTTATTCGCATGTTTGAGCTACTGAGCTGTCAGATTGGGGATTATCTTACCGCCCAAGATGCTTCCGAAGCCATGATCCAGTCTAAGGATACTCGTATCGTCTCACCGGTTCTGACGTAGCCTTTGGAATCGACGGCATGCATGGCAAAAATCTTTTCTGTGACAGTCATCGGTGGTCTATCTTTTGCGGCTGTTTGCTGGACACTCTGTCCTAGGGATTTCTTTCGATCATCCGAGTTCAGCGCTTCTAGCCCTACAATGTAGCGTATAAGTGGTTGTACTAGTAGAAACCATAGATGTCATCTAGAATTGGATCTAAAGCTCACTTACAAGCGGAAATAAGAAAGGTGATCTCATGTATATCGTCTCCAGTCGCTTGCTCGTCTTGCTTCAGTCCAAGCCCTCCATAATTGGGTGACGTTGAGCATATCTCAGATATTTGGGAGAATACTTGGCTTTCTCGGAGAGCAGCCTGTTCTAAGAGAATGAGGCTGATGTTTCCAAGCAGAGTGATGGGGTGTGTAGCATGTTGGGTTACTTTTTCTTCGTCAAGTTTGACATTCCGAGATTTGAAGAGCAGACTGGACCATTGGGATAATAGCCCGCTAGGATTAAACATATCAGCCATCTTGACCAGAGCAAGCACACTAAATAAATGGTATGGAATAGTTTAGTATGGGATTCAACCAAGGATTGGTATTTCTTCTACTTATATAATATATAATCTGGACAACTTTAATGACGTATTATGCCTTAGGGCTTTATCATCATGATACAGATAATAAAGGCATTGCCGGCAACGGACCAACGGACATCCCTGCTCGGTGAATCTCGCCAAAAATACATGCCGCCGAAACGGCACCGAACTGCCCGAGAATTGGACAGTATGAAGATCAACGACGTCTTAGGAAACCTCGGGCAGTATAAGATATCAGTGAGGAAGATATATATGGAGGCGTGCCATTTTGAGATGTTAGAGTACCAGATTTCGCAACATTACCATGACGAATCAAGCTGAACAACAAACGGCCGTGGCTGCGCTTCGCGCCCAATTGGCTGACCCCGAGAAAATCATTGTGTGTCCAGGTGTATATGATGGATTTACAGCTCGTATGGCACTTAAAGCTGGCTTTGACTGCTTATATATGGTCAGTTATTGATCCATCACGTCGCGACATTGTGCATTCTGTACGCTTTTAACGTAAACATGCACTCACATGTTTCCAGACTGGAGCCGGCACAACTATATCAAGGCTGGGAATGCCAGATCTTGGTATTGCCACTCTAAATGATATGAGAGATACAGCTTCTATGATTGCTTCCTTGGACCAAAGCGTGCCTCTCATCGCAGATGCGGATACTGGCTACGGTGGTAAGTACTATCCTTGAACTGTGGTGCCAAAGCAGCGTCGCCTTGCATAATTTCTATCTTTATTTAACATGATATTAATTGATATAACTAATAATTCACGTTTAATTATATCATTAAGGCCCTGTAATGGTTGGACGCACTGTTGCGCAGTACATGCAAGCCGGAGTGGCCGCGCTGCATCTGGAAGACCAAGTTCAGTCCAAGCGCTGCGGCCATCTCTTGAATAAGCAAATTGTTTCAGAAGACGAATTTTTGTCTCGAATCCGAGCTGCAGTTCTGGTGAGAAAACAGCGTGTGGGTGACATTCTTATCATAGCTCGCACAGACGCTTTACAGTCTGAGGGGTACGAAGTAGCAAGAGATCGGCTCAAGGCTGCCATTGCTGCTGGAGCGGATATTGCTTTTCTTGAGGGTATAAAATCTAAAGAGCAAGCAAAACAGATTTGTTTGGACCTAGCGCCTACTCCTGTCATGTATAATAACGTGCCTGGAGGAGTGTCCCCCGACTTATCTGTCCAAGAAGCTAAACAGCTTGGCTTTAAGCTGATTATATATCCTGGATTGTGCCTTGAGCCTGTTTATGAGGCCGTGACGAAGGCTATGCAAACGCTGAAAGAGGTTGGAGCACCTCCAAGATCTGACTTCAATAGCAGTGGTTCTCCCAAAGCTCTATTTGAAGTGGTGGGATTACACGAATGTATTAGGCTTGACAAGGCAGCAGGAGGTGCATCATACAACGGTGGAGTGTAAAGCCCGTTTCTATTGGGTTTCGTCTATAAATTCAGTAGAAAGTAAATAATTCAGTCGTTATTTGATGTTATAGTATCACTATCGTTCGCTGGTAGATGCACTCTCTCCACTCGGCGACCGCTGATTGATTTCCTCTCGCTCTCTGGACTTTACCTAGATCCGTCCGACACTTTTCTCTAAGTCACCGAAGATACTTAAATCCGTTTATACTTCTTTGGCATATCAGCCATATATTTAATTGATTTAAAATATATTTCTATCAGTTCCGGAAACACTAGAGTTTATGTCCGATGTAATCGACCTCTCATGGTGGCCACTACAGATATCTAGAATTTAAATTTTCGGCCGAAGAATGTTTCGGCCGAAGCTCGTGCGTGTGGCATTATAATATACGGCGACAGCGGTTGAAGAGAAGTTAAATCTAATCCATTATCACCACATCTCATTGCTTTATACAAACATATCTTCGCGAAGTAAACTTAACATCCACCGTGTCTGAAATCTCGAATAAGAAAGGCCCCATTAGTCTCGCAGGCCCTCTTTTCAAGCCCCGATGAACAATCCGGCAAATCGCTAGGCCTCGTAATTGTCTACCCTGGTGGTGGTGTCAAAGGGCAGACTGCAGGAACATATGCAAAGAGGCTCTCAGATGCAGGCTTCACGACCCTTGTGTATGATGCGGCCTTCCAGGGCGCCAGCGGAGGAGAACTTCATTTCCTTGAAGATCCAAACGGCGTGTTAGCGACGTTTGTGCCGCCGTGGATTATCTCCAGAACCCGGATTCTGTAGACTCAAGAAAGATTGACGTGGTAGGGATCCGCGCTGGAGGTGGCTACGCAATTGCTGCAGCCAAGGGGGACCATGGATTAAAGGCTGTGGCAACTGTCAGCATGGTGAATATTGGAGACTCTGCCAGACTTGGACGGGATGCCGATGAGGGCCCGTCAAGAAGGTGGAAGCTCTGCATGCAGCAGCGGCTCATATCACAGCTGAGGTGAAAGGTGCAGAACGTGCCAGTGCGCCGTGTGTGCCTCCGCAGCCTGATGACAAGACTCCTCGAGACATGAAGGAGGCCAGCGACTACTATCTTACACTGCGAGCACAGCATCCTCGTGCTGCAGAGAAGATGCTATATCTCATCTTCCCACGCCTTCTCACTTTTGACGCATTCCACCTTGTAGATATTTTCCTGACGCAGCCTGTTTTGCTAATCGCTGGTGCAGAAGCTGGATCACCGTGGCATACCGAGAAATTAGACAAGCTCTTTGGGGGCGCTACTAGGAAGTTGATTGTTCCCAAAGCAGCTCACATGGACTTTTTATGATAATGAAGCTTATGTCGGGCCCGCCGTGGTAAATGTTCCCGAGTTTATGAAGAAGCACTTGGCTTGAACGCATAATAGGCCGTAGGTGCTGGCATTAGAATTAAATAGGGAAACCAAATGCCTTTGTGTAGCTCTAGTATTAATGTATAAACATAATAATTATAAATTCTTATATATTCCAGTATAATAAAATAGAAGGAAATTTCAACTTAAGCACTACATAAGGTATAAATACAAGGGCCAGTTTGAATTGGATTTGTAGTACATATAAATAATAGTTGTGGTAGCAGTGATTTGCATAAACACCTTCAGGCCTATACTCCAGATCCCCGGGCTTTTACGCCAAAGCCAACCAAGAGCTTCCCCTTGTTACCCTTTACACAGCGCATTGAATCAGCTGTAGTAAATTGATAGTCTATGCTCAGTATTAATTTAAATGGCTGCTCCGTAATAACACTACAATACTACACTCAGAGTAGCAACTGTAGATAATATTCAAGTCGACTTTAATGAGGCTTGGTTTCAGTGGATGCGTTTGTATTTGTGCATGCTAGTCCAGAGGTGCGTTACTTTTGTCAACAAAGGACTGTTCATTAGAAGATGCAGCAAGCCAGATAAACCATAACCCCGTCTAATAGACAGATTCCGCTAAACGGATAATTTAATGCTGAAGTTTCATATATTTGTTCCTATACTTTTACAACAAGGGTACAAAATATTGTTCAGTTATACATACGAAGAGCTGAATAATGACGAAATATTCCCTTAAATATGTCAGAGTCGTTTCAAATAATTTTGACAACCAAACGAATCAACTTTAATAGCCACTCTTCCACACTTACATTCGCTTTTTATCAATTTCTTTTTCGTGGGAGTGAATCAGTGACATCTGTTTATATCGTCATAAACCTACTCAGTATGATTTTTTGAAGAGACGCTTTAACCGAACGAGAATATTGTCCGCTGATGATGGCAGCAGCGACCATCACGATGATGCCAAGGCGAAGGTCGTCCATAATATGAATAGATATACATTGTGCTTTCCCGAAATGACAGGAACTAGTCTCATCTAACTTTTATTACTCGAAAATAGCGGTCGGCCTTACCGAGATGACTCGAATAGCAGTAATAAGATCATCAGTTGGACGATGAAAGCCTCCATTAGGATGCTTGCCGTTGGTCATTTGTGGGTACGCGGGCCGGTGGGATAGCTTGCTCCAAGAAAAGCATGTCAGAGAGCCACTAAACTATTACTATAGCACATCTTTATGCGAAAGGGGAATGAGATCTTTAGTTTCAGTCTGACAGCATTATTGGAGATTTCAATGGCTGTGCAGCAGCCGATCAGTTTAAGCTTCTTGGCTATCAAGGAGAGATGGGCTGTGTAAGCCGCCTGAATACATGTATACATAAACGTCACGCAACCTTAGATGTGGCGCCCATTTTAGTGTACCAAGGCATTGGAAGCAGCAGAAAGCTGGGGCAGATCGATCCCTCTAGCTATAGTTTGACAGCGGTTAACCGGCATCGGATTTTGTCGTCCTTCGCCCAACGGCAGCTGGATTCCAAACGAGGCTGCGGTGGCTGACGACTCAGCCAATGGCGAGCTCCACGAAGCACCATCGGTCTGGAAAGTGGCCTCAGTATTCCGATGCTAGTGACCGAGCTAACCAGGCCAAAATGTTAGACAAGTCCAGAACAGTCATGGCCGTCAAGAACAATGTTTAGAGGTCGAGAGCTGAGGCATCAGATGTGTTGATGGCGCAAAGTTTATCGCATTCGCCGATATTGAGCAGCAAAGTCCTCTGCCCGTAATAGCCGCACGGGCCGAATATGCAATAGAAGAAAAAGAAAGTTCCAGGTCGTTGCGCAGCTCTTTTCTGCGTCTCTTTTGTCTTTCATTCATAAAAAATATTTCTTCGCTCGATTGACACAAAGTACCTGCGGAAAGCCGCGCAATATCTAATTCCAATCATCAGCGAAACCAACGAGACTAGCGATAGGGGGCTTCGTCCTAGTCCCGGCAATTGTCTATGCAATAGCGACCATGAGCTTCAAAATAATAGCCGTTCACTTTCAAATGATTGGAGATGATTGATTGACTCTTTTGAACGCACCATGGCCTTTCCGGGACCTCCGCCACCTGGAATTGATCTCAATCAGGACAGGTCGGCCGATCTTATTGGAGCATGGACCTCGACTTGGAGTATGGCTGTAATTATGGTAATCCTACGTATCGTTTGTCGAAAATTGGTAAAAGTCCGATTATGGTTGGATGATTGGCTTATTATCATCTCTTTGGTATGAACTGTCCCCCTCTCCTAGACTTGCTAAAATCTCCCATGTTTTGCCAAAGACAGCTGTACTAACAGGATTGCTATAGCTATTTTCCGGCGGATTCATGTTTACAGTTAGCATATATAGTAAGTTAATCGCACATATTTGTGTGTCTCATGGCTAACAATCTCTTAGTGGTGGGCAATGGCTTCTGCAGGCATGTATGGGCTGGCCCTCCAGAAGCTGGTAGAGACTGGGCGTTGGGGTTGTTCACCACCGAATTCACTTATACAATCGGACTCTGCTTGATCAAGTTGTCAATTATTGCTTTTTACTGGCGAATATTCACCACTCGGCTTCTTGATAAAGTACTCCTTGGAATTTTAGCCGGCATGGTTATCTGCTGGGGAGTTGGTTCTGTATGCTCAAGCCCTTTGCTCCCCCTTTGCTCCCGATCATTATGATGGTTGTTCTTGGCCTTTTACGATTAAAAAGCTAACATATGGGCAGATGTTAACAACGGTATTTCAATGCATTCCCATATCTGCTCTCTGGAACCAATACGACCCGGTAAACCCGCCGGATCCATCTACATTCGAATGCAGTGTCAAGATCCACCCCCTTTTTATTGGAAAGTCTGTTCCACATATCGCGACAGATATACTTATTTTGATCTTCCCAATACCTTACATTTGGAATCTTCAATTAAGATTGTCACAAAAGATTGCAATGTCTGTCATATTCGGCTTGGGAACTTTGTAAGGCTTTTTACCTCCAGCAAACGTACTAAGCCAATTCTAATAATGCCCTAGTGTCACGGCAGTTTCAGTTGTTAGACTCGTCTTCGTCCTTGAGCTAGACCTTAATTCCGCTGATGTTACATGGGAAGAGTGCAGAGAAATGATATGGACTGGAGTTGAAGTGTATGTTGGCACTGTCTGTGGTATGTTTCGCCTCTCTCGTATTTCTTCTTGTCTCTCTCTGTGAATATGCTGCTAATAGAAGCCAACCAGCTTGCCTACCATCTCTTAAGCCGCTATTAAATCTCATCCTCTACCGCAGCGTTTATCCGAAGTCGTATTATGGATCCGCTGAATCCGATGCACAAACAATTCATGAGATAGCTGAAGCGGCCAAGCGGCGGCGTCAACAGGAACGTCGCGACGCAAGCATCCCAAGCGCATATTTATTTGATTCAATGAGAAGCGCCATGGATCCACATCCGTTTGAGCAGCTTTCCGAAGTCGAAATCGGTAGCGTACACGGTGATATTGAGATGGAGAGGTATGGGGAGAGTTCGAAAGGATCTCACCCGGACCAGACGTAATGCCAAAACGGCGCATGATTACTATATACACCATGAGGCCGTAGTCGTAACAAACTGGGAACACAAACAACAAGTGGGCTGACACGTCTCTTACTCTGTGGGTTTGTTGCAAAACAGGATTTAGCCATACATTAGACATAGAAACATAGAGAATATGCTTGCTTACCTGTAAATTTTGAAGAAGCTCAGTGGAGAAGCAAGGATTAGACAGTGGTACATCGATGGTCAGCTGTGGCTAGCAGCAAAGAGCGCTACACCACGCGAAGCATTGAGCCTCAGATCTCACCACCTAATTACTTCCTGAGCGGGGCTTTTCTTCAATGCTTTGTTATTTATGCAGATATAAGCTCTCAATTCGAAAAGCATTTCCACAAGGCCGCGGCCATCATGAGCATTCCTACAGAGCCTCATTCATGCGACCTCTGCCAATCACGACTAACTCTCACGTTCGGCAACTATTACTCGGACCAGGGCTGGTTTGAGCTCATTGAAGAAAACTACCACGCCACGGGAGAAGCTTACGTCTTTAATATCGCATATGACGAGGCGCTGTCATTGGCCAATCAAGGCTGCGAACTATTAAAATGGTTTGTGACTCTGAGTCGAGATGATACTCACTCTGAGAGTTACCTGCGTGCCTACTTTGCGCACAACTCCAGAGAGCAGATGGTGCTCGACTGGGTAGATGAGCTGGACGATCACATCGACGGCGGGACATTGGAGCGGAAATTAATGGTTTGTGCAGAAAAGAGGTGAGATTTTCAGCTTTTATAATTCTGAGTGTAACTTTTTTTGGTATATACACATTTTCTGGAAACTGATGATGGGTAATAGTGAATTGGCTGCGAAAGAGATTGCTTGCAGGCCGCCCAGCTTATTTCCATCGTCCAGAGAGACAATCACGACGATCAAAAACTGGCTTCAGGAATGCTCTGAAACACATTCGGAGTGCCAGCAACTTCATCAGAAAACAAAATCTCCGGGAAAGTTGGCTTCGGGACCGCGCCGTCTGCTGTGTCTTTCAGGAAGCACTTCACATCCCCAACTACGGCTTCAAGAAAATGATCCTGGCAGCGAAGTGCCTCAGTACATTGCTTTGAGTTATTGCTGGGGCGGAGATCAGGCCTTTAAGCTCCTTAACCATCTCGTACAGGTATGGGTAAAGGATATGCCTTACACTCAGTTGCCGCAGACAATTAAAGATGCTATTCAAGTAACCATGGACCTGGGCTTACGGTATCTCTGGATCGACGCGCTGTGCATCATACAAGATTCAGATCAGGATAAAGCAGAGCAAATATCGCGCATGGCAGACATCTACGAGCAAGCGTACGTCACCATCTCTGCTGCTAGAGCCACTGCCGTTCCGGAAGGTTTTCTCCATAGTCGATATATTGCCGGAGAACAAGGGTTTCGGATGCCATTTACATGTGAAGATGGACAACCAAGTGCGGTGATACTTTGGCAAGGCAGAGAGCCAGATGCGTGGGAGCCCATTGACAAACGATCTTGGTGCCTCCAAGAATCCATTTTGTCACCGCGAGTGCTTGAATATGGCACACATAATATTAGATTCCATTGCGCTCGAAGTCGTGCAGATGAATCCCATTTACAATCCGATGGCTGGATTGGACACTCCAAAACATTCGCCCAGCTAAACATGTCCCATCCGCTTACATCCAGCGTCGATTGGACGAGCTTAGGAGACCCTTATAAATTCATCCAAGTCTGGCAGACACTTGTATCACATTATACGCGCCGCGGTCTAGGCTGGTACCAGGACAAACTGCTTGCCATCTCGGCCATAGCCAGGAAGATGAGCCGCAGTGCCAGCAAGACTTACATCGCAGGGCTATGGGCGGAATATCTAGGGGAGCTACTATTATGGCATCCGAACCACGGCCCAGATGCGAAAGAAACGCCGCGTCGACACGCCACTTATGTTGCGCCGTCGTGGTCATGGGGCTCATTCAGTGGCGAGATTGACTTTACGTTTGGATCGACGATGCATTTGCTAGAGCTTGTGAGTTACGAGGTGGTTACGACAATGGCAAATGACGAGTTCAGTGCGGTGACGGATGCGAGGCTCGAGATTAAGACGCTATTGTTTCGAGCGAGGATCCGAAAAGGGCTGTATGGGTGGTCTTTGTGGGATGAGCAGACCAAGGATGAGGTGGACGGGGCTATAAAGTTTGATGTAGTTGAAGGTGAAGTTGACGGTGAAATTGCGGAAAACGAGGAAATATTGCTCGCATTGGTTATGACTCAAGATGCGCTGCTTCTAAAGAAGAGGATGCAAAATCCAGGTGTCGATTTATATACGCGAATCGGGGTATATACAGAGGGACAGCGCATGACGAACAGGCCGCAGTGGGAGATGGGCCAAGTAGTCATCATATAAGCAGCATCAATAGATGTCAATAGCTAGAATAGACGATTATTACGCCTTCACAGCTGCAAATGGTACAATGGCCACTTCCCCAATCTCCATTCTGATCCTTCTCCTCCCCCACACGGACCCTGACAAAAATAGCGTCGCACGTGAAATGGTGTGCGAGGCCGAGAATCCGCCGCCCCACGCCGATGGCCCGGCTCTTATAGCAATTACAAAGCGAACGCTTGTCAGTCAACATCTCGTCGAAATTAAAATAAACCTCAAGTGAGTGAGAGGTCAATGCTCTCATTGAAATTTGCTTAAATTTTTGCTTGTCTGATAGTCAATTGGTATTGCGGTTGCTGCTGCTGCTACTTTCCACAATGAGGTCGCATCAGTCCCTCCGATTGGCCGGCCGGCGACTGCAGCGGCCATTTCTGGCATATACACCAACATCACCACTAACCTCATCACCAGCTCATGCAACACATTCTCGCCCCTTCTCTTCGTCGTCTTCCCTCTTCTCAGGCTCTCCCGCGCCCTCAAATCCAGCCCTCAACTTCCCCTGCCTCGACAAGATCGAATCTCGCTCCGCACAGCTCAGCGCCAACCCAAACTCCCGCACATCATCATCCTCCTCATCATCATCAACCGCCGGCCCTGAGCCCTCATACACTTCCGGCGTCACGCTCAACTACCACTGCAAAGATCCTCTACTACTCGACTGGGGCGGCATCCTCCCTTCCTTCAACATCGCCTACGAATCATGGGGCCAGCTCAACGCCGACCGCTCCAACGTCATCCTCCTGCACACCGGCCTCTCCGCCTCATCCCATGCTCATTCCACAGACGCCAACCCAGCTCCCGGCTGGTGGGAAAAGTTCATCGGCCCGGGAGCCCCCCTCGACACTGACCGCTTCCACATCATCTGCACAAACGTCATCGGTGGCTGCTACGGCTCGACGGGCCCCAGCAGCGTCGACCCGGCCAACGGCGAGATGTACGCCACGCGCTTCCCCATCCTGACCATGCAGGACATGGTGCGCGCGCAGTTCCGCCTGCTGGACCACCTCGGCATCGACCGCCTCTACGCCAGCGTCGGCTCTAGCATGGGCGGCATGCAGTCCCTCGCCGCGGCGGTGCTCTTCCCCGAGCGCGTCTCACGCGTGGCCACCATCAGCGGCTGCGCCAGAAGCCACCCCTACAGCATCGCCATGCGGCACACGCAGCGCCAGGTGCTGATGATGGACCCCAACTGGAACCGCGGCTTCTACTACGGCCGGGTGCCGCCTCACGCGGGCATGAAGCTGGCCCGCGAGATTGCCACCGTGACGTACCGATCCGGACCCGAGTGGGAGCAGCGCTTCGGCCGGCGGAGGGCCGATCCAAGCAAACCCCCGGCATTGTGTCCGGACTTCCTCATCGAGACGTATCTCGACCACGCCGGCGAAAAGTGGTGCCTTACCTATGACCCCAACAGCTTGCTGTACGTCAGCAAGGCCATGGACCTCTTCGACCTCGGTTACGAGAACCAGATCAGCACTCAGGCCCGTCGAGCCGCTCGAAAGGATGCTCTCGCTGCCGGCGAGTACTCTGAACCCGCTGATCCTCAGTGCAGCCTCACTCTGCCCAGCGAGCCCTACCAAGAGCAGCCCGATTCATTTCCTCAGAGCAGCACCGAGTTTGACGGAAATTCAGACTCTCCCTCATCACCAGCAAACCCAGCATCATCGCGACCTCCCGAAGACTTGATCCACGGCCTCTCTCCCCTCCGCGACATCCCCACGCTCGTCATGGGCGTTGCAAGCGACATCCTCTTCCCGGCATGGCAGCAGCGTGAGATCGCCGAGTCTCTGCGCTTGGGCGGAAACCGCAGCGTCACACACGTGGAGCTGAGCGAAGAGACGAGCTTGTTCGGCCACGACACATTTTTGCTAGATTTGAAAAATGTAGGAGGGAACTTGAGGCTCTTTTTGAACTAGACGGTGGAAAAAAGGGGGCCGGGCGTAGGGTGCAAGGAATCGAAGTTTGTCTAGAGCATTGTATATTTTTCTTCTTTACACAAATTCTTCTTCCAAAAGTATAGTATTTCTGGAATCTGCTTTTTGGCACATGTGGCGTTGTTGGATCCAATATTGAACATCATCCTTTTTTTGCAACATCCTATGCATAGACACACACACATATATATATCCTGTGCCAAAAATTCTTTCGGTATACTAATACATTCCTCCTCTTACAAACAGAAAACAGTACCCCTTTCCCTCAAGTAGCCAAGCAATTTCTCCGATAGTCGACTCAAATACTAGCCCAGCTGGTAATTATGGAATGTACGTTCAGTACAGATAGTAACGAATGACGTGAATGAAAATAATCTTTGGAAAAAAAAAGCCAACGCTTGCAAAAAGCATCAAAAACAAACCCTGCTCCGTCATCCCATGTCAACACGGTCGTTAAGTACAACAAGAAAAAGCTAGGGAAAAAAAAACAAAGAGAAAGGAAATATGATTGGGCGAAAGGAAATTTTTTTTAGATAAATGTCGATCCTGAAGGAGAATACAGGTTACCTGGCGTTAACGGGCCGTTCTCTCTCATAAGCGGTGGCAAGTTGATAGGCGAAGGAGTAGGTCGAGGAGGTGCCTTTTTAGCTTCAACGCGTATCACGGGGCTTGATTTTGCGCTAGGGATAGCCACATCATGGATGGAGAATTCGTTCGCAAGAGGAGACGGCTGGGGAGCATCATAAGACATCTCAAACGACTTGGCCAGATCTTCGCTCGTTGCTGATATAGCCTTTTCAAGAGATGGGAATGTCGGGCTGGGAATTCGCGGCGCAATATCGGATGTAGGGGTAGTGATGGACCAGCTTGGTGACGCCGGGGGTTGACCCTTGGGAGTGCGTGGTGGTTTTGGCAGTGGAGAATTTCGTGAGTCTGACCGGTCAAATCCAAAGCCTCCCCATCTAGAAAATGGGCGAGGGCTTCTTTCCTCAGTCCGTCTCTCTGGGGAATCTTCAAAAGGAATCTGTGGTCGAGGAGGCTGTCGCCCTCGAGGAAGGCCCTTCATAACTGGAAACTCGCCCTCCATAGGGGTTCTGGCAGCAAAAGGGCTCAGGGGCACTCGGTCCAGGGGCGGTCGTGGCGCCTCCTCCGTCCGCATATAGTTGCCTTCATCCGCAGCAGGTCCATATGGTGATCGGGGACTCTGCGATGGGGTCTCCATTCTGGCGGCAAGACTTGGAAATGCGGCCTGCTGTAGGGGCTGTGGAGGGCCGCGAGCACGAGATTCCGTCGTCATCCGTGAATTGAACCCCTGAGGCGGAGTGGATCCAAACGAATGCAAAACTGATACCAGTGTGTTTGGAGCTTCCATTGTAACCTGGGAGGGTCTTCGAATGTTGGGTCGAGGGCTTTCGACGCCAGCGGAAACAGCAGAAGGCGATGGCAGTGGCTGCTGTGCCGATGTGGACGGCAAAGGATCATCTGGTATTGCCACTTGGAGTCGCTGAGGGCTGAAAGGCCGATCGCGCTGATAGGGCTGAAATTGCCTTAGTGGTGCCATGGGTGATGTTATAGGCGATGCAATAAACGAATCAATTGGGGATTCAATCGGGGATGCAATTGGCGACGCCAAAGATGCCGTATCGCTCAGCTCGCTTTGCTCATCCTGTTCACTTAACACATCGCCAACAGCACCTTCATCTGCAACACTCACGCTGTTCTCGTTTGTCACGGCACTTTTAACATCTTCAACAGGCTCGAGATCCTTGAACGGATGAGGTCGCTCCATTTCGATTGGGCTCTCCATCAGCTCTATTCCAAGCGTTCCAACAGCAACAGTCTGCTGCTTCGCCACCCCATCACCAAAGTCGAAATCGGAAAAGTTACCTGCGAGGCCTTCTACACGACGCTGCTGTTGTTGCCGGTGCTTTTCCAGCTCTTCTTCCTCGACGACCATTGTAAAGCTTCTTCTCCGAGAGGATATAAATGTCAGGGTATCCCGTTTTGCATGAACGTTTTGCACAACTGGCGATCCTCGCGTATCTTCGCTTTTGCGCGATGTCGACGAGGATGGGCTAGGAAGCATAGCAGGGCCAGGTCCGTTGGCGAATCCCGGGACGATGAAATGATGCTGGGTCTGGTTTGTGCCTGCGTCCTTGTTTCCCTCCACATCCGCTTTTGCGCTTACCTCTCCATCAGTTGGGGACATTGGAGGCCATTGCTCTTCGGTTTCGACCGACTGAGGAGGTGATGGATATCCAGCGTATCCAGAACCTCGAACTCCAACGTCGGGCCCAGGTTCACCAAATTCATCAAAGTCCTCCAATCCAACCAGGCTATCAGAATCCTTTGAGACTGGTTCCGGCTCTGGCTCCAACTCTGGCTTCGGCTCTGGCTCGGTTCTCAGATCAGACTGACCCAATGGGCTCTTGCTACCCGTTGCATGTATACTGCCGCCTCCATTCTGACTTGTGGATTTTGAAGTACTACTTCCAGACTTCTTGTTAAAACGAACGTCGAGAGGATCTACCAAAGCAGACTGTCTTGAGCCTGCAGGCAGTGGCGGCACCTTATCTACACCAAAAGGATTCGGTACAGCAAGGTTGGTCATACTCGCATTCGGCTTCATCCAAGGTTTAAAGCCCCCGCCGTCAAGGCCATGCCGCAGGCTGCCCATGCTGGGTTTCCGGGGCGCTGTGAGATCGACCATGGATAACGCTGCCGGCACACCTTTGAGGGTGGCGCGCCAGCCCAAGTTTCGTGCAGTCGATGTCGAGGAGCCCGACCGGGAGGAGGTCTGCTGGGGCGGTGGGAATTTAAAGCTGTCATTGGGGCTGTTTTTGCCATATCGCTGATTTGACTGCTGGGCCACTTGCTTTTTGTCGGGTTGCTTGCTCCTGTTGCAGATAAAGTGGTTAGTTGCGATGGAAGTCCCTTGAAGCACATGACAAGAAGAACAAGTCGTAGGGCATCTTACTGAGACTTCTTTTTGTCGCCACCGAATCTGAGGCCGAAAAACGACACCATCTTGAAGCGACTGCGGTCCAAGCCAACACCGTCAACACTTCCCCAAAGCAAAAATTCACCCGCTTATTCTGCAGTCTCGAAGTCGTCGTCTCTGCCTTGGCTACCCAAAGGTGCCATCAACAGACGGGAAGGCTCCCCTCTCCCGAGGACACAATACGACTGCGATTTGCCCTTCCGATGTAATGAATGTATAACGTAGTATAGCCTGGTTTGGCACAAGAGTAGGGCGTATGTCCTGCCCCGTTGGAGCGTCGTATGCGCTAATCGGCGCGCTATCTGCGATTGATCGTATGTTTCTCGTCGTAGGCCTGTCTGCCTGTCTATAGCATCTCTAGGATTGAAAACTCGGTGGGAAAAGAGCGAAAGAAGGAACGGACGTGCCCAGTCTGACACAGCGGGGACTGCGACGGCAACAATAGAAAAACGAGGGAGAGGCTACCGCGCGACCAGCCGCAGAATGAATCAACAAAAATAGAGGCCGAAAACAACGAAGTCTCAGAGGGCCGGCGACTCGTCGATAGCAGACTGAGGTCAAACAGAAAAGAGCGGGAGACGCCTGAGGCAGCAGGCAATCCGCAGCCTGAGACGCTACCGCAGCGCTGTGCTGTATTCCGCCGGGCACATGCAAGGTACTGCTACCTGTTGCTAGCACCAGTCCGTCGCTGGGCTCGCATCAACTCCCAATAATAACTGTCTGGCCAGGGCCGCTGTCCCTCTCCATGAGGCGGCCACGGGGAAGCGAGGATACGAATTGACGTGTGCCGCCCAGCCGGCCAAGGGCAGCAAAGTCCCAGTACCGGCAGCAGCCTGATTCGCAGTGCCTGTGTGTGCCTGGGCCTGTGCTCGAGCTACACACAAGCTCTCGTCCACGGCCCCCGTCTGGGTGGATCGAGGGCATCGCGTCTCGCAATTTGCTGGTGTTCACAGCTAATTGAAGGTGTGCAACGGCGCTATTGGCAGGCCCAGGACCTTGCTCAGGGCCCCTGGCAGGGCCTCCGGGGCTCCTCCGCGCGCTAGACAGCGCTATGCCGTTTGGGACGATGGCGACGCGCAGGGCACCCATCCCTGGAAAGAGGGATCTGCTGCGAGCGATTTGAATGTAGGTACCAGTACGACCTTGGAGAGCGCAGAGGTTGCATCGAAATTAAAGTGTGCTGGGCACTACCTACATAGTAGTAGTAGTAGTAGTAGTACGTAATCACCTATATAATATGCAAGACATACCGTACACACGATCAAAAATTATTTGCCTGCATAATGATGATGGCACACTACTAGGTAGGTAATCCTCTAGAAGGCTGCATGTAGAGACAGAGAGCTTGCCTACCTAGGCACCTGCCCAATGGCCCCAGTCCCATTTGCTCGCATAAACTGGCGCTTACCAGTCATGCTCGTACTGGTACCTGGCGATGACAGCGGCCCAAACGAGCGACTCTCACCGCTAGCGTCCACTGAAAAAACGTTGTCCGCTGTCTTCTAGCGCCAAGGGCCCCTTGCAGCAGCCCTCAATTGGCGGCGCCCTTGCCCTGGCGCCCTCCCGGTTGGTTGGCCAGTGCCCAGTTGCCCCTGAAGCTAATGCACGTCTTTGGGCGGTTCGGCCGTTTATGCACATGTTTTTTTTTTCTCACTGCTTGCATGGATGGCTGAGAACAAAAGAGGGGGATTCAATGAAAAGACTAACATCAAGAGAGGAAAGAAATGGAAGAGAGAGAGAATTGCGTGAGGGGAACATTCCCCGATTCGATTAGCACGCAGCGGGTATCAGATGCTAGCAAGAATATGGGAGTGAAGCACCGCTCGAGATACTATTAGAAGTACATGCAGCCAAGGTCATCTACCAACGATGAAACTCTCTTGTTGCAGTTTGTTTTCCGAGCAAACTTCGCTACAGGTAGTGCCACAGAGCTTGTAGCCGCAGATACGACTCAAACCGTCCATATCAGGTATGAGTGGGCTGGACCTCTATTGCGACTGAACACACGGGTCGCCTTGACAGCGATCGCTGCATAATAATAATAGCATAAGAGCATTCTCCACTATTAGGTCATCCCAATAAATCGCTTCCATGCTCATTTCTCCATCTGCGGTAGCCAAGACTTGCCCCCAGCAAAAGCAGCCGTCCGCGTAATCCAGATAATAGAGGTACATGATGCTAGCAACTTGCTGCTTACAAGAACTTACAAGCGTTGCCCCCACCGCGTGTTCACAAGAGAGTAAGCCGATTTCGTGGTGTAAGCAAATGACTATCTTCTCTATTTCAGGCCAATGAATCAAAGGTATGTTTGCTCTTTTACGCTAATCAATTTACAGAGGAAACAAATTCGCATCAAAACACCAAACAAGAACACATCAAATCCGGTTTCCTGAAACGCCATCAAGATCATACCCAAATCCTTGTCCACTGACGTAGAAGAGCAGTCGCGCTTTATAGCAAAAGCACATGGACAACATCGGGCCCTTCCTCTTGTCTAATCCACAGCATCACGGCTAGTGTCAGCATTTAAGCCTGCAGCTCCGTATCAATTACAATCTTTCCCATCTCTGAAATCCTTGCCGGGATAGCCAGCCAGCGAAATACCCACAGGCATGGGCGCATTCAAGCGATACAATAGTTGCTCGCCATGTTCTCAGCAACATCCTATGGCATCCTATGCGAGCTGGATCAATGCGGGCGTATTGTTATGGGTGAATGCTCGTACTCCGTAGAAGCATAGAGCACAAAAGCAGGAGTCCAAAAGCAGCCAATATAGAGCTGCTAATGTCTTGTATCCCAGGCTACGGCCAAGTCGAACGGTAGCCCTGCATTCAATCTTGCATCCCTGAGATCGACTGATGCGCGGTGAGTATATCGCTGCCAACCGGACTGAGTGCTGTTAGGTTGCGGACGTAAGTATCGGCTTAAAGCTGGTCAAGTAGCTTCCGTCTTCTCCTCTCAAGGAGTTCCATCTGAACATCCTCCAGCGTTGGTAGCGCCCAGCCATGGCCATCGCCACTGTCTCCAGGTAACGGTTCCCAGCCGTCGGGAGCTCGCTGCGGCCCTGTTGCTAGGAGATTTGCCAATGCCTCTCTTTCCTTCTCGGCTTCGTATTGTAGCAGCGCGTCGTCCTCTTCATTTGGAGCATAGCCGTAATATGCTGCATCCACATTTTTCCTCAAATCTTTACTTGTTTCCAGTGGCTTGTCCTCTTTCCTCTTGGATTGAGCGGCTTCAAAAAGCTCCTTGACTCCTGGCAGCTCTCTCGCTCGCCCAAAGTATTTGTACCCTTTTCCTCCTCCCGGTATTTCTCTGCCCTGCTCGTCGTACATCTTCGCTCCTCCTCTCATATAGTTGGGCCCGCCTAAATTCCGTATCTGCACCTCCCACATGTGCTTCTCGCGCATCAATTTGTTGATTTCATCGTTGAGATCGCGGATCTGGTAGTCGCTCAACACAGGGTCCTGGATCCGAGACACCTTGCGCGAGATCTCTTTGAGGACTTGACCACGCCATTTCTCGCACGAGGGGATCGAGTCGACTTCGGTGATGACCTTGGGGCGGCGTGTTCGTCCGGCGTCAATGATGCCCAAGTCTGCTGCTTGCGCTTCACGGAAGCGAAAGAGCATAGACTGAGCTTTTTCCGAATTTCGAGCCTATCAAAAGTGTCAGCACAATCCACGCAAAGAAGGTAAAATGTGTCTCGAAACTTGCAACTGCTTACCATTGTGACAGCTTGCTTGGAAGACGAGGGCCAAGGCGTCGCAAAAGTCGATGGCTGCTTGGTGGCGGAAGCGCACTCGGGAACATTGTTCAACGTGCACTCGCAGCCTTGTGCAGACGCTGTGGCTGTTGTGCACTAGCCACACAAGTATCCACTAAATATGTTCTCAGCCTCGCACAAAACCGTCCCAGCTCTGACGGTTGTCTAATGGAGCTTACCCTATCTTGCTTCCAACTCGTCATTGAAATGTAGATCAATTCGCCGCTTAAACGCCATTTTGATACCCAAATTTACCATCTCACAAGATTTTACAGATATGTTTCATTATATCAACTGATAATGTTTTGAATCGGATTATTTTTTGGAGCCGAAAACCTAATACTCCTTCAGCGTTCCGCTACGCATAGTCAGCAAGTTTTTATTAATAGAATTGTAGTGCGAATAATAGTTTAGGCCACATATGCGGCTCTCTCTTGGGAGTATATGTAAATTAGTTCCAGCTATTAGAACGATTATATAGCAATCTATATAATATATCAGGCATCTCCACATTAACATCAGAAGTCCTGATTATGTTGCCGATCTATAAACGGGATAAATGGCCCGCTATACCTGTCTATAGATGTTTCTTGAGAAGAAACCTCAAAAGGTGCCCGAAATCAGGTGGTAGCCAACCTCTTGAGCCAGGCGCCCGCATTGATCGCTGTTGAGTCTGACTTCCCGTTCCAGTCTAATCTCGTATAGGAGAACAAAGAAATAAACGTTTCTAGCTATTTATTTTCCACAAATGTTGATGGCATTCACTTGAGAAATTGTCTTATGGGTGGAAGCAGACTCGTTATTTAGCTAAAAAGCTAAACAACGGTATATGAAGAGCTCAGAAAGAGGTTTTAACAAATATAAGTACGTTGATTTTAGCTAGAGTAGTAGATTCTGTGTTTTACTATTGCTCTTTTGAGATAACCATTTGCAAATATCCAGTTGTACACACGAAATTTCCTAAAACTTACTAAGGGAAAATGTGTAATCAGATGAAAGCAAGACACCTCAAAACATTCTTCAAACTGGCCAATGTGTTGTAAACCTCCCGGATGATAGCATGACTCATCACTTGTTAGCCAATGCAACTGGCACTGAACACCCTTCCGCATCAAAGTTAGATAGGGGATACCGCTACGTTAAAGACAAATGGGCCTGTGCGCAACTCAACCCTCAAAAGTCTGATCTTGTTCGCCCGAGCCGCATCTTGGAGTGTCCTGTTCAGATGGAGTGTGAGTTAGCAGAGGCTCATGAAACTATGAAGGATTACCCTGATTTGAAGGGTGCCATTGTTGCCATTGAGCTCAAAGTTCTTCGAACTCACGTCGTGGATGAAATTCGGATGCCTGGGTATCCAAATCGAATCGACCCCGACCACTGGAGGCCCCTCATCTCGTCTTTCCAGGAAATTTATGGTCTAAGCGGCAGTAAACTATCAAAGAGCAGACTGGGAAAGATTGAAGAGGAAAAGTATCGCAATTTTACGCGAAGCAAACTTGTTAAATTTCTAGGTGACAGAGATAAGGAAGATGTTGAAGATCGTTATTCGCAGACAAACGGAAAGCTTGAAAATTAAAACTAGAGGAGCTGGTAAGGGGATCTCACTTTGGAGATCTCATTTGTGTATTGCTATAAATGCAGAAAACTAGACATTAGACAAGATTAATGTCGAATATACTATATACCTGAAGCTCGTATAATTTACATCTTCTGTGTAGCTTAGCCGCATCTCAACCATCACAATGAGTGATGCTGTCAATCTGGAATAAAGTAACATATAGTTGCTCCCAGAATAGGTACATCGGAGAAAATGGTATGTGCACGTTGCACTTTATTATCTTGAATAATAAATTTGGCTCATACATTTAGCGAGTTTATTTCAGAAGAGTGTTACAATCTGGACCTTGTAACATATTAAAACCCTAATACGCAGCTGGTTCCGTTACAGTAATTGCTCTAATGGCAATTATTGGCCTAATATCTGCCCTGTATGGCTTAAAGGTATCCCAAATCGTTACAAAGAGAATCGCTCATTCTATTATGAGTAGAGATGGCACTAGATCTCAATGATGCAAATGAAATATATAATACATATTTTTCTAGTCTCCGATTGCTCTAGTTGCGAATTTGGCCAACCAAATCTGGCTCCTCATATGCTACATTTCCCACGCTTACATCAGGGTAAACATCGAATCTGCGTTGCGTCTCCAAAGGAATATTTCTGCGTGTCTCTAAAATCTTTTCCTCGTTCAACTCGCTCTCAATAATAGCCTCATCCTCTTGCGCCTCAGCTAACACGGTAGCCATTGGATCAAGAATCATGCTGTGGCCCCAGGCGGGATATGAAGAATGTAATACGCGGGCAGGGCTGCACATGCCAACGTAAATCTGGTTGTCAACAGCTCGGGCCTGCGCCAGCAGTTTCCAGTGAAGAGCGCCCGTTACGAGGTTGAATGCGCCAGGATAGATTAGAGCAAAAGCCCCCTTTCGAGCGGCAATGGTAGCAAGCTCTGGAAACCGGATATCGTAGCAAATGGCAATGGCAATCTTTCCATATTCGGGAAGGTCAACTAATGTGACTTTGTTGCCAGGGCTAAGAACTTCTGACTCCCGAAACGTGACTTTGCCTGGGATATCAATATCAAATAGATGCGTCTTGCGATGCATTGACAATAAGGCTCCATCGGGTCCAAATATGAGACAGGTGTTGTAGTGCTGTTTGGTGGATGAGTTGAGCTCAGGGATCGAGCCTCCAACGAGATACACCTTATTTTCTGCTGCCATTGCCGACAAAGCATAATAAGAGGGAGCCTCCTCTTTGACCGGTGGTAAAGGCAACAATGGCTCTGCATATTTTGGAAAATGTTCGGTTCCGTATGGTGAGTTGAAGCATTCTGGAAGAACGACAATCTTGGAGCCTCCCGAGGCCGCCTTCGCTACTTGTGAAGCCGCATGCTTCAGATTCGCAGCCTTGTCGGTGCCAGAAAGAAGCTGTATGAGTGAAATCTTAACAGGCTTCTTGAGAATACTGCGAACGACTGATGCCATCTTGGATGAGGGAGGATATCTGATTAGAAGCTCGTAGCGAACCCAGGACTGGGATACTAATCAAGATCCAGGTTGTCAATGCTGAGTTAGTCGAATAGCTGACCAGCTGATATTGCTTGATCGACCCTTTGGATTATGTAAATGACGGCTTTATCTTTCTAAAATATCTATCCTCGTGATGTTTAGAATGCCAAAATCGTACGCAACCTCGAAGCCTATCGGCTTTTTCGGCTTTTTCACAGATCGCTGTTATCTTCCACTACTAATATCAGCTAACAGGCCGTATAGCGACTTTTAGTGCTGAAGGTTGCTCCCCAGCTCTTTGATAAAGCTTCAGTGGCGCCGTCACCGCCGGCCAAACCACCAGCATTTGCCGATGGCGGCCATTCTGCTCCACTTCCCCTCTAATCGCCAGTATTAACAAAGCCTCCCCTAAGAATCGATAGATTGAAAAGCTATCTAATACGCAACTCTGTTCCATCTGCCATTCATTGTCCGAAAAAAAGTCGTAGCAGCTCAATTGCTCCCCTAAGAAATCACCACTGCTTCCAAGCTCTAATCCACGCCACCACACATTTTCCCTATCCAATATTTGCTGCTGCAGCCCCAAGGATGGAGCAGTTCGAATTCCACGATCCAACTACACGCTCCACCTGGCGCCTCTGCTCACCCGGCATCGAGGAAATGACATTAAACGAAGACACATTAACGGGCCGCAAGTCATTACTACAGCGATGGCAGCCGGGGGCTACCAATCCAACCTCGACTCCTGCAGTGCACACCTACATTGAGGAGGTCTACATCGTCGAAGGCGATCTTACGGATAAGAGGCTGGATCAGACCTTCTACAAGGGCATGTATGCATACCGCAATGCTGGCATGGAGCATGGGCCCTGGGCCTCGGAGCGCGGGTGCCTCATGTTTGTCACTTGCACGCCGGTGGACAGTGGTAAGCAATAGGGGAGGCGATATACCTATACATAGATAGACAGCAGATCATATCTTTAGGGCCAGGGTTCAAGGTTGGCGAATGGATGGAATCTAGATCTTAGAGGTTGGTAACGGTTGATAATCTGACAGGGATCCGTTAGCGGCAATAACATTGTGAAATAATATTCCACGTATGATCAAGCTTGACGCCATGGCGCAAAGGCCAAATGATGCTACTTGGTTTTGATCATTTTGTCCCGCCGATGCTTTGTGTTTGTAGCAATGGATGCCCATCATCTTCGTCGGCGGCTGCAGCTCGAATCATTGATAGCAAACAACTGTTGTCAACCCGAGTCAGTCAAAAGGCCAAAGAGACAGCGGGCGCTCCATGCAGCCACACTTGCGGCTACTTCTCCATAAAGCCTGCTACTAATACAAGCTCGCAGTAATTCGGGCAATGGTGTGAAAACCCCAGTGATTTGGCGACTCTTCCCAAGCTATTTCTAAGAAATTGGGGCTTCCCCAGACGCCCCAGGCGCCCCAGGCGCCCCAGACGCCCCAGACGATCCAGAAAAGCCCAGGCTGGGCGAGCCACCGCTATTACCACCATCACTAAATATATCGGCAAATTTCCCTTCCATTGACGACTCTCATCTTCGTTTTATTCCTTCTCGAGTCTATTATTTGCCGACACCGACACGCTTCGCACCATCATCTGGTGAGGGTGAATGTGGAGAAATTCCGAAATGTCGGACTCTGTAATGGTGGCTCCGCCGAGAAAACCGGCGGGCAGAGGCAGCAGACGAGGCCGGAAGCCCACGTCGTGTACGCAATGCCATTTGAGGAAGCAAAAGTGCGATAGGAATCAGCCTTGTAACCGCTGCTTACAGCGGGGGGTTGCCCATCTGTGCGGCGATTCTACTAACAATGGTGTCTTCAAGATTTCAGAGTCTCCCCAGGTGGTTACAATCGCTCCGCCCAGCCCTTCTCCCAGGCCGAGAAGAGTGACACAGCCGCCAATGAGTCCTAGTTTGGGGTCGTTGTTTGCTAACAGGGGTGCCAGAGCCTTTTACGGCTCCTCATACTTTGGCCACCAGGTGGCTTCCAGAATACTCAGCGAAGAGGGCCAAGATCTCCCGGCAGGGATATCGCGAGGTCGAGACACACTGCAGTCTTTTCGGGATGAGTCCAGCTCTTTCGCTCAGGTCTGGGATCTACTTGGTCTCCTGCCTCGCCAGAAGTCAACAGTTGATCGCTTGGTGAATATATTTCTCACAGAGGTGAACTGGTCGCTGGATGCTGTTCATGAGGCGACTTTCAGAAGCAGCTATGATGAGTTTTGGGGGAGACGATTTGGTTTTGATGATTTAGCCAACGTCGACCTTCGATGGCTAGGGTTGCTATTCATAATATTGGCCTTTGGAGTCCTGCTTGATTCTCCGCCACATCCGACGCTGGATGTGCAGCGAGAACGAGAAGAAGCATCTCTCCGATTTTATGTATGTATTAACCTTTACGTATAATAGTATCCAATGTATGGAAAAAAGGCTGATAAGAGATGTTATAGTGGGCCGCAAGAAGAGCAATTGTCATTGCTCCGTCGTTTTATGGAGAAAGTACAGACATTGTACGAGCTGGGCTGCTCGTAACTCGTTATCTTCTGTACACTCGGCGCGTTTCAGAGTCTTGGTTGACAATCGGCTTCGCATCGAGGATGGCCCAAGCACAAGGCATGCATGTAAGAATTTCACCATCTCGATATCTGGTTCAGGGATAATACTTATATTCTGCAGGTTGACGGTGAGAGATGGCGCATGACACGCAAAGCCACAGAACAACGGAGACGACTCTGGAGCCATATATACGCAATCGATCGTATGATATCGCTTGCACTGGGCCGGCCTTATGCAATCAACAATCAATTTTGCCTAACGCAAGAGCCTGAAAATGTGTGGCTGGATGATATGGAGGACGAAGAGGCCAGCCGCGCAGTACCACAGCCTCTTAGCCTTCCAACCCCAAGCGTTCTGTCATCCCTGCTTTATCGACTTGCACAAGTGGTAGGGAAGATACAAGAAAAATGCTTCGGAATGGAAAGGGCAAGCTATGAGGCTGTCCTTCAGCTCGATGCAAACCTGGTCAGATGGAGCGAACAGCTACCACCATACTTTTGCTTAGATAACCCAGACACGGCAGCGGACGATGCTCTTCCATTTCTCCCATGGCATCGATTATACCTGCATACGTCGTTTCACTTTGCCAGAATCGTCTTACATCGACCATTCTTACTTCGGGAATCAATTACGGATCGATTTCGAACTAGTCACGAGGCGTGTATGTCGTCAGCGCTTGCAGATTTGAAAATACGGCTTCGTACAATGAATAGCACAAACGCGGACAGTTTGCGGTGGGCTTTTGGGGCCCACAATCTGTTCAACAGTGCCATGATTCTAGGCATTATTGCTGTTAAGAACCCTCATTCAGTGCAAGCTGGTGCCATCATAGAGGACTTGGAAGCGTATTGCGAGAATCTGCACCAGGATCCCTGGCTAAATGAATTTGGCATGGCTGAGTTGAAGGTAGTTGAGCTGTGCATTTCAAAGGCCAAGGACTCAAGGTATACTTCAATGGCTGCTTATCCATCAAGCACTCTACCTGAGCCACCTGGCGCTAGGATTCAGACTGTAGATAGTTCAGGGCGAATGCGTCCATCAGACTTGGAGTCCCCAGCCATGTCTTCCGACATGAGCTCTATATACTGGCCAACTGTATGGGAAGATGGCCAATTCACGTTCCCCGGTGCAGCAGACTTTAGTTCATGGGAGCAAATGATCACAGGTATTGCGGAAGACAATTATGGCGGACAGTAATTCTTGAATAAATAGCCATGGAATTTGTCAAAAAAGATTCAACCAAGTACATATGAATACACGCAAAACGCCTCCGCTCTCAAAGTTCGTGCTATGAGATACGCTTTTCGCATGATGAAACCCATCCTAACCGTTCCTAACCCATTTCCTTACATCTTCGCCTCAATGAGCTGTGCATGCGTAGACTTCAAATGCGCAGATGGCTTGAATGCAATTGGATTGGTCAGCGACCCAAGACCATGGCTGATGGTCACGAATAGCTCATCTCCCTCAACGAGCCGAACAGGTGGATTCCGGCTGACACCAATTCCACAAGGGGTTCCAGTCAAGATGATGGTCCCCTTTTGCAGCGTGCAACCCTGTATTTTCCGCATCGTCAGCCAAGCAGTGACCAAGTGGTCGGATTTGGCATCCTCTGACTCAGCTGTTAACTTACCTGGGAGAGAAACGAGACAATTTTGGGTACGGTGAAGATCATATCACTAGCCTCGCCCTGCTGCATTACTTGGCCGTTGAGGATAGTCTGTAGCTTCAGAACTGATGGGTCAGGTATTATCTTGGAGGAGACTAGCGCCGGTCCGATTGGAGCAAACCCATCGAAACCCTTGCCGCGATCCCACTGTGAGACTTCGTTCTGGTGAGTCCGTGCAGTAACATCGTTGGCGGTCATGTAACCCAAAACGTACTCCATGGCCTGGTCCTCAGAGACGTCTTTGCAGGTCTTGCCGATAACGACTGCGAGTTCCACCTCATAGTCTAGGTGGCAGTCGTGTAGGTCTGCGCAATGGGGAGCAATGATATGGCCAGAAGGGTGGTTGATGGTTTCCGTTGCCTTTAGAAACATTGTAGGGGTTTCAGGAATTGACAACTTCATTTCTGCCTATCAAAATGATTCAGAAACCTAGTCTATAAGTTCACAAGTAGTTATAGGTTTTGCAACGTTGCGGTAACGTTTGCGGATTATTGCGGCATTGCTTACAGCGTGCTCTCGGTAGTTGAGTCCAATGCATCGTATCGTACCCGCTTCTTCTGGTTTAAGTGGTGCCAACAGCTTATCATTATGTTAACAAAGCTGACCTATGCGGCCCCCAAGAATATTTTGTTCCTCTTTTGCGACTAACCTTTTTGACTTGAGTGATGTCTGCCGAGAGGACGGCTGATAGGTCCAGGGCGGACTCGGTTCGAACAATCCTGGCATATACATCTTCGCCATGGTGTAAAGCGATTCCAACTAAAAAGATTCCCTGTCAATGCTGCGGAAAAATGCTGGTACGATCCCATGCTTTGGAATCATTTTTGGTACAGTGCGTCATACCATCTAGGTCATCGTCTATAGGTTCACCGTATCTCTCTTTGCCGTTGATATCTTCGAATCGAATCAACCTATTCCAGGCCTGGATGTGAACAGTTAGCCGAGAGCGTCGAAAATTTAAGGACTAAGAGAGATAGACGACGACAAAGATTTGGAAAGTTACAGATACTCACAGGCTGGCCGTCATCCAATAGTGCTGGTGTCATTATTTCTTGTCTTAGATCTAAGACAAAACAACTTGCTATCAGGACTTCAAGCCACAAAACTAGGGCGACACCGTGGCGGCGTTCCTTATCTGTATATAAAAACTTCCCTTTTTCTTTTTTCCCACGACTTTCCTTTCGTATATGCGCTGGAATCATCGTGTCGGCGATTAGGCATCCTGGGCTGTCGGTAAATAGATTTCATAGGGCTTGCTTCAGCGTGGGTCTGCCATCGGCATATTGGAAAGCGTCTGTCGGCGAAATCGGGAAATAGATCTCAGCTCAGCGCATGATAGCGACTGTTATCATAACGATCAAGAGTACTCAAAAGGGACCTTGTAAGTCCTCTTGAATACTACAAATACGAATGGAGACGTTCAGGGAAAAAAATTAATCACAAATCAAATAGCCTCAGCTACAGCCCTTACAATGGACGAGAAGAAAATTGTGACCCCAACAGCTGAACTCTCTGAACATGCCTCTATTTCTATCAACAATGCTTCCCATTATGAAGCGACCCCTGTTGAAAGAGAGACGGTAAAGAGGAAGCTTAAGTCACGTCATATGCAGTTTTATGCTATTGGAGGCACAATTGGAACGGGTCTATTCGTGGGTATTGGTGGTGGTCTTGCCCAAGCGGGTCCGCTGTCTCTCCTATTGGGCTATAGCATTACTAGTATCTTCATATTTGCTATGGTGAGTTGCGCCTCCGACCTGATCAGCATTTATTAGTTTGAGATCATGAGGAAACACCCTGTTGGGTTACATCAGCATCAACTAACAGATAGTATAGATGCGATGTCTTGGAGAAATGACAACATGGATACCACTACCTGGAGCTACGCCTAGATTCTGCTCGCGTTTCGTTGACGAGGCGTTGGGATTTGCTGTTGGCTGGAATCAGTGGTATAATTGTGCAATCACAGTCTGTGCAGAGATATCCGCTGCTGCTGCGGTTATTCAGTACTGGAACGATACTATTTCGGTAAGTCCTAAGGCGCCACATTCTCTCATTCAGTTCTCACAACTATCGGGATTCAATTTCTTACAGGTACTGTCGATAGCCTGCTGTTTGGATCTCCATTATTCTAGTTTTAATTTTTATCTTCAATCTCATCGATGTGGGAATCTTTGGAGAAGTTGAATTCGTATTTTCTTGCGTCAAAATCGTGGCCTTGGTCGGCCTCCTCATCCTATCTCTAGTCATAGATCTAGGAGGTGGCCCCACCCATGATAGACTTGGATTTCGGTGAGTCTGATACGCCAACAGCAGACGACTATAAAAATAAGCTTAAAATGGCTGACGTGGGCTTTGGTATAGATACTGGCACAACCCTGGCGCTATGGTAGAGTACATTGCCAGCGGCGACACAGGACGTTTTCTTGGCCTTTTTAACGCCATTGTCAATGCAGGATTCGCCTTTGCCGGCATAGAAATGGTTGCCGTTGCAGCAGGAGAGACAGAAAACCCCCGATACAACATTCCCAAGGCTATCAACCGTCTCTTCTGGCGTATCATCTTCTTTTATATCCTCGGCACGTTGGCTATCGGAGTGATGGTTCCATACACTGATGATCGACTCCTGAACGGTGGTGCTGGTGTTGCCAGCTCACCTTGGGTCATTGGAATCTCGCGTGCCGGCATCAAGGTGCTGCCGTCCATTATCAACGCTGTTGTCCTCATTTCTGCTGCTTCGTCTGGCAATGCACTGCTATACAGTGGTAGCCGATATCTGCTTGCTCTGGCTGAAGGCGGCCAGGCCCCAAAATTTCTCCTAAAGTGCACCAAGAGGGGAGTTCCTATTTATTGTGTCCTCTGCACCGGTGCTCTTGCACCTCTCACCTACATGGCTGTTAGCTCTGACAGTGCCCGAGTGTTCTCGTGGTTCGCCAATCTTGTTACAACTGCCGCCTTATTCACGTGGTGCAGCATTTGCATCGCTTACATTGGTTTTGATCGTGCACTTCGTGCGCAAGGAATAAACCAGAATGAAGAGCTGGCTTTCAAGGGCTTCTTGCAGCCATACATATCTTACATCAGTCTTGTATTCTTCATAATTGTCATCATCTTCAATGGCTTTAGCGTCTTTATTCATGGCCACTGGGATACACAGAAGTTTGTGGTGTCCTACGTCGGCATTCCGTATGTTTTTCTTCCTCATCTCACTCCTCGAATCCTATACTGACTATGCGGTTTTAGTATTTTCTTCACCCTATTCCTTGGATGGAAGTTTATTAAGAAGACCAAGCTCCATTCCGCTGAAGAAATTGACCTTCACACAGGACGCCAGCTGGACGAATCTACGGAGTACGCAGAAAAGCCAAAGGGTATGCTTGATCGGCTCTGGAAATGGGCTGCATGAGGTATAATGATTACACATGACATGATTGAATATATTTGCTACAGTTTAGTTTGGATAGTTTCTTAATAAAGATTGGTTACGTTTTTACTATGTCTACTTCTCACATCTCCCAAACTGAATATGACGGAAGAATTCACTTGTGAAACAAGGTAGGCCTAGATCGTCGACCACCGCAGTAACACCGCAGCAGCGATGACGGGCAACACGCTTACCAGTTCTCCAAGTCCCGCAAATTCCGGAGGAATCCTAGCATTGACAAAAGCACCTGCAGCGAGAAGGACCGCAAAGGTGTTGTAAATGAAGCTCCAAACAAAATTGAACTTGATACGGTTGACGGATTTCCGACTGACGTTCATCATAGTGAGGATTCCACCCAAAGAAGGGCGCATGAGAACTACATCCGCAGCAGATTGCGCGACATCCGTGCCTTCGTTCATATGGACGCCGATTGTCGCCTGCGCAAGAGCAACAGCATCGTTCGTGCCGTCACCACAGAAAACGATAACCGGTTGTTTACGATCTGTAGTCGTACCAAGGAGCTTCTGGATGTATTCCTTCTTGTCGGCGGGTGAGCTTCGAGAACGCACAAGGTCGCTAGGAATGCCAAGCTTGGACGCCAAAGTCTGCACAGCTCCATCATCGTCGCCAGAAACTACATGGGCCGAGATACCACGCCTTTGCAAGATTCTAATCGTCTCTACCGCGTCAGGTCGGAGCTCGTCTTCAAGACCGTAGACCGCCTCTAACGTATTGTCGATAGTGAAGCAGAAGACTGTGTATCCTTGAGCAAGCATTGGTTGAACAAGTTCATGCTCCGTTACATTGACCCAGCGGGAATTGCCTGCTCGAAGACTCTGGCCGCCCAAGATGGCTACAACACCTTTACCAGTAATGCTCTTGGGCTCAGCAACAGCCGAGGCTATGATTCCAGCTTCCTTAAGATGAGTAGCCACAGCGAGGGATACTGGGTGTCGGCTATTTTCGATGAGGCCAAGAAGAAGCGGGAGCTTGCTCTTGTCGGCATGATTCTGAGCGACAACAGAAAGCTTTCCTCTAGTCAAGGTCCCTGTCTTATCAAAAACAACGTGTGATGTCTTGTGAGCAACTTCAATAGCATCTGCAGACTTAAAGACGATACCCTTCTCCGCCGCGATTCCGCTTGCAATCACAATAACCATAGGAACAGCCAATCCAATGGCACAGGGGCAAGAGACGATGAGGACAGTAATGGTGTAAGTGATAGCCTGAATGGTAGCTTCGGATCCATCATACCCACGGATAGTTATACCCACTGCAATCCAGATGATGAATGTGATCGTCGCTAATGCCACCACAATCGGGACAAAGTAGGATGCTACTCGGTCCGCCAGATCCTGTAGCTTAGGTTTCAAGAGTTTAGCTTCATCGACCATCGCAGCAATAGCACAGATAGTATTGTCGCTAGGCAAACGGTTCAGCCTAACAGTCATAACGCCAGATCCATTGATAGAACCAGCAATCACCACGGACTTGGAATATTTTTCCACTGGTCTGGATTCGCCAGTAAGCATAGACTCGTCAACTTCAGATGATCCCTTGATGACAGTGCCGTCAGTCGGAATCCTGGTATCAGGGAGGACTTTGAATGTGTCGCCGTATTGTAACAGCCGCGCGTCAATCTCGCGTTCCGTTCCGCTCTCTTGGTCTACAAGAATAGCTGTCGATGCCTGAAGTGACCGGATAGAAATGGATTCAACGGCTCTTTGACGAGCGAGAGCGGCAACCCATCGACCTACCATAATCAAGGTTACCAAGAGAGTGCTTGTTTCAAAAAACTGGCCAGTCGAAAGAGGCTTCCCTATAATGAGGTATGCAAAAGAGACCACCGAGAACACATATGCAGCACTCGTGCTTAGGACGATCAAGAGGTCCATCTCGACAACCCTCGAGAAAGCAAGAGCCTTTAGAGCCTTAGGATAGAAAGGGCCTGCTATGATAAATTGAACAATTGTAGCCAAGGCGAGTGCAGCCGAGGAATATGCTACCTCCCTCTTAGGTAGTGGCGCCCAAGCCATAACTAGCACCGGAATCGTCAAGATAGCAGAGAGAAGCATCATGTACCCGACATGGCGAACATGCTTGCTACTAGCCTCTAGCGAAGGGTCACCGCGTGGAGGAGCAAGCTCGATTGGCGGGCCCCAAATTTTCTCAACCAGGTCTCGAGCTCCGACTATCTTCGGGTCAAATGCAACTCGCACAGTCTGGTCGTCTACGAGTGCCATGTCGATAACGCCGTCTGGCCACGTCTGACTGAGGAACTTTGAGGGCTCAGTGGGGACGATAAGATCTAGGCCAGATCCTTTGTTCTGGACTCTTTCGCATTTAAACTCGGTCGTTCGCTCTAGATGTTTCATTACTTCCTCTACTGATCCCAGTCGAAGATCAATGTTGAACTCAGCTCGTGAGAGAACCAGACTGGTTTTCAAGTCCTTGACAGCGGGGACAGTAGCGAGAGTTCTATTGAGCTTTGTCTCGCAACCAGTACAGGTCATACCAGAAATGCTAAGCACTACATGTTCTTTGCCGGCGCCCTGATTTTCTATGTCTGTGTTGGCTTGAATTGGGGCTTTTTCGATGTCCAGCACAGGATCAGGTGCGGGAGAGGAGCAGCAATCATCGCTGCAAGACCTCTGAGGGCTGATCGGCCGATCCTTTGTGCAGCATAAGTCCACACATCCAGTCTTTGGAGTCTTCGCGATATCCCGCTTTGGTGGCTTGAGGCAAGAGCTGGAAGAAGCGGCACTGGCTGGCTCTATGGTAGTCTCATTCTTGGCTATTCCGCAACAAATTCCTGCAGATTTGTCCTTGATATGTAGAGCTTCAGGGTTTTCGTCAGAGCAACAAGAACCAGGACAGTTATCCGTCGGCATTTCTTTCCTAGCTTCATCGTCGCCAGCTTGACAAGGCCCGGAAGGCTTGATTTTGATCTTGACGTCCGCAATTGGCGCCTTTGGGCAGCAAGTATCGACAAACTTGTCCTGCAGCAGTGGTTCCTCGGCCGGTTCACCCTCCAAGCAACATGACTTTGAGCACTTGCTTTTGAAGAGACCCTTCGTGGCGGGCTTGCTGTTTGAACAACAAGAGCTAGCGCAATCGTCTGTAGAAGGCTGCCTAGCGGGTTTAGTGGACGTGACGTTTTCACCAGCACCCTTTCGCAGGCGAAGACGGTTCCTCGCGGCCTGGTCCTTGGTGATAGATTCGCTACTGCGACCGTAATCAGGAGAAGTTTGAAGAGGGGAGCGACCCGACGAGTCCTTGAAACACTTCTTCCCATCGAGAGAGCGGCGCTCGCGGACGTCGCAGCAAGTTTCCTGGCCAATAGCAATGAGAGCGCGGCAAATGCATCCCAAGGTTCGCAGAGTAGCGCCATAGCGGTCGAGGACAGACAGACTATGCTGGCTACATGCCTGGCCATCAGTCGCTCCACCGCATGCTGGGATGCGTTAGTAATATGAATGCCCCCCAAAAGAGCGGTTACTCACCGTTTGGCTGAGTGTCAAGGCCGAGGACAGTCGCAGCATTCATCTCACACTCTCGCATTGCCAAGCGATCAAGGCAAGACGTGTCGCAGCACGGGCTGACTTTGCCGCGGCAGCAATCAGGCGCGTCAGTGTCATGCTCGGTTTTGTCATCCACGCATTTGCCAGAAGAGCAACAATCATCCGATGTGCCCTGAGTGCGCTCTCCTTGACCGGGGCTCTTTGTGTCGAGAGTCTCAGGGCAGTGGTCATTGGAGCGGGATTGCTGGTAGCCGTTGGTCTGCTCAACCGGAGCCTCAATTGACTCGGCCAATATTTCCGGGGCTGGCGCCTGTTGGCCGCAACAGTCGTATCCCATATTGAAAGTGGTTTTGCCTTCAGTCAAATTTTAAGTCGATGTTTCGAAATTGATTGTTTGGAAAGTGCCTGCATCTCACGTACTCACGAGCATAATACGTAACTACCCCCAGCACGTGAACTGACCCCATCATGGTGCATCAAATGTGAGGAAATCAAAACAGGCTAATGTCCTTCTGCAAAGCACGTGCGCGGAACTAAACCGCGGTTTAATCTTATCCATCATGGAGGAATGTAGAGGGGAATGAAGAATATCGAGGGGATTCCGAAGGTGAGTGGGAATGCGCCAAAAAAAAAAAAAAAATAGTTGCACAGAGACCATGGATGAACGAGCATACAGGACTTGTTTATTTTAAGAGCTTGCGGAGCAACTCAATTAACAACGGCCGTTAGCGTTCATGTATTATATCGATGTAATAGTACATGTAGTAATCATATTACAGCTCTTACACTTATATCTTTTAATCATTGGCTACAGCTATGTACTTATACTGAGCCTTGACTTTTTGACATTTGCTTTATTAGTGTTACGAAGAGACATGTGGATTCATCCAGCACAAGCGGGGAGCACAGAATAAGCCTCAGGCGTTTCTTTATCCGAAACAACAGCAAGGTAGCAATAAAAGACTATATTTATTCCCAATCTCCCTTCAACCCTTTTAAAAGAGGAGGATTCAGATTCTTCACACTGAAAAAAGCTTTGGGCTGTTTGACCAAACAGCGGCTTCACTTCTTGTCGTCTGGCAATCAATACCTCCTTTCTGTTACGTTCAAGCGTTCTACTTTTTCGATTCCTTGGAATCCTGTATGAAAAAGTATCTTTCTTTTGTAGTAACACAGGGTACTACTACCTAATACTGATCCAATGTCTCAGTAGCATAAGCTTAGACCGCCGTTAAATGAATGCTCGGTGGCCATGACTTGACTATCATCAACTATGCATCCAAATCTCATCTTGGATATCTAACGCCTGTTCCCGACCTCTCTTCTTTCACTCTCTAACCTCCATTTAGTGTGCGATTCTTTTTGATGGAGTCAATGTTACCCCCGCCAACATCAGCACCAGCGTCTTTGGCAGATATTACTGCCCCCATGACCACGACTGCATTATTCATCAATCAACTAGTTCGCATGCATTGGTGTTAAAAATTGATAGTGAGCCAACCCCGTGAAATAGATAAATCGTAATCTTGAGCTGCTACAATGCACATTTGGGATACAATCCTTGGCGTTTGTACTAGAATGTCCGAACGACCTAGCAAAAGCATAGAGAGAGAACCAGAAGCCGAGCCCGTCCAACAGTTCAGTGAAAGCAGCATTGGTCGCTGGACCAAATTTAGAATAATTATTATTTTCAATGGGTTCCCATTCGATCATCACCAGTAAGTCTTCGACTTCCCTCGTCCAACGCCTGCAATTGTGGCTCGATATTGTAGAAATGCCTCCTTTTGATTTATTATTAAATCCTACTGCATTATTATTGTCGATGGATTTTGTCTTTAGCAGCATTTATTGACCGTACGCATATTGACACCTGTCGGCAGAATATGGAGCCCTACTTGGGGGGGACAACTGAATGCACCTCGTAGAGCAAGATTTAACCTCCGCCTAGAAAAGATCACTCCTTTATATCAACATCATGACCCGTACCATTTTACACTCCTCTTGGCCATCGCATCCGAGCAGCGATAGAAGTTAAACGGACTAGAAAAGCCGGGTTAATCTTTTCGGGTGTGATCCTCTGCTTCTTCAGTTCAATCGCTAATACATGCATAATATTTTCAACCTCAAATTTTAATGACCAACTACGACGTTTAACTTGTTAATCTTTCCACTTCTCAAATTTTATCGGGTTTACTGAATATATTCAAAGAGCCCAGGACACCGCCTACCTCGTCAGAGCAAGGATCTATATTAATTCGGCACAGTCGCGTGCCATTTGGGCCATAGGAGACCTTTCGTCTCCGCATGCTATCTCTGCTACTTGGCGCGTATACTACTTACATACAATCTATCTAAGCGGATCAAAAGTATGCCAGCGAGACAAGACCTTTTTGTTAATGGGTATACTACTTTAGCTTGAAGATCAGCCTTTTTTGCAGACTGCCGCTAGAAGTCAACATACACATTTAAGGTGCAGTGTGTGAACGACGGATCTGATTACTGATCAAGTTACTGAGAGCCAAGCCAACTGCCTTATGTGCTACTGGCACGACTAGTAAACGGAGAATGCATTACAGCAGCTTGGGGTAATGGGGGACAGTTGAGCTACTTCGGAAAATTTTGTTTTGCCTAAAAACGTCTTAGAAAGGGTGTGTCTCATAGTGGTAACGCGCAGCCAAGTTCAAGCTAGTGTTGTTCAAACCAACCTTGAGATGCCTGTATATGTATGTTTAATAATCACTGATGCAGGTACCGAAGATCGCCAGATTGAACCAAAATGACAAGAAAGTGTGGGGGTTTGTTACGTACTCATTGAAGATAGTCTGGATGAATAAGCAAAGCGAATAGAGGTTGCAGCCTGAAAAGGGTTTACTATAGTTGATTGCGCAGAGAGTTCTTGGGTATCAGCATCTTGTAGGTAGTGACACCAGGAACGGCGACATGTGCTTCTATTTGAAGTAAGCATTACTATATAGTTGAGATTTCACAATTTTCGTATGTCAATGGTTACTTCGTCCGCTAAAGATGAAACAAAGTAGATATTCAAATATGTTATTCATTTATTATCTGCAAGGCAGGCCTCTTTTCAACCACCTAAGATTACTTAATGTTTGTCTTCAAAGCCCTCTACAGTAGTAGTCCTAGTAATGTGTCTCGCCAATGCCTCATCCCCATCTTCATGGACAGCATGACCACTTTGAATCACAGATACGCTGTCTCGGAAGACAAACTCGTAGAAAGCGCTGGATACCAATGTGGCAGGTATGCTGGCGAGGATAGCGATAGGAGAATAATTCATATAAGTAAAGGCTTCCTTGCCGAAGAAGATCGCGGCAACGATTCTGGGACCAAGGTCTCGAGCCATGTTCATAGTGAGGGTGACGTCTCCAAAGCTCCAAGCCATGACAGCATATCCCATGCCGATCATGAGAGGAGCGAGGGCCGGAGAGATGAAGGGGTTGGCCGGGTCGATGGCAGCCCAGATGATGAAACCGACGAAGCAATCGCAGATGAACTCTGTGAGGAATACGTATCCCATTGATTGTCCGGGGTTGGGAAATGAGCACAGAATACTTGCTGGAGCGCCATTGGCGACGAGAGGCTTGCCAGCGGCGAGGAGAAGTTCCTTCATCTCACCGATTTGCTGGTGGTATATTCCCATGAGTACCAGAGCAGCAATAAATCCACCAAAGATTTGACTCAATATGTAACGAGGCACTTTCTTGAGGGGGAAACCTTGCCAAATACAGAGGCAAATTGTAATAGCTGGATTGAAGTGGCCGCCCGAGGTTGGGGCACAAGTGATGATGGCAAACGCAATGCCCAGGGCAAAAGCAAAACCGATCGCCAAGAGACTTCCATAGGCTGAGGCACCGATAGGCGATGTGGCGTTCAAAGTGAAGGTGGCAATGGCTCCGATTCCAGGCAGCACGTACATAAACACACCAGTCGCCTCTGCTATACACTCCCGCAGCCAGCGTGGCCGCGAGTGCTCGAAGTCGAGTCGGCGCTGCGAGACGCGTCTAGGAGGGACAACATTGCGCGGGATGTGTTTCTGAGTGGCTTCAGTTGTGCCCAACTCCACTTCATTTCATAATAAGTTAGTTGATGACTGCATATATACCGACAAAGATACTGTATCCACCAAGAAGAAGGGATAAACTTACAGTCATGGGTGTGTAGACGATCCAAGTCCTGAGCCACCATGGTGCTGTCTTGTGTAACCTGACGTTTCACTTATATTGTATGTTCAAGTTCTTGAAGTGTGAAGAGAGGAGGGACGGGGGGCGAGAAATGCTTGACACTGCAGGAGAAGGCAAGAGACTAAATAGTTGTATGCTACCTGAACACCGACACCATCACCAGGAGTGCATACCATCATCATACGGTCAAGCCGTGCCAGCCTCTTGCAAACTCCGCACCCTGGTTTGCAGGCCCCCCGTGAACGTACATTCAAGCCAGGCCCCCCATGAACGCATATTGAAGCCCTGACTTTGGATCTGGCTTGCGTGGCGTTGGATCGATGTTTTTCGATAGTTGACAGCAGTTGGTTGGACTATCTGCTCCTAACATCAGGTGGCTTACATGAAACGGCCTATTAGCCGTCCTGCGGTTGGGGTAGCTTTCGCAACTGAGCCCACTTTGGTCTCTGTTTTTTTTCCTTCTTTACCCCGGACAAGAGCCCACATTCGCCCCCGCCTCCATACTCCCCCCGCAGTCTAACGATCTTTCAGGCTATCCCTCCGGGTTGGTTGCATGGCGGACAACCATTAGCCCAGTTCTGTTGGTAGCCGCAGGCAGGGCAAGTTACGGATTAGCTACTCCTTTGTAGGGGAGAATCTATGCGACGTTGTACGGCGGACACCTCGTCAAGTCCGTAGCATCGTCGCTAGCAGGCGGCCCCATTAATTTGCCCGACTAGACTGGCTGGACAAGCATTCAGTGGCTTTGAAAGCCTTCTGTCATCAAGTGGATATAGGATACGCATGGTTTTTGTTTTTATTGGCCTCATGATGCATAAAGGGCGTATACTATAGGTTTGTTTTACCATTACCATTATCATTTTTTTTTTATATTGCGGAATTATCCTTTCCGGACCCAGTCGCTAGCAAAGTCTAGACAATGCTCGCTGCTGGAGACGGCTCGTCCGGCGTACAATTGCTGGCGGCAGTTGAAGTCTTGCGGAAGGGAATAGACTCTCGGAAATAGGATACAAAATAAAGATGAGAGTTGATAAGTACATGTACCTAGTACTAGTATAGCCGCAGACTAAAAAAAGCGCCTTTGTTGTTAGCCCCCAACATTGCCACCTGCATTTTCGCGGCGGGAACCCGAAAACAGATTACAGACGTGATCTTGATTACTGTGCTCTATTGCAAGCTGAATTGGATGCAAATCAGCTTTGGAATTACCCCATACTGGGGGAACTGGGCTGTGTGGGGAGATCCCTGCTGAACCTCACCTCATCTGATTCCCCCACACGAAGCCTGAGATTTCACCCACAACCGTTGAGCTGAGAATCAACTTTGATGCAGCTGTTTATCTCGTAGTTTAGATCGTAGTCGTTCCAACGGGCTTGACCGCTCCAGCTAGAGGATATTGGCCCACACCCCGCGTTTTTCGTGAGCCAAGGGGCGGCTGCTTGATTCTTGATTGGATCGAGGGCATTGCCAACCCATGACTCATGAGGAAGCTGTCTGCATCCATGAAGCCATTCAGCAAGTTGAGCCGAGGCATGGATCCATCGAAAATGAGGAGAAGGAGGCTAGCCTTTCCTTTCCGGGCATTATCCTAGCCAGCCCTCACTTTTAAAGGCGCCAGGCGCTTTTTGGCAACCTCCTTCTTTCTGTTTTACCCCAAGCAAAACGCCCAAATTTAGATCGAAAGCTGAACGTGGCGTTTGGCGGCCATGCTACCAAGGAAAAAAAAAAAAGGAAAAAAAAAAGGAAAAAAACAATTTACCAAGGTAAGAAAATCCGCCAAGCAGCCTTGCCGAGTCGGAACGGCTCCGAGCGTGCCACGTTTAGAGGGTTGTAGGATCAGCCACCACTTTTCTAGCTTCTATACGATTTACGAGCTGCGCGAACGTATGACGAGAGCGTGTACGGCCAATCAACTTCACCCGGATCACCCTCGGATCAGCTTCCGTCGGATTGCTCTCGGACATAACATCTGTTGTGTAAGGTAGACTTTTTACATCCCGGCTTTCTCCTTGAACGAGCAACACTAGTTCGTCTACATCGTGTAATGGCGCCTAGGTAGTCGTTCGGATCCGACACGGAGAAGTCTAGTCCTTGAAGAAAGGAACAAAGTTTATACAGCAAAATAGGCAACGAGACTACGATAACTAAGCGGAAGCTGTCGTCGAAACCGCGGTTGTTTGTGCTTCAAAGAGGGGAACCGTCCTACGTCTAGCATTATTGAGGTAGTACGTGGCTGAACATCCAATCAAAGGTAAATACACTAATGTAGAGGAACTCCCGGTTGAAGAGAATATTACACTGCATTTCCTTGTATTATCAGACTAAATGATTCAACAACCAACAAGCTATTGTCTTTTGGTCCGAAATATCGCGATATGCGACTTAAACGGCCGTAGTGGAATCCTGGACACGCCATGTATGCATATCTCGTCAATAGACTTTCTCTAGGATGTGTGAGACTCTTTGAATTTGTATTTCTGGGCTGATAGATCGGTAGATAGTATTGCCGTTGTAGAGACTGAAGCAATTAAACCGTGACGCTAATCTGCGTAAGCCACAATGCCTAGAAAAAACAAATAGCTGGTATTTCTTGTACAGGTTGTGGAGAGATAAGGATTGATTCGCTAAAATTATTAATTGTTTGATGTCAAGAGCTTGAAGCGAGAAGCATGCCATCGTGGAAACTACATGTAGTGAAGAGTCACTAGAGCACCATTGTAGACTTTATTCAAACTAGTCTGCAAGAATGATTAACATCTCAATAACATTCTGAATATCCGTATGTGGCATATTTTTAACATATCAAACAATGATCCATATCTACGACTATTTTTAAAAAACGTGTTTTACAGATAGCATATAATATAGGTCTATCAGATGTATGTATGTTATGTTTCATTGAAGTGCTGCATCACATCTATAGGCGTATCCATTGTAAACTTTGCTCTAACTTGATAAAGATCTGACTAAGTATCAACACATCTAATCTGTGTACGCAGCCTTCTTTATTTCATCCAGGATCCTATGAGTATTTGCTGCTGACTCAAATGTTGCGTATTTGGTTGTATCTCCCTTGGCGAATGCATTATACATCGAGTGTACATTTGCAGCCATTGGCGAGAGAGTTTCAGCAGCAGGGAGTCGATAGCTCTGAAAATCAACCACCTCAAATGGTCCGTCTCCATTCTTGATTCGAATTTCAGCGTCCTTATCAACTATTGACCATGTTGAGGGGCCGGTGACCATGATTTCCCCCTCGGTGCCGGAGATATACCATCGTAGGTCGTGTTCGTCACCGTTATACCTTGGCTTTCGGAAAGATAGCGAAGCTACTGCCCCACTACTGGTAATTCCTTGCACTAGAATTTGGTCGGGCGAAGTTTTCACATATGCTGGATCAACGATGTTGTTATCGGGTCCTGTAAGCTGTACGGTCTTGTATCCCGTTTTGAAAATCGACTGGATGTGCGAAAGATCTCCCAACACGTGGACAAATGAATCGAGAACTGTCTATATTAACAATTTGTTGCACAGATTGGATGAATTGTTTGTGGCTTACAGTGACCAAAGATTATAGTGAATTCATTACCACCACTCTCCATGTCGAGGTAAGATTTCAAGCTTTCGGGCCAGACATCCACAGAGCGACTTAAAGAGCACGCAACCACTGAAGAACTAAGGACTCGGCCAATCTTATTGCTGGAAATTATTTCTTTTAGTTTCTGCATCATCGGAGATGCTCTGCCTTGGGCCCCGATAAATGTTTGAACATTGTTCTTCTTTGCGAGCGCCGCCAATTCTTCAACTTCGGCCGTATTAGCCGCCATTGGCCATTCCACAAAAACGTTTTTGTTCTTGAGTAGGGCTGATTTAGCAAGTTCGTAGTGGTTCTCTACCCGAACTGATACGACAATCAGATCGACATCGGGGTCGTCGGCGAGGTCATCAACACTTCCATATGCCTTGGTCGATTCTGGAAGACCTTGTGCCGCAATGGATCGCTTTGCAGATTCGACGCTAGAGTTTGCAAGAGCGACAATCTCGTATTCTGGCGATTGAAGAAGAGCCGGAAGATGGGAAACTGCAGTCCAGCAACCACGTCCGGTGAAGGTTTTCGCGGTCGAAAGGCCAATAAGGCCAACTCGGATTCGTGCCATGATATGATAATAAGGTTTGGTGAATTCTCAACTAATCCCGAGTGGTCGATATTATTGGAAAGATTGAAGCCTTTTATAATTATCTAGATGCTCAACACCGGGTTTCGGTGTAGGCAAGCATATCGGCGCAGTTAAGCATCTCGGCATTGGCCATGTAGATCGTTTCGGAACTTCCAAGGCGCTGATTCGACAAGACTAGCAACATCCACTCCATGTTCGTAGATTCATATCCATGCAACTACGACGAGAGTCAACTATTGGCCAATATAAAATATTTATTCAGACGTTTAATCCACAACACACAATTCTGGACTTCCCTAATAGGAGTGCCGGTATAGCGCCGGCATTGTGGATTAGAAAGCATCGGCGCTTCCGCGTCTGTGATTCGACGAGACAGATGAGGCCCACAGCAACTCCGACGCTATTCCCAGACGAGTTGATAACTGTGCCATGAGGAACGCGATTGCTGCGCGGCCCTCTGGTTGAATCATGCTACTTACATATTTTTCACTCAACGCAATGCCTTTCCCACGAAGAAAACGGAAGGCATGTAATGAGTGCCACAAATCAAAGACACGGTGCTCCCAATCTAGCCCTTGTAGTAGATGCCGTGCCCGGAATTTGACATGCGAATACGTCCATGACTTCTTGAACCCATATGGCAGTAACCCGCAAGGTCAAGATAATTGGGGCTCAGTACTGCCAACTATTGGAAACTTTGGCGATGATCCAACCATAAACCCCAGTAACGCGCTTGAGCCAACTTTTGATGAGATAGTCAATGGCGCTATAAGCAGCTCGACTGGGCCTCAGCCTGGCTTAACGTTTCCGCCCGCCTTGGGAGAGATGGCAACGCAAGGGTCGGAAAACTTGTCACAGCAAATACTAGTTCCGCCGAACTTAATATCAAAACACATACCTATTAATATTTACTTTCAGCCTACTGTCGATCCAGCAGAAGACGCAAGCGAACTGTCTTGGTTGCAAGTTGGAAATAGCCATTGCCTTGACCCCGAAGGACATAAGCCAAAGACTTCGGTGACACAAAAAAAGGAAACAATCGAATCAAAATTGACCAAAAAATTGTTAATTGGGCAGCTTCTCAACTACTCCAAGATGATGAATAGTAATCGTCTTCCACCTTTTATCTTTGCCCCGTGCAAACAAGACGATGGCTGTGGATTAAATGGAAGCCACCAATGTCTATTACGGCCCCTGGAAAATTGCCGTGCCATTACAACAATAGCAGAGAATATAGAGGCATCAAACAAGGGCTTTTTTTGGACGATTGTTGAAAATGAGGTGCTGCGATTGTACAAGGAGGTGAGCAGAGTGCCTTTTATTACCTTACTACTACTAGGGATAGTCATGCTAATATGATGTAGTTGTCGCGCATGAATTGTTATGAGGTCCAGGCATCATTACAGGCATGTACAATTTATGCCCTATTATATACACGATATATAAAGCCGATTCAAGCTGGAAGCGTACTCCCAGTTATTAAAGCAATTATTGTATGTGTAGTTTCTTCAGTAATGACTTGGCTAATACAGAGCATACAGGATTTTGGCCGACACCTCCATAGCCTATATAACTTTCGAGCTCCGCTAAGTACAGACGAAAGCGTTATCAGACAAGAATGGATACTGAGAGAGAGCACTCGCCGGTCAGTAAATAGCAAAGTTTATTTGCCCTTTGCGCGTACTGACTCCAATCACAGGACAATATGTGTGCTTTACGGTATAGAACTACTCCTGGATGTGTTCAGTGAAGATCCAGACCATGTGAAATGCCGGGGACTTGAAAATGTGCCACTTCCATGCACTCGAGATCTCTGGGAGCCAGTCCCGGACTCTATATGGATAAGACGGTATCAAAATTCCATGTCGCTACACCACGGATATGAGACTATGTGTCTTGGGACGATACAATCTTCAATCTTCCTGTTGAGGGGCCGAACTACTGAGACTGGATCGAAACAATCTGACTCTCATGAAGCGATTTCTCATTGGTGCGAAGAGGCTGATGAGCTTGGAACCCTTGTATGGATGACGATTATGGTGGAAACGAGATGAGTTGAGGAGAGGTTTGAACATTTGGCTTGGCAAGGTATTTCACGCCGAGCCCGAATAACATTTAATGTCAATATCCGAAATTAAGTATATATCGCCTGCCTTTAATGCAGCTTATATCTCACTAAAAACCCTCTCGTGGTATAAAAAAAAAGAAAAGCAATTCCATCGTCTGCCAAAAATTACCTCGCCATCACAACCTTGTGTCCAAACGTCCGTTTCAGCCACTTCAACTGCGCTCCATTTCCTCTATGGTACCCTAATCGAGTCAAGTCCCCCTCTACCTTCAATCCCTGCCATGTCCTTGCTCTCGATAAAGCTGCGTACATCAGACCTTCCCTTGAAGTCTTCACTACATCTACCACAATGCTGTCCAAAGCCATTCCTTGAGCGTCATAAACGGTCAGAGCCCAACCAGCAGTTAGTGGGACCTGGATTCTCCCGAGGAGCGAATATGGTTGCGTACCTCCTAAAGGTAGAGCCCGACAAGTAGGATAGATGGTTCTGGTTATTCCATTATGGAATTTGACAATCGGCCAGCCTTTGTTGCTGCTACATTCTCGTAAAAACCTTCGAAGCGCGTCTTCAAGAGCGTCGATTCGTAGCCAATGTGCAGGCAAATGTTCATAATACTCAGTAACAAGCTGTAAAAGGTTTCCAAACGGCTCGTATCCAATAATAATTCCTTGGGCGCCGTTGCATAATCCGCTGCCGGGATCGATATTTTGCAGCAGCACTACTGGCATTCCTTCTTTCAGCTGAACTTTAGCTCCAAGATTGTAATCTCTCAATACCCCGAAAGAACCACGAGTATCTCTCTCTTGATTGTATGCTAGGTATTCGTGCTCTCCTTCATTCCATCCATAAACATCCACACTTTGATATACCTGCAGAGGAGCCCTCAGACGGAGGAATTTTGCATCGTTAAGTTCTCGCACGTCTGCTCGCGTTGTCAAAAGTTTCACCGCATGGTTGCTCGTCTTATTCTTCCGCTTCCTCAAAAGCCCCATGCTGTCGTCGGAAACCTTTAAATTAAGTCGAATCTCGCGTAGCAAACTGACAAGAGCAGGATCTTCTTGTCTGAAGACGGCAGCGAGGTGTACGTTATGAAAATTGCATTGTTGCCACGAACGGCTTTGGAAGGCCCATTTGTCTTCCTCATAATAGAGATTGATGTTGCAATCCTCATTCAAACATGTATAAGTACCTTTTTGTTTGTTGTGCTTAAGATAGCTGCCGCAATGGAAGCAGTTTTGGAATGGCATCACGGGTGGCAGCCCACAAAAGTCTCCAGTTACGATAACCTGAATACCTCCAAAGGGAAGAGAAGAAGATTTTACAGCCTTCATAACCTCGTTCAATCGTTCAAAGTGGAAGTTCTCGACCATGTTTATCTCCGAAATGATAATTACTTCAACGTTTGCCATTCGTTCGAACAATTGTGGGTTGCGCTCAGGATTCGTTATCTGAGATAGGCTCATTGTATGTGAGTTAGACATGCAGCTGGCGAAAGACCATGTGTTTCTGCCCCCATTTGCTAGTGCTATATCGTCCGTTGGGGTCAAGACAAGGACATTGTTGCCCATTCCTTCAAGGCGATCTCGAATGACTCTTAGCACTGTAGACTTGCCACAGCCTGCTGGGCCAGTATAAAAAATGTTGTGGCCTTCGACTGCGAGTGAAACCAAGTTTTCTTGCTCAACTGATAAGATCGGACTCTGCCCTTTTGTTAGATTTCTTGAGCGAGTTTTGACTGGAGCGAGCTCGTCGTCATTCGGTCTTTTTGAAGTTATATTCAATGCAACTGGTGTTTTCGATGACGACGCTTGTTCAGGATCTGCCGCTGTCAATTTATCTTTCTCTTTTTCTCCAATTCCCGGGCATTCTTTACGATTTCGGTGTAGCTTGGGAATGAACATCACCGGTGTCGGAAACGGCTGCTGTAGACTCTGTCGACCGAGACCGCTGGATGAAATAGCAGAGGCTACTGACCGCCTCCATAGTCTAGCGAATAGCATAGCGATGGCTCCAGCCTGAGAACGGGAATATACTTTACAATGAAACTTTGTAAAGTCAATAATTAACAGTGAAGAAGGTCACTCGCGAAGAAAGAGAACATCGCTGAGTGGTATAGCAAGTATCGACTATGGCAATGTTGCCAGCTGGTGATGTCGGAAGAAGTATGCCCCTTCTATGAAAAGTGACACAATACTGATAGAGACGGGAATCACTTGTCACTGAGCTTGAGCCAGCTACATTATCGTCAGAGGGGACTGACTTGATGGATGAAAGCTGGGCACTGAAGCATACACTGGACCATATACTAGATGACAGGCGTAAGTGAATTAAAGGCTAGGTGCTGAAGTAGATTAGATACCAGACGCAAGTGAATTGCAAAGAAGGGAAATTCTGTCACTCCAACACATAGCTATTAATAGCCCTGACGCATTCAAGAAAGCAGTATGATATCACAGTCGTATTGGTGATGGTAGATAAGATGTTCATGTTTTTATTTCATTTTTGCTGCTCTTGCCCTCCCTATCTTGGACCCTCATCTCCATTTACAGCACAACCAACTCACTCACGCCTTAAACGAAAAGCCACATGAGAAGCATATATCCAAAAACAAGGCTTTCGTGTCTATATGAAATGTTATATACCCAGCGCCGCCATTCTAAGTATTAAAATGATGTGCTTCTGTAACCTGGTGACAAAGGGTATCGCCCAGAACCAAAAAAATAATAATATGCCAATTGTATTGACCGCTTCTTATCCTCGCTCATCATTCCATTATCAATATCTTCTCCCCTTTTAATGTCGAAGCTTGTGCATCTCTTTTCTCCAGTGTTGTTCAAAAAACCACTCTTTCAAAATAATAGTACCGTACGCCCAACTCCGTGTCCGCCGAAGAAAAACAAGAAGACGTTGCTCCGAAATATGCGTACAGGATGTACATAATACAGGTGTCGTCGAATAAGAAAACGGGAAAAATGCAAGACATTCAAAGTCTTGGCATTAATCTGAGTGCTTATTCATGATGGGGTCCCACAGCATGGGGTCTTTGCAAATCATGTCTTCGGCGTAGACTCGGTAGCGCTCGAGAATGTCTGTCTGTTCGATTCGTTCTTCGCCAGCTTGGGCACCAAAGCTGAAGTGGGCAACGACACCACCGCCATCAGCAACAGCGTCTGTGATTACATAGTCAGCATCCATCTCATAGCAACATTTCTTCTTTTCTAGGAAAATAGCTTACGTCTTCCAGTCCTCTCAGGCATGGTGACGGCAAAATGCTGCTCGTCGTCGGCGTCAATTGGCTTGGCCTGATTGATATCCTTGCCCATCATGACAGTAAACTGAATTCCCATGCGCCTCAGCTGGAAATCCCAAGTCTTGAAACGATACTGGTCCAGGCTATCGTTCTCGATATTGTCAAACAGGCTGTAGTGCTCTTGAGCGGCAATCTGCCACTTCTTCCAGCCCTTTCCAAAAGCGTCGTATTCCGTCTCGGCAATGGGAGTGCGGTCAAGGATGTGGTCGTTGCGGCCCTTCATGGGTAGCCATCGGTGCTTCTGGTGGTCGGGAGGATTCCAGTCAATGACATTGAAATCGTCGGGCCCATCCCAGGAGGGCAACGCAGATGGTCGCCAGTCCAACTTGCTGCCGGGCTTGGGCGCAGGGTAGGCCTTGTTAATCTCGGGCATGTAGGGCTTAATGGCGCCAAGGTTCCAGTGAATCCAGCTAATAAGCGGTTGGTTGATGACATTGGCGGAAACGACGTAGTATTCGGGGTGTTCAGCTCGGGTGGTGACAATGGAGGGGATGACGGAGTCTTCGATGTAGACCTGGCAATGCATGTTAGCTCAAGGATTCCAATCCACCCTCACGCTGCCTTATTCTTATTCTGGGGTCATTCATACTATATCGTCGTCCATCTTGACATACAAGACGTCATCTTGGATGAGATCGTAGGAGGAGGCATAGCCGCCCTCGCTCATGTCAATGTCCCATTTTTCGTAATCGGGCTCGCTCGCTAGTAGTTTTTCGAGGAACTTGATGTCTTTCTCTTTCTTAGTCCGCTGAAGGAAGATGACACCGTCGAGGAGGCCGCCGTTCTTGGCCAAATTGCGCTGTTATTTCCGCCATCTCGGGTTAGCAGGCTGCTTCTGACTGTTGGGTTGGTGTACGCTGTACCTTTAGATAACAATCCAGAATCGAAACGGTGGAGCGACGGCCGTAGAAGATGAGGCCCATGATCTTCTTCGCCTCGGCCGGACGCTTCCAGGTGACGCCGCCAATCTCGGTGGGAACGCAGTATGTCGAGTTTCCGTGCCGCAGCGTGCCCTTGGGACACTTGTCATCCACGGGTTTCTTTGGCGGTCTCGCTTTGTCGCCCCCCGGCCCATGTGGCCGTCCTGGCCCTCCCGGCGGTGGAGGAGGTGGAGGAGGAGGAGGATGAGGAGGATGTGGTGGTGGTGGCCCTCCTGGTCCTCTATGGCCGCGGAGATCGCCTGGCCCGGGAAGCAGATGGAAGTTCCAGACGTAGATCAGCAGCGAGATGAAGAGGATGGAGCCGCCGAGCAGCGAGTGCACGGCGTACTTGTTGTTGCCGAAATTCAGCAGCATCGTGTCTGCGTCGGCGTCGGCGTCGACTGTGTGTCCAAGATGTTGTCGCGCTCGCGTCGCCGGGCGGATGTCGTCGACGGCCTGCGAGGGGGGAGAGGAGGAGAGGAAATGCAGACGCCGCTTCGTCGCACAGAGAGGCAAAGGGAGGCAATTCCAGGTCCAGATGCGCGCCGCGACCGCGCTAGTAGGGGGCCGAGTTAGTGCGAAATGCAGCGTTTTTGGTGCGCCCAATCCCGTGGATGCTAACTTTCCCACAATTTCGAGACGACCCGCCTGGAGCGCTGGAAAGGGACCCTAATCGGAGATATTCCGGGGGCGCAGCATGTAAATGGATAGGTGGGAGGAGAAAAAAAGAGGCGGATGGGTGCGCAGAAAAGGGGTGCAGCAGTGAGGGCAGGTGAAGGACCAAGCGATGAGGCCTGGTGGAGGAGAAGGTGAGGGTCGAGTCGCAAACCATCGACTCGATTCTTGCGAATTATTGATACTGGCTGTCGCTAGTCTGATCGCAAGAGATTGCCGCCACGCAGCGCTAGGATTGGCCTCTCCGCAGCCCGTGGCATCCGTTCCTGGACGCTGGTGATGCCAAGAGCTTTCCATCTGTCAGAGGCCCGCCCGCCTGTATTTCCCATTGTGTGGCGCTATTGTTAATAGACTGGCATTTTTTGGGGGGCCCAATACAGCCGCCCACTGTGTCATATCTACCTACTAACAGTATCCGTACAGAGTATGTACGAAGGTACTTGAAGTATTAGCGAGAGGCTAGCCCGGCATTTGCCGCTGAAAGGATACAGAGCATCCATCTAATAATAACCATCTTGGTAATATGTTCCAGGCTCAGACTGGACATTATTACTATTACGGAATTGCAAAATGATCTTTATCTTTTTTTTTTTTTTTTTTTTTCCTTTACTATCTACGAGACTAGGCAGCGCCCAAGTCAGCAATGTCTCCGCCAGAGATGCTAGCCACGGTCAATCATTGCCCGCATTGCGCAAGCTCAAGCTCCCGAGACATGTACCCGAGACAGTTACGTACTCAAAAACACATGCAGCCTGGAGGTATATCGGCTCCGACGGTACTTCGCATCATAACATTTATTGAGGCTATGCAAAAGCAACCAACGGCGTGGCTGGAATGATTCGTCGACGATGGCTGGCAGTCTCGCGTTTCTACAGTCTACGTCATCATCATTCAATTTGACACCTTCAGAGTTTGCTTCTGCCACATTCCGCTGCATGCAGTCGTAAGATGAGGAGCCCAGAGCAAAAGGACCGCCCATGCCGCCTCATCAACATGTCATCGACATGTGGCCGCCCACCAACAGCCACACAATCGACAGCACCTCGTTCTTGGTATCAGCGCCAATGCCAGAAATGGAATGCGAAACGGCTTTGCCTGTTCCATTCAAGCGAGCGCAGCAAAATTGCAGATTCATCCCTTGCTTCGCCCTTTGGTTCTGGAACCTCGTGCGCTGCCGTTGACAATAGAGTTGGCTGTCGATCCATGTTTCTCCCCGAGATCCCCTTTCTTGGCAATTCAATGTTCTTTCTAGGAGCGGCACTAAGAAAAGCTTGTTTTGCAGGCTATTTCTGCCATGTGAGAATGTCACTCTTAGACTGGAGAATTCGATCCTAACGCAAGGTTGGGGTACACGACTTACAGAGACTTTTTTTTTTTTCTTTTTTTTTCTTCTTGCCTTTCCTCTTCTTTTACAATGAGAAAAAACCACAAACCTAATGAAGCTTCTATGCTGTCCGGCCAGTCACGGGAAAATCACCAATATCCGGCCGGTGACATGCTCCCTTCCCCATCTCCTCTTTCTAACCCAAATCAACAGGTAGGTTACATGCATCAACTGCTACTCCACACAGCCACCGACTCTTTGACCGCCATCACGCTCAGGAGGTTACATCTGCCTCATCAACAAAAGCAGCACTGCCACAGAATGCCGCTTCTGCTCTCCTTTATGGCCTCAAACAAACAGCGTATCATCAAGCCAAGACCGCGTTGAGTTCTGCGGCAGTCACACAGCCTAATTTCCAAACAAATTAAATCCTCAAACGCTTGCTTACAACTTTGCGAGTTAATTTAATACGAGCCGCTCTCCTACACGATGCTTGTCAACTTTGCAAAACGACGTGGCCACCACGTCTGGGTCCGACTCCGACGTAGCCGTCAACTTGACAACACCAACAGCATCCTTCGCATCAACATCCGCGCCCACCGCCACGTAAGCCTTTGCTGCTTGGCCGTATTTCAACGGAATCACAGCCTTTGGCAGCACCGCCTTCCAACCAGCACCCTTGATATCAGCTTCCAGTCGGAAAATGTCCCACTCAACATGATCTGATAGAACTTGAGCATGACCTTTATGGGAACCATGATACGTGCCGTTGTTTGTGAGCTCAAACTCGCAAAAGATACCCCTGGTGACAGAACTGCTCTTGTCACGCACAAGCGGCACGCCGGAAGTCATCCGAACCCCGTATTCGCTTGAGCTAGCGTCGGCGAGAGATCTTGCCCCTACGATATAGGAGAGCACGCCGCTTTCATCCCTGTGGACGTCCAAGATGTAGAAGTGAAGGCTATTGGCCTCATCCACAAACTCGTATTTGCTGCCAGATCTAGTGCCGGCGTGGAATAATGCATCGGCTAGTTGGCGATAGTCACCCATTGTAATCATAGCGGCTGTCCCATTGGGCCGCATAAAGTCGACGAGCTTGATATCTTGTGGATTCGCATCGATAGTCCACTGGAATGGCTGGGAATTGCTATTTCTTGTCTTGCTAATCATAACGCCACTGTCGGGCTGGAATGAATCGGCCCCCATCCTATCAATAACTTCTATATCATAAGTGTTGTAGCCACCTCCATCGCAAAGCACGTCGGTAGAAATATTGCATGCTGGCGATAGATCTCGACTAATGTCGACCCTCAGGCCAATGAGTTCGGACACGACAGATCGGGCAGTGATTTGTGCCACAACAGGGCCCGATTGTGCCAAGGCATCTCTCGATATACGAACAATGGTATCATTGGAGATGAGTCCCAGAACAAGCTTGTCTCTAACCGTATGCAAGGAACCCATTGACCCTCCCTGTAGCGCCGGTATTTGATACCGTGTGTGTGGACCGCCGGGGCCATTGAACGATCCTCGAGACATCATTGAGTACGGCCCGGTATAACTTCGCCGCAGAGGGATACCGTACGGATTATTATAATTGTCGCCGATATTCAACAGGTGACTGAGCTCATGGGCATAGGTTCCCATTCCCGAGCTTTCACACTGAGTCGATGAACCGCCACCCGCGTTTGGCCAAATGGTAGATGCCGATGCCCACGAAGTCCAGGGAACATATCTAGTCGATGCATAATTGGGCAGCGACGAAGAGCCGTTGGCGTTCTTCGGCGGTCCAAATTCGTCAGGGACATCCTCCGGTGATGAGAACTTCATCTCGCCAAACTCTTGCCACGTTGACGACTCATCTTGTCCAGCGGAAAGTATGAATACGAGCTCGAACGAATTACTCGTACTATTTCCCACCTCTGCTCGCCAAGCTGCGTAAGCATCGGTTCGAATATCGCGGTTGCAAGCGCTGCTGTTCCCAGGGCACGCTCCAGGATTGAAGCCGTCGTCTACACCGTACTGGTACGATAAAGCAGGCATGCGGTACGGCCCAAATGCCGTCAAGTCGACACCATATCTTCCATGAGAATCTTCCATCCAATACTCATGCATTGTGTGCCCGCGGTTCAGGTCGGTAGGCTTGTTCAGTAAATCGCGATAGTACGCGGGTACATCTTCTCTCGCGATACCAGATACTATCGGCAAGGGGTTACCAAAGACAGTCGAATTGGGCGCCCTAGTGACAACAAAAGTCTCATCGCTGTAGTCGACTGCTATCAAAGCGATGTTGAAGTTGCGACTCGAACCTTTTTTTGTCGCATCGTTCCATTGAGTACCGGGCGGCGCCTTGAAGTCGTCCCAAGTCATGTCATCGGGGTTTACCCAGACTTGGGGATCGATAGGCACAAATGGATCTCTCCATGAGGGTTTCGACAACGCCTCGACTGGGAGACTAAGAAGCTCAAGACACAGCACTGCTGCAAAAGCAGAAGCCACTGCCGTGAGGCGGCGCGGCCCGTAGATAGACATTGCCGCTGTCTTCCAGCACTATGCGCCCAGATGTAGGTATAAAAGGCTCCCTCTATCACCTCAAGAGCTCTGAGCTAGGACTGCCCAGTGTTATATAGAAGGTTTCATCTTGTAGCGTTTGTCTAACAAGTATCATACATGTAGCCGATATAGACGTGAAATAACCCCGCTCCCAAGACGGCCGAACGTTCAAATATTCCCTGTACACTTTGAAAACCCACGGATAGACGTAATCCAGTTCTTTACTATTATGCTTATTGCGTTTGTCCGGTTTAAGTCCCACCTGCTGCATCTGGACTGTAGACCGGTAGTATTGATACAATGATCCAATCAAAATCTGGCTTGGCAACCGATAATGTGCGCGGAGTTGACGGCCATGATGAGGAACGATGCTACTTGGAAAATGATCACATAATAGCATCCTCTTTGGAAACAAAAGTTCTTCTTATCGAGGTATACGGACGCCTAACTCATACCCTTTTTATGGAGATGCTTATCGGCAGTTTCTTGGCAAATGCGCAGGGATCTTTCGGTGGAGTTACGTTACGCGATGAATTGTATGAGAGCCATAGAATTGAAGTTTGTTGAACTTCATTTCGACGGCGTATGTGAAGCCGACGCGTCGAGGATGAATTGAGAAAGGTGAATTTAGCATGCCAAAACATTTATAGAGGTACAACCAAGTCTCCGAATCAGAGATTGACTACATAATACATATTCTCTAAAAATAGAGGAGCCGCCGAGACTAGTACATGCGTACTACTTCATGGGACCTGGAGTTTCGCTTGGTGCCAAGAACTAGCCTACGGGAACATCTTGGCTATGAGGCTCTATATAGCTATATATACATGTATCAAGCATATTCTAGAAATCGAATAATTATGTTTCATACAATACTTCTGCCATAAACATAGTCGGTCTAATTGTAAAATCAAATTTTACTGGTGCTTTGTCTTTTGCCAAGCCATGACCATCCCGAAATGGGGCATAACCGAGCCGTGTTGTTATGACTAGTAATTGGAACAGGTGGCACAGACAGATTTTCACTGCTTGATAACTTGATCCTACGCATAGTCGGGCATAGGCAGCAATTGAAACCCATGACGCCGTGGTTGAAGTGTGGAAGATACACAGACGCACGTGTATGCCTGGTGACGCTGTTAAACGGGCCACCATCCGCATCTTGTCTCACTCTCTGACCAAAGATGCGCGGCACCGTGTCCCACCCGGTGGCGCTAATGTAAGCATAAAAATAGAGCTGAAAGTCTTCATATTTGGAAGGACACTGCGGCACATTCCAATTGCACTCATATCGCATACTGACGCCTTATACAAGATGCCTCTCTTTATCCGCGTATCTCCTGTCTGCAAGATATTATACCAGTGCTTCTTTTGGTATGTAACGCACTTCTCCCAATCCTGGTTCAAGGGGGAAACAGCGGATCTAACTGGATGCTAGAACGTCCTATCCACTTCTCAGTTATCGCTCTTCTGCTCACTGGGATATCTTTGCTGGCCTCTACATATTATTGGAGTCGTCAAGGTGATTACCAATCTCTCACCATCGTGGCAAATCACAAGAGTACGACAGATGTTATTCAACCAACAAGCACGGCTGTCAAGTATGTAAGAATCGGGCTAGAGCATGTTCTACATCTTCATCCGTCCTTTCCTTTCCTTCTATTCTGTATAGGATTGCGGACATGGCTCTATTGGGCAGTTATTAGAACTACGCAATGTTCACGCACTGGTATAGAGGTATGGCTTGGTTACCATACAACGAGACAACTAGCTTTCATCTAAACTTAATACTTCATGCAGGCATTTCTACCTCTTTTCACCTTTATCATAGATGCAGTAAGACCTCTATACACTCCATCGAGGTCACAATATGGCAGCCTCAATAGACCGCAGACACAGTGGTCTATACCGTCAAAATCGCAAATCATATTCACCTTTCTCGCCATAGTATGGCCTCTATTTGTATTGTCCTCGGAAGAAAGCTCCATCACTGCCACCGGCACTATTTGCCCCATTGGATGGCGATGGGAACGCTTCGTTCCTCTCATTCAGCTGTTCAATAGCGTACTCGATGCCGCCATTATAAGCTGTACATCTCATCTGGCTCGTGCCGCGATGGAGGACGGTGTCGATATAGCTGCCTTCATGAGTAAACTCTCGCTTATCGCGGCAGGAAGTATTTTACTTCTCTCTTTTCCTTCCTGGCTTTCTGACTCGGAATTTGTCATGGCATTCCGCTTTCGAGCCCTTGATAACCGAGATTTTGCAATTGATGGGTTCTTGGCAGCTATTGGAATACTGTGCGGCATATCACTGCTGTCTTCTTTACATCCAGCATGTCTTGCCCTTCTCGTGACAACTGCCACATTTATGGGCTTACAGATACCGCTTCGGAGAGTTATTTCGGTTCTACCATCCTCATCTTATGACGAGCTTACAAAACACACGGCTCTTGCGATTCTTGTAGCGGTGCCCTTATGGTATCTTGCTATTCGTGTTCACCATGCTGAAGATTCTGCTACGTCGCGGGAATTATTCAAGTGGCTTATCATCTGCAGTAGTGGATTTGCACTCCTTGCCTTGGAAACAGTAACGCGGCTGCTCTTCTTTAAGCACTCGTCTATGGTTTCAGTTGATGTAGCCATTAATTCACTTGTTTCAGAAGCGTCAGCACAAGCTTTCTCATGGGAATTGCAAGCAGCAGTTAGTCTATCATTGGCCGACGCTGCGAGTGAATACACGAAGAGATATGGCATCCCACCCCCACCACATTTTGACAAATGGTATGAGTTCGCCAGCGGACATAATTCTGCCGTTGTCGATGACTTTGATCAGATTAACAACGATTTGCTCCCATTCTGGGGACTAGATCCTGGACGTATACGTGAGCAGACCACCAGGGTCTTCAAATATGGAAGCTCTGAAATGGGCGGCATGCGCATTAGGAATGGATCCGTGGAGCAGTCGCCGTATATACCAGGATCGCATCGCTGGATGACGGACTCTTTCCAAAAGATGATTGAACCTTTCGCTCAATGGCTGCCTGATATGGATATAGCCATCAATCTCGCGGACGAGTGTCGTATGGCAGTTCCATTCGACCAAATGAAACAACTAAAAGCCAACGCCCGAAAGAATAGAGATAAAGTGAAAGGCCAAAAGAAACAGAAGGGTTGGCCAAGCAGTCAATTTTCACATTCTGCATGGCCCAAGGATTTCCCAGAGCCATTACCTCGAGCAACAAATGGCAGAAAAGATGCTATCGATCCCAAATTCACGAACAATATTCGAAGACCAATCTTTTACGATTTTGTTGCCCCCTCATGCTCACTAGATTCTGCCGTGAATTCTGGGCGGTGGTGGGATTGGAGTAAACTCTGTGTTAACTGTATAAGTCCACATTCTGTATTGACGAGCAGCGGTGTATTGCTGGCAAACACATCACTTGCTCACGATCTTTGCCACCAGCCAGATGCCGCATATTTGGATGGGTTTCTCAACTCGCCATCTGCTATGATAGGCACGAAAGTCTTCTTCCCCATATTTAGCCAAGCACGTGTTGGTGGCTTCTCAGACATTTTGATTCCATCACCATGGAATTTCGACGAGAAAAGTGCATTCAAAGAGGACAGAGGCGTGGCGTGGGAGGAGAAAGAAAATGGCCTTTTCTGGCGTGGATCGCGGTCTGATGGCTTCTCGGCTCATGGACGATGGCCAGGATTCTTACGGCCAAGGTTTGTGCATGAAGCTTACGATAAAACGATATCATTGCAATCTTCTGGTACAAAGTCTTCAATGAGTGTCAATGTTTCTTTTATTGGACAAGTATCTAAATGCGACGGAAGAGACTGTGCCGCTGAATCAGAGCTTTATGAGAAATGGGGTCTAGCGACAATGAGCAAGGTTCCAGTCACCACAGAAGCTAAACAGCTCCCTCCCAGCGTTCCATTTGAGGAACATTGGCGATACCGTCATTTGATGGACATGGACGGCGCAGGTTTTAGCGGCCGCTTTCTTCCCTTCTTGGAGAGCCGCAGCTTGCCCTATCGCGCAGCCGTCTTTCGCACTTGGTACGACGAACGACTCCAAGCTTGGCATCATTACGTCCCTGCAGATCTGAGGCTCGGCTCGGGATTTTGGTCCGTTTTCGAGTTTTTCAGTGGAGGTCCTAATGACAAGAACGGTCAAGGACCTGACATGGCTAAGAAGATTGCTGAGCAAGGTAGAGAATGGACGCGCAAAGCGCTGAGAAAGGAAGATATGCAGATTTACATGTTTCGCTTGCTATTAGAATGGGGGAGAATCACACATGATGAAAGAGAGGATCTGGGTTTTACAATATAGACAATTAAACCGAATATTATATAGCGAGAGAACTGATCCTTGATTTTCAACGCAACACCTATACTCCCATGCCATCGTACCATCATAGAGCAAAATTCCCCATTGAGAAAAAGCACAGCGAAATCGCGCTCAGATAATTCCACAATAACTATCAAACCAAATGTATAATAATATTGCACCAGGCCAAATATCTAAAGAACATCTAATGTTGGAATCGGAAGTCAAGCCTCTTATTTCCTTCGTCAGTCGTCGTAGCGAGATAATCCAGTCGCTCACTCTCCGACATGGCCGCCCATTTCTTCTCACGGTAGCGGTTGCGAGCCATGAAATATACCTTGGTAAGGAGATAAATGACGATATTCATACAGTTAATTCCAAGAAGCGCACGATTGCCACGGACATAGCGAGGGGCATCGTCTATTAAAAATTTAGTAAGCCAAAAGTAAGAGCGAGAGGTGATGTGAGAGTAAATTACCTGCTTGATAGATGTTGGCGGAAATAATTCCCCCAGCTTGCACGAACATGTTATAGCACGCGGCTGAAACAGTTCGAAGCCGGACAGCATTGGAATTGCGGGAGTTCCAGGCGACTTGAATTGGATGCGCTGCGTTTGGGCGTTAGAAGGCATGGCTAACATGGTGTGCTTGTACCTGAGCTGGGATGAACTTACCATTTGGGTATGCTAAAAGCAGTGAAACTACTACCCAGAATACCCATTTGTTGACTTCCTGGCTATTTGTGACGTTGAGGTAGATCAAGAAAGGAAGCACCCATATTTGACCGAATAAGGCAGTCAGAGTAAGCTCGTTGACAGCTTCAGCGAAGTATGTGAGGCCCAACATTGTGAATACTAAGGGAAATTAGTAAGAGAACTTTTATCCCGACATTCAAAGGAATCTTACCATGCAATACCGTCGAGGGAATGGTAAGTAAGTTGGTTTGGAAAGTGTCGAAGCCGAGTCCCTTAAGCGCAAGAGTAAGATAATTCGCGGGCGGCGTGGCGGGGATTTGGAATACAAGTCCAAGTATGTAAATCGGCCTATTGAATTCGGTTATTAGCCAAACCAATCTCTGGCTTTGCTTGGAAAAGCTTAAACGAACCAAAGATCATAATCTTTAAGACTTTGCCATAGTAATCTCGGCGTGACCGGCTCGCGATTATGCATGGAACTCTTGCCAGGATCCTCGCGGATTACTCGATTGACGATGATTTTCTCTTCTCTCTCGTTAAACCACCCATTCTTGCCTCTAAACCAACTGGGTGTCTGACAAGGGCCGGGGGGCATGAGGACCCAAGAGAGGAGTCCAACAACGAGAGTCAGAAGGCCCTAAACTTGTTCGTTAGTACACGTATCAAAGAGAATATTGGGGGATATTGCCTAAGGGGGCCTTACTTCAATAAGGAATAGCCATCGCCATCCAGCCTTTCCTGAAATACCTCGCATGTGTAACAGCCCATACGCAAGCAAGGCCGACATGATATCTGCCAAGCTGAGAGCAGTCCAGAAAAAGCCAAGTCGAATTGATAATTCGGCATGTTTGTAGAAGTATGAAAGATATAAAATGATCTGTTTTATGATTAGCAGCCATAATATCCGATGGTACTTAGTATATGAAACTCACATCTGGAATAAATCCACCCTGAATAATTCCAAGCAAGGCACGTGTGGCAAGGAATGATGATCTACCGGATAGCCAAAACTGTGCACCCGCAATAATGCTCCAGATGCACATTTGCATCGGAATCCATCGATCGGGGCCCATCCATTTCGAAACCAATTGTGACGGAAGTTCTGCAATGAGGAAAGACAGTTTGAACACGGTATTACCAAGGTTGTAGTCTTGAAGATGGGACGCATCAGCATCAATACTAGATGTATATGATGGGAATCGAGCATACCATTGGTTGTCATATGGAGATCAGTAAGAAAGTTGTCCGTAAGAGCTTGTGAAAGGTTGGAACGATCAAGCTCGAGAGCCATGAACATAATGCATGCCCAGAACGTGATATACCAGTCAATCTTCCGAATAAGCCTCAGCTCCTCACGCCAAGTCCATCTGAAACTGGGATCGAATCGGTGGATATTTTCCCTGAGAAACCTCAGATTAGCAGCTAAGAGCCAAGTCGTACAAAATGAATTTGTATTGTCTTACCAGTCTGCTCTTGGCTGGTACTTTTCTGCTGTATCAGCATCATCAAAAACACTGAGCTGCCACCCTCTCAGTCAGTACAGCTGCAGCAAAGTACCAATTGAACAGTCACAAACCTGGGTTGCAATGGCATCTTTGTCAATTGGTGACCCTCCTTTGAACCATGACTTTCTTTCAGTTATGGGAGCTCCAAGAGGCGGAGAAATGCTGTCTAGTGAGACTGTCGAGACAGACGATGGGTCTTTCAAGCCTCTAGCAAGTACAGTCGCCATTGTGCCGGCTGTGAAGGTTGAAAGAGCTAGAGGGAAGGTGAAAGTAACTTTGACGAGTATTTAGACATTATGGAGTATCTGTTCTAGATTGATTATATAGCAATGCAACCATAAAACCCGCCTTGGTGTCTGAATGTGGCGATCGCACGCAACGAGCCAAGAAACGACATCGAGTGCGCGGTAGGTCCGGATGGGTATGATGAGAACAACCCAAGCGATTACGACGAGAGGGCTAGACTCGATAGAATCTAGGATGTCTACTACCAAGATATGCTCTCTGGGGTATCAATAAGCGGCTGGCGGTTAGGACGAGCAATATCTGAAATGACCTGTGACCCGGCCCTGGCCACTGGTCTTTCTAGATCGTTACTCTGGGGAATGAGATTATGCATGTGCGCTTGCGTATTCAGATACAGGTTTTGGCAGCATAATTTTTGTCATTTGGGGTTTAAGCCCGAGTTGGCTACATACTACATTTTCTAAATTGAACGATTGTCCCTTTCTTGCGGAGTTTTGGTGTTTTGAGCGATGACTTCGACGCGATAAACTAACTACTTATAAATTGGAACAACTAACTATTCGCATCAATTGCTTCCCCCCATTATCTCCAGCGTTTTGTATAAAATCCCTTATTGTTCTTTTTTTTTTTTGAAGCTGACATATCCTAGCATTGTGTAGTATAGCGCACCTTATCTATGATGTTTCATTATGCGAGTGGCGGCCACAATCACGCAATCACCACCATGATCCTTTCAACAAGCGGTAACACGCACATCCTCAACCCCCCAAAACGTGTCCGAAGCACGCAATTCGAGTGAATTGTACGGGCAGCCTAGATAGGGATACCGGGAAGATTTTATCCCTCTGAAGGCGACATGCCGCGTGCGACTTCCATAACAGAGACCCTTGTCTCCATGTAGACGGCCTAATGCTAACAATTGGCCGTGCTTGCTGTCGTGCTTCCATGAGATGTTGATGTGATTTCACAAGCTGAGGGGCTCTCTCTGCAGCACCCCCGCGTTCAAAGAGCGCAGCTGATTATGCTTGAATTCGTCACGTCCAGAAAAAAAAAGTCTATTTGTGATTATTGGATGGTGCGATATCTCCTAGTCTTGAGACGTCCGCGCCGTCGCGTTGGAGACGTGGCTAGTCTGCGAGGTTCCGGCACTTGGCCTTCGAGATGCAGCAGTTCTAACCCAAAGAGACGCTTTTACTCCGACTGGAACCAGATGCCATGCAATGTAACTGAACACGCTGCTCGTGAACGGCCTGCTTGCACCGAGGACCCGACCGAATCCTCCAATCGCATGCTTTACAAGTCTGATGTTGTAATGGCCGAGATCCCCAAGTCTGCGACTCTATATGTCGTGAGGACTGTTGGTGAGGGTTCTCTCCCCTCACTGACGCAATTTGGCAGCCGATGTCGTATAATAACGCGTCACTTTATAGCTTGTTGGGTGAATACGGCTAAAAGATGGCTCAGAAAGGTGATCAATTCAGCAAGGATAATGGTGCTGATATCAAAGGGCGTTGGTTTCGGCGTGACTCAAATGTAGCAGCAGCTGAAAAAGATATTGAGGTGCGAAGACTAGTATATAACTGTTCGTCGTGTCCCAAAGCAAAATTGTGTGATTCGAATTAATCCATCGAAATAGGAGACCGATATCGAGCCTTTACTGCCTTTTACCGTTATCCAAGCACAGCAGCAATAATGGCTCCCGCAGCAGTTGAAGCACCTGCTATTATTCACGACTTACCCATAAAGACCAAGGCTCAGCAGCCTGTACCCCTTGCTGGCACCTTGGATCAATATGAGTCCTTTGACATCACTCCAGTAATCGGCCGTGAATTCCCCAAGGCCAATCTTGTAGAGTGGCTGAATGCTCCCAACTCCGATGAGCTTATCCGGGACCTCGCTGTCACTAGTAAGTCATCTTTGAAAGAAGCCTTGAACATTTCATCTAACTCTTTATAGTTTCACAGCGTGGCGTCGTCTTTTTCCGTGCCCAAGACAACCTCACCAACGACCTCCAGAAGGAGCTGATTCTAAGACTGGGCAGGTTAACCGGACGTCCTGCTACATCTAGCTTGCACATCCACCCTGTTTTGAACAATGAACGCGAGCTTGGTGGCAGTGATCCCGAGATCAGCACTATCAGCTCAGTTCAATTCGACAAGTTCTACAAGCAGACTGGCCCAGGAGAGCTCAGCCCCAAGAAGCAGAAGGCTGCCAGCTGGCACAGCGATATCGCTTTTGAGCCTGCTCCAGCCGACTACACATCTCTTCGCCTTACTAAACTTCCACCGACTGGAGGCGGTAAGTAAGCTCGCTTTTATTCGCTCAACAGTGATTCTAATCATGATATAGATACCCTCTGGGCTTCTGGCTACGAAATCTACGACCGTATTAGCGAGCCTTATCAGAAATTCCTTGAATCTCTGACAGCTACCTTCCAAACACCCTCATTCAACGAAATCGCTGCTCGTGGTGGCTTTGAGCTTTACAGCAAGCCTCGTGGCGCCCCCGAAAACATTGGGACTGAACTCAAGGCTATTCACCCCGTTGTGCGAACCAACCCCGTCACTGGCTGGAAGAGTATCTTCCCTGTTGGCGGTCATGTCAAGCACATCAACGGAGTGACCGAAGATGAGAGCAACAGACTGCGACAGTGGTTCTTGGACCTTGTCCATGATGGCCATGATTTGCAAGTGCGATTCCGCTGGCAGAACCCCAACGATATTGGTATGTATCGTCCTTTATGACTTACTTAAGAGCTGAAAGCTAACGTAATTTGTCAGCTATCTGGGATAACCGAAGTGTGTTCCACACTGCGACCTACGATTATACAGGCTTGGGTGAGCGCTTTGGCAACCGAGCTGTTGGCGTGGGCGAGAGACCCTACTTTGACCCCAACAGCACTTCTCGCCGGGAGGCATTGAGCAAACAAGCGTAAATAGAGTCTAATTATGTAGCGATTGATTTAATAAATCACTGTCAAACAATTGGGCGAAAGTAATACACTGAGTTAATAATCCAGGGGGCTTCATCTACTTGCACCTGGGTACTCTCTGGTAGTCTTATAAACGTTTATAGGTGATTTCCACCAATTAGTGTCAGCAGCTGTAAGCTTCACACCTCTTAAGTTACGTAGCTTACACGACCGGGTATTGATAACTCAAGTTGTTGTATCTTAAGTATACTTAAAGGGGCCCGAAAATTGAAAACTTCTCCACTTTCTCAATCTGGGAACCCATTGGGTATCTCTCAAAATTGATGTTCGATAGCTAAGTAGCTTAAATGTTGTGTGAGTACATACATACTATGAGTGTTAAGAGCAATGGTAAATCGGTAATTTGAAAGGCAAAGCATCAGATAAACAAGTTATGAAAGAGTTTGCTATTCCTAGACAAAGAATGCTAGGCTAAATACCGAAACAACATGCGAGGTAGCGCTAGCTGCCCAGAAAGCATACGCTGAATAGCTCTCATAGTTAAAAGACTTAGGCATATGCTCCACTACTATATGTTTTGCAGGCGATGTACGAGCATCAAACTCGGTTCAGCTTCTTGCCCAAATCCTCGCGAATATAGACCTCGTTAAATTCTCTAAGGTACAGCGAAGCCCCCATCTTTGCAAATACCTCCTTAATCTTTCCATCTTCATCTTTGTCTAAATGGACAATACGCCAAACATTGAGCGGCTCGTCTTCAGTTCCAGTGGCAGAGTGCTCGACGTGGAAAAGCACCTGAGGTCCAGTGACAATCCTCTTGCCCTCCGGATCTTCGACTTCTGGGATACCAATGAAAAATTCTCGCTGCGATTCGTTGTCTATAAAGACTTGCTCGATAATTGTGCTGTACTTGGAAGGATCCACCCATGTTGCTTGGTCTGAAACCCGGACAAATATCTCTCTCGGGCCATCCTTGCGCACATTGAAGACGCGAACACTTCCTGGCCGCAAGATGTGCCGCAAGTATTTTCCTGGGTTGTGTGCCTTGTTGTACTCCATGTCCCACAGTTGGGTTTTCGTGTAATACAAATCCGGATCAGCATCATAGGCCCCGCTCTTGATGACCTTGTTTACATTGGAGGGCTCTAGGCTGATGGCGGTGTTTTGGGGGTCGCGAAAAGCGGCTTCCAGAATTCGTCGTGATTCTTAAAGGCAGCCATGTTGTTTTCCTGAAAGAGTAATTCCTGTGTAAGAGACCTTGAATTGAATATCTGCTGTCGAATACAGATTGTTGGATGGGATCTTGAGACCATTATATACACGGCATGTAGTGTAGCCTCATGAGGCTGCATGAGAGACATGGTGTCCAGCGGCAGTTGTCGCCCGACGCCTATTCGCCTATGGATACGACATGCCAAGTTAAGCTTAGATATTGATTTCACGAAGTAAGCAAATATCCATATTAGCTACGATCTTCGCGAGCCGTAAGCCGATGGGCCGAAAGGTCGCTCCAATTCGCCCTCGCTCTCAAGTTCGTGCTTCTTTATTTGCGGAGTGGCCGATTACTCATCCTCGCCTCGCCTCCAGCTCGCACTATCCCACTTAGACCGATGTTTATTTGCTAATTGCTAATCAGCCGCATAAATAGCTCTAATATTAACAGTTGAGAAGGACTCAAGTTTAAGATCTTATTAGGAAGTCAAATTATGGAATAGGATATAAAGAACTTCGGCGAATGTGGATATCTGAATTCGCGTTCAGTTTCTCAACCGCGAAGTATAAGGCCAAAGACTTTCTTTATTTGTTCTCCATGTCTCCGGATTGATCAGCCGTTAGTAGGCAATTTCACGACCGCAATGTTCAAAAATATTGATTCTGCTATGCCAATGTTCGCTCATACTTTATGCCAATGTTCGCTCATACTTTATGCCAATGTTCGCTCATACTTTATGCCAATGTTCGCTCATACTTNTATGCCAATGTTCGCTCATACTTTATGCCAATGTTCGCTCATACTTTATGCCAATGTTCGCTCATACTTTATGCCAATGTTCGCTCATACTTGGTACTGATCCCAGTGAAAAACAAAGTTGCGACAAGAAACGATTATCAAGCGAAGAGTCCGGTAGAAATGAAAGTAGTAATTCAAGCTATCAGAAAATAACGTAATGAGGTCAAGAGCTACATTTGCCACAATATCCGCATTCCTCATTGCATTCAGTGAAATCACCGCTGCCACTATCACTATCATCATCAATCTCTTCAGTGTCTTCTTCGGTGTCTTCAAGCCACTTCAACCACTTTTCTTTCACCTCTGTTGAAAATGCTACACCTGCCTCTGGGAGGCGTTCTCGAATCTCTAAGACACCTTCTTGTACCCTAACAATTTCCAGCAAGGTGCCTTCTTTCTCCAATGCCATAGAAATTATGCGGTGCAGGAGAGCGCTTAAACGGCGCAAGTCTGCCTGATGAGATTTTTCCCAGTTTTCAATGTCATCTCGGATATTAGAAACTTCAATGTTGCAGAAAGTCCCATATTTGTGGTGCGCAAGTATAAAATTGGGGATTTGCATAACCCACAAGCGCGGCAGTTCCTCTCCAAGAGTGTCTCTATCGATGGCTTTTATTGAGCGAGTCTTTAGATCAAAGGCAGATGACTGTGGCGTTAGCTGACCGCCATCGACTACTTCAAGCTGTCCAATTTTAGTCGACTTAGTAGGCGATGGCTCTATAGTGAGATCTCCAAGAAGATTGGCTATGTCTTCATCGATAGCTGGAGATGGCATAGCAGTCGATGGGCTCTTATCATTATCTTCTTCAATGTAGCCATCTGAGCTCTGCCGCATCAGCAAATCAAGCTTTCCAAATCGGCATCTAGTAATTCTGTGATGCGATTTAGACGGCTGGACATCATGCGCCCATGTGGTATAAGCGTCTGGGAAAGCATGTCCATAGCCTCTGACTCCTATCATCTGCTCTTTTGGCGAATTTTCTCTTCGCACTAGATGCACAGTTTTGCCTACAACTTCAACAAGCATACGGAAAGTGCTCTCAACGCCTCGAACAAAACGCAAAAGGTTTCCAAAAGTACTATTACAGCCGACAATATCAATGTCAAATGAATCTGGGTGCATCTTCATGACGGAAATGATCGCGGGTTCAAGAGGGTGCTTTGAGAAGAAGGCTGAATTCTGATCGCGATAATATACGCCGTTATCTTCTTGAAGCTTTCGATGATCGGTCAGTGGTTTCCAAAGAGCCGGACGACCTATGAGAAGTTGGATTCAGACATTTTGCGCCTACCATGGAACATAATAATGTATGCATACCAGGAACAATTATTTTTGGAGCCTTTTGATCAACCCAGTTATATGATGCTATAGGCTTAACATCTTTGATTCCAAAATGCGTGCATTCATCGCCGTCAATATCTTCTAGGGCTTTTGCATCAATAGCTTCTATCAAACGTCCGAGAGGCGGAAATGGTGATTCTTTCAACTGAACTAGAGGATTTATAGGTCTGGTATCCCAAAAGTTTCCTCGACCACGTCGCGCTTTATTGTAGGACATACTTCAGATATTAGCGTATGAAATGAATGCAAATCTTTCAGCTCTCGTAGTTCACACTACCATAGTGAACAATAAAAATTGAGTACACCAGGAAGATTTATATTGCTCTCCATCACCTCTCCAAGACTTGGATGGAAATTGGGAGGCCTACCACGGAAAACTGATTCATGCGAATGCAACCTTGGGACAGACCATGGCTTATCTACAGGTCTCAAACGCGCTGGGGCGAAATGGGCCGCACTATTGGGCCAACACTTGATATTCACTGTATTGGCATGGAATCGGCTGTTCACAGCATAAGTACCCCAATATATTCGGCCTCTGAAAGGCCGCTACGGCCTAACGAGGGGTCAAAGGTCTATGTCGTGGCCGAATCAGATGGTCAGGCTGTGACGCGGCTGCGGGAGGCCTATGAGATTCATCCAACAAGAAGAGACTTCCCCCCACCACTCATGTAACACGAGATGCAGCAAGGCCGCCTACAGGCATCAAGGCTGCCTTGCGATATTCACTAGAATTGGGTTGACGTATAAACCAAATCTTTTTATTTGCTGATAGCGTGTGCACCTTGTTGACTTGATATACAGGCCCGCACGAATATATATATATCACAGATTCCAATTCATAAAACTCCTAACGATTAAACATTCTTGGCAACTTACTTGTTCAACTGATTTAGCTAACACAATGGCTACCAAAACTGCTCTCTCCGGCCGTGCTGCCAGGCTCGAGAATATTTTTTATTCTTTCATTAAAGGCGATCGCGCTATACAATCCTCACACGACGCCAAGCTCTTCTTTGAGGCAGTTGACGTTATATGCGAACACAAATCTGCAGCAGTTTGCATGGAATGCATACTTGCAAGAAAAGATGGCCCGCAAACAGTAAGAGATGCCGTTCGCAGCAATCTCTCAATTGCATTCATCACGTCTTCAACAGCTACCTTCATAAATCAAGTATGCCAGGCTCAGGTAAAAATATTGAATGATGGCAACTTTCTTGAGAGATTATTGAAGGAAATACTCTCCCCTCCCACATTTTGGACTGCATTCCTCGACCTCTATACATCCAATCAGCTTAGCGATAGTGGCTTGATTGCTTTTGCGTCTCTCTGTTTGGAAATCGTGTCTTCTTCATCGCCTGAGATATTGGCACTTTCTCACGATGTGGAGTCACTTACTGGAAAGCTGTCGTTATCACGTTCACCATCCGAGGCAGTCCGGGCGCTTGGTTACCGCATTGACAAAATTATCCAAGTCCGAAAAGGCTCTGCAACCGCGTCAATTCGGATGGACTACAGCCCTGGTGGCAGGCACGACAATGACTTTGCAGATTTTCGCCAAATTTCCATTTTCCCCACCGCAGATGAAGTTAGTTCAAAAGAGGATCCCTTTTTGCAACGGTTGGATGATGTATTTGAAGTTTCCAGGGATGAGCGTGCGATCAACCATCTTGGCTGGCTTTTCCGTCTTTTACGAGAAGATATGATTGCAGATCTAAAAGAAGATCTACAAATAGCATGGGGCCAAAAAAAGGCTAGACGTAAACCGTTGGCCTTTGGTGCCCTGAATCTGGTGGATTATGATATTGGAGCTGATCGATCAGCGAAACCATTCACGCTACTGCTTCAGTGTCAAGAGGGTATCAGCTTTCCTCCAAATATACGCACTAAAGAAGCCAAGAAGAGATATCTCGAAGACTCCAGACACATTGTGAAGCACAATTCTGTCGGCGCTCTTTGCTTGGATAAAAGCATCATCGCCTTTGGCTCCATCGTACGGAATGAAGACTGGCTTATCCAAAATCCGCCAAAGATCGGGATACAATTCACCGATAATCCTGGGTTAAAGGGAGCGGTTCAGGCACTCATGGGTCCAAATTGCCATCAACTCAAGTTTTACGTCGTTGATACCGCAACATTTGCTTATGAGCCAATATTACAACGATTAAAAGAAATAACAGAGATTCCGATCGAGAATGTCATCCTCGACCCGACAGGGCCTCCGTCTCGGTATGACGCTCCCCCAAGGCTATACGAGTTCGTCCTAAGCCTGAAATCTGCACTGCTACGTCAAGAATCATTCAGTTTAGAGAGTAAACTGGGTATCAAAGTGCAGATTCGAGATGCGCAACTCATGTCATTAATCAACGGCCTGGAAAGTCCTGTAGGCCAGATTCAGGGCCCACCAGGAACGGGCAAATCGTTTATCGGAGCTATCATTGCCCAAGCCCTTATGAAATTGACCAACTTTCGAATCTTGGTCCTAAGTTATACAAACCATGCCTTGGACCAATTTCTTGAAGATTTGATGAATGTTGGCATTCCACAAAGTGACATGGTTCGTATTGGATCGAAAGCTTCCGCGAGAACAGAAGCGTTACGAATCGATGGCCTCGCGAGAGAGCCTCAATTTCGTTTCAGCCTTGAGACTAAAGCAATGCTCAATGCTACTAGAGTGGATCAAGAGGATACAAGGATAAAGCTAGATCGTCTTAGAGATCAGCTAACTAATCCACATGTCCAACCACACGAAATATTGGATATGTTGGAGTTCTTCGATTCTGAACTGAGGTTCTGGGACGCTTTTCAAGTCCCTAGTGGCGAGCAAATTGCAGGAAAAAGGAACAGGATACTGCGACCTGTCGACGTCTACGATTATTGGGTTCAGGGAAAACCGCTGCGATCTCTGGGCATGCTCGCGGCAAATATGAGTGCTGAACATTGGGCAGTTTGGAAGATTCCACCAAAAACTCGACTGGCGCTTCATAATATGTGGAAGAGCCAAATTCAACAGGAAAAGATCAACGAGTTTGCACAGCTAGCAGAGACAGCAAATAACCACTATCGGAAGATAGACAGTCTCCTCAAAGAAAACAAGAGAAACATAGTCAAGAGCAAGAGAATCATTGGATGTACTACCACAGGTGCGGCAATGTATCAATCTATCATACGAGCGGCTGAACCAGATATTGTTCTTGTCGAAGAAGCTGGAGAAATTCTAGAGGCGCATGTTATTACATCTCTCGGCCCATCTGTCAAGCAACTGATACTGATTGGTGACCATAAGCAGCTTCGTCCCAAGATCAACAGTTACAAACTTTCTGTGGAAAAAGGCGAAGGCTTTGATCTCAACGTTTCTCTTTTTGAACGTCTTATTAGACAAGGCCACCAATTTACCACTCTCCAGGAGCAACATCGTAGCCATCCGGACATTTCTCAATTTTCACGACTTTTAGCTTATGAGGAGCTCAAGGATATGCCAAAAACACTCGATCGGGAAAAGTTACGTGGATTACGAGAGAGAGTCATCTTTGTACACCACGAACATCCGGAGGAGCAGCTAGATAACGTTGTTGATCGCCGGGATCCAAGTTCAAAAGCCAGCAAGAAGAACACATTTGAAGCTGACATGGTCTTGAAAACGGTCAAGTATCTAAGTCTACAAGGCTACCGTTCCGAGGATATAGTTGTCTTGACTCCATATATGGGTCAGCTTTCACTTTTAAGACAAAAACTCAGCGAGATAAATGATCCTTACTTGAATGACTTGGACACTCACGAACTAGTGCGAGCTGGGCTAATGACACAGGCAGCTGCTAAAACTGCAAAAGGACGACTACGCTTGTCGACTATTGGTAAGAAAATTGCATGTACAGGCGCTTGAGTATACTTGCTGACAATTACAGACAACTACCAAGGAGAAGAAAGTGATATTGTCGTAATATCCTTAGCCAGAAGCAACAAGAAAGGTGACATCGGTTTCCTCGTAGCTCGTGAGCGACTAGTCGTGCTCTTGTCACGAGCAAGAAATGGAATTATCCTGTTTGGTAATATGAATACTTTCTTGGCTAGTAAAAAGGGCAATGAAATCTGGAAAGTCTACTTCGATGCGATGAAAGAAAAAGGGTTCCTGTTCGACGGACTTCCCGTCCATTGTGAGAAACATCCTGATCGATCTACTCTACTCCAGAAGCCTGAAGATTTTGATCAGCACTGTCCCGATGGAGGATGCGCTCAGCTATGGTATGTCTAAAGTTCCAAAACTTTGATCCGACATCTACTTATTATTTAGTGGTGCTATTCTTAGCTGTGGGAAACATCCGTGCGAACGCCGATGCCATCGCGTGTCCAACCATTCACAAGTTCCATGCATTAAAATGGTTCAGAAAATTTGTGAACGTGGCCACAAGGTGAAGCACTTGTGCGGAAAAGAAAACGAAGGTTGCAAGTCTTGTGCAAAAGAAGATGAAGAGACTCGACGGAGAGTGAAACGAGACCTAGAGATGGAGAAGAAGAGGCAAGAACAGCAAGAAAAATATCGTCGTGAGCTAAAGGAGATAGAGGACGAGCTGGATCACCATCGACGCCAGATGAAATATAATCAAGAAGAGGAAGATCAAGCGAAAGAGCTTGCGCAGAAGAAAGTCCAGCTGAAAAGTCTGAAGGAAACAAAGGCAAGGCTAGCTGCGGCTAAGTCAGCAGAAGCCAAATCAGAAATACCCGGCAAAAAGCTTCAAAATCAGAAACCTGCAAGCTCTGATAGCTTTGGCCCTTCAGCGCAGGAATGGGAAGATATGAAGCGCGATACTGGGGCATGCAATGATGCTCTAGATGAACTAATGGATCTCATTGGTTTAGAGTCAGTTAAGGAAGAATTTCTCGAAAGAAAAACTGAAATAGACCTTGCTATCCGTCAGGGAACGTCTCTTTCTAACTCGAGATTTAGCTGCTCCCTTCTTGGAAATCCAGGGACTGGTAAAACGACTGTGGCCCGTATATGGGGTAGATTTCTCACTACTCTTGGAGCTATCTCCGGTGACTGCTTTGAGGAGACAACAGGGTCCAAGTTGGCGAACATGGGTGTCAAAGGATGTGAAGATCTCCTTGAAAAGATTAAAGACAACGGCGGGGGTGTTTTCTTCATTGATGAAGCCTATCAGCTCTCGTCTGGAAACAGTCCTGGTGGTAAGGCTGTCTTAGATTTCCTGCTTGCCGAAGTGGAAAACCTCAGGGGAAAGGTTTCTTTTGTTCTTGCTGGATACTCTAAACAGATGGAGTCTTTCTTTGCACACAATCCAGGATTCCCCAGCCGATTCCCTATTACAATGAACTTTGAAGATTACACTGATGACGAGCTGCAACAAATTCTCAAGCGTCAGATAAATCACACATTTGAAAACAAGATGGAAGTCGAAGATGGTTTAGACGGCCTCTATGTTCGTATTGCTTCCCGCAGAGTCGGGCGGGCAAGAGGCAAAGAAGGGTTTGGGAATGCCCGCGCTATTGAAAATGCCTTGGCAAATATCAGAAAGAGGCAAGCAACTAGGATTCGACGAGACCCCCGATCTGGCGAAAAGCCAAACGTGTTCTTGTTTACTAAAGAGGACATTATTGGTCCAGAGCCATCGCTGTCCCTGCAAAATTGCAATGCATGGCAAAAATTAAACAAGATGGTTGGACTGAAGGAAGTCAAAGAACAGGTGAAGATACTACTTGACTCTATCAAAACCAACTATCAGCGAGAGCTTGATGAAGAGCCTCCTATACAGTTTACGCTCAATCGAGTGTTTTTAGGGTCGCCAGGAACAGGCAAAACAACAGTTGCTAAGCTTTACGGAGAAATTCTTGCCAATCTTGGTCTCTTATCCAATGGAGAGGTAGTACTCAAAACTTACGCAGACTTCATCGGTGCTCATTTAGGACAATCAGAATCTCAGACGAAGGGCATTCTGGCTGCAACTATAGGGAAAGTGCTTGTGATCGACGAAGCATATGGCTTATACGGCGGAAAAGGCTCTACTTCCGACCCTTACAAGACGGCGGCTATAGACACTATTGTTGCCGATGTACAGAATGTACCTGGTGATGACCGCTGCGTAATTTTAATCGGTTATCAGGAGCAGATGGAAGAGATGTTCCAAAATGTTAATCCAGGTCTCAGTCGTCGATTCTCAGTGGACACGCCATTTGTTTTTGAAGACTTTGATGACAATGCCCTCAGAGAGGTACTGGACTATAAATTGAAGGTTTCTGGCTTTACCACTACTGGAGAGGGAAAAACCGCTGCACTCGATGTTCTTATCCGAGAGCGCAACAGGGCTAATTTTGGGAACGGTGGTGCGGTTGAGAATCTGCTAAGCAAAGCCAAATCCTCTTATCAAAAGCGACTCTCAGCTGGAAAGATGAAAAAGAAGAATCAGATAGAAGCAGAAGATTTTGATGAGGACTTCGACAGAAGCACGCGAAAGGATACGAATGTGCGACAGTTATTCCAAGATGATATCGGACGCGAAGATATCATCGAAAAGCTCGAACATATCCAACAACAGGTGCGGCAGTTGAAAGATCTCGGTCTAGACGTCAAGGAAGAAATCCCATTCAACTTTCTATTCCGAGGTCCACCAGGAACAGGAAAGACAACCACAGCGCGAAAAATGGGCAAAGTGTACTACGACATGGGCTTCCTTGACAAAGCCAAGGTAGAAGAATGCTCGGCTACGGACTTGATAGGCGAATATGTTGGCCAAACCGGACCCAAAGTCCAAAAAGTTCTTGAAAAGTCTCTCGGAAGAGTACTATTGATCGATGAGGCATACCGATTCGCCGACGGCAAATTTGCAAAAGAAGCTATTGATGAGATTGTGGACTGTGTCACCAAGCCCAAATATCAAGGCAAACTCATCATTATTCTGGCGGGTTACGAGCACGATATAAATCGCCTCCTGTCCGTGAACCCTGGACTGACCAGCCGCTTCCCCGAGACTATCGACTTCAAGCCGCTCAAGCCAGATGCTTGCTTCGGGCTGCTTGCTGATCTTTTGCGAAAGAGAAAAGTAGAGCTTGAAAGTAAAGGCAAAGACTTGGACATCAGCTGCTTGGAACGCCCGTCTGCATTATTTCTCTCCAGATGTATAGCTACTATCAAGTCCTTGACTGCTGTAGAAGGCTGGGCTAGCGCAAGAGATGTCAAACAGCTAGCCAGAAATGTATTTCACGCCATAGATTTGAAAGCAGAGGCTCTTAAAGTGGAGGAGAAACACGTCCTTCAAGCGCTCAATCAGATGCTGAAAGACCGGCAGTCTAAGATGGTGAAATCCGCTCCGCCGGTATTTCATGATTGTGAGGCAGATTTCTCGCCCACACCATCAGCTCCTTCTGTGCCAGCTCTATCAATTCGCACAAATACAAACATAGAGGCTCAGCAGAACACAAATGAGGGCGATCTGACTGATGAAGATGGATCGTCTCAATGGACACCTGTATCGCCTGAGTCGCCAGAGAGTAGCGGCAGTCGCAAAGTTGTACGAGACGCCGGTGTAAGCGACGAAATCTGGGAGCAGGTTCAGAAAGATCAAGCAGAAGAAGAACGAAGAGATGCGGAGTATCGTAAGCTCAAGGAAGCTCAGAAGCATGCGACAGATGAAGCTCGAGAAAAAATTGTTCGCGAGCTGATTGAGGAAGAAGAACGGCGAAAAAGGGAAGCGGAGAAACAGGCAAAACTGATGGCCCTAGGAACCTGCCCTGTGGGATACCATTGGATTAAGCAGGCTGATGGATATCGTTGTGCTGGAGGGTCACATTGGCTATCGAATGAAGAGATTGAAAAGCATATGCAGTAGTTTGAGTTTTTTTTTTTTTTTTATCAAATTGAATACCTTTGCCTCCCATAACGATGTCTAAAGCGTCGCATAATGACCAGTATCCCGGCTAAATGAATGATCTTTATCCAACTGGTCACCACCCGATCTGATCAGTCAACTATTCCAGTTAAAGTCATCCATCCGGCTAGATCAAGCTTTACCATTAGTATGTAGATTGAAACAAGAATTGTGTTAACGTATTTGTTGACATTCCATGGCTACAGCTGTAGGTATCTACATTCTCTTGCTGCAAATATCTTGCTCATATGAACGGCTCCCTTGTGTATGGTTGCCTCAGATTAATAATGAAGAGCTACAGTCACAACATGGCCTTGAAAGCTCCAAGTTACCACGGAATAAGATGTGCCAGAATGAATCCGTCGATGCATAACTCTCTCAGGTAGTTGCGTATTGTTTTCTAGTATTCAAATGCTACCTAAGCCTGGCACCATTGTCTAATGCTCCAAAGAAGTCCCTGTACCTACGCCGAAATATGCGTTTCGAAAGAAAAGTAGAACAAAGATTAAAAATAAAGTAATGTTGGCGAATCGCTCGCTCGCTTTCAATGCATGATATTTCTAAGCCCAAAACAAATATATCCGTTCCATGTTATATTTTCCATCACCGTCTAGGTTTCTCAGATTGAGATCCGGTCCTCTCTCTTCGTTTCGCTTCTTGCCACGAAATGGCAAGGTATGTACCAAGCAGTTCAGCCGCATATCGCTCTCGATATTGGAAGTGTTTCGGCCCGGTCTTTCGAACCGTGTCCTGAGCAACCTGGATAATTGCCGGGTGACACTCTTTGGGGAGATTCAGTAGAGAAGCGGCTTGGATTTCAATTGCTGCGGGATTATTGGGATAACCGATAGTCGTCCGTAAGCCTGCATCTTCAACAAGTCGCATGCAAAAGGGTTCGAGCAATTCCTGTTCTTGGATAAATGTAAGTATAGACCGCAGAGACGACGGGTCCGAAACAAATGGGTTGATCGGTGTCTTCTTCTGCTCTTTGATCTTAACCTGTGCTCTGGCAGCAAACTCCAAGGCTGTAGACAGTTCATCGACGCTCATTATCGACAATCCAAAGGGAACCAAATCTCTGCGTGAATAACCAGCCCTGGTACGCCACCAGTGATTGCAGAACACCGAGGCCAAGATGACAGGTATTAATATGACGTAGCCCCACCACCGTGTTGCGGTGATCATGGAGCCGACTCCTCCTAAAGTCGTGGCAGTGCCATTGATGGAAGCGTAAATCTGCACGTTCCTGCTGCGCCTCTTTATGAGAGCCAGGGATTGGGTGCCGGGAATGGCCCTAGCAGCTGCGTTGATATGCCCCTGAGCCTTACAGAAGATGTAGAATGCCCAGCAAGAGTTGATGGCGCCAAAGATGGCGATGGGCGCATTACCGATGTATCCAGAGAGGAGGTTACTGGCTAAGAAGATGCCTGGGTTGGCTCCAGCAATGGCAAGATACGTGCCTACACAGATGAGCACAGCACCGACGCCCATAAACATGTTGAGCATCCAGCGGTTGACACCCTCTGTACCAAGTTCGCGAAAGATGACAGACAAAAGGACATCTAAATCTCTTGTGGGCTGTGATTTTGCCGCTCTGCGAGCTCGCGTCTCCTTCAACTCGCATCGCTGCTTGCGGAGAAACTTCACATTTCGCCAGGCACGCCGCGAGTCCAGAAGCGCAAAGACAGACATGATGCCAGCAAATGTTGCTCCAACCGCCATAAAGACGGTTGCATAGACCGGGACTGGGTATGAGTTCCACACATTGGCAGCGAAGTCGCCTGCATTAGCTAGTTCCAGGTAACCAACGGCAGGGTAAAGATCGTTCTTCAACTTGTTGCTCTGGGGCACATAGCCATCTCCCTTCTCGGCCTTAACTAGGGTGACGCGATCTGGTGGCGTCGATTCAGGAATGTCGCATGCAGGAACAGGCGAAAGGAGGCCAAAGGTGGAAGATGAGGTGGTTAATGTGGTGAATGTAGATCCGAATGTGGTGGCACGCGGCAAGACGGCTGTCTTGGGTGTTGCAATGGAGGCGTCGCACTTTTCGTTTAACACGGGCGTGGAAACTCCCTCGCGATGATAACTCTGCTGCTGCTGCTGCTGCTGTATTTCTGGATGCTGCCGCTGTTCATCGTCCTGGGGAAGCTGTTGCTGCACTCCATCCGGATCACCACCATTCTTAGTAGTACCAGAAGCATCGTCGGCACAAACGGCATTACCATCGCCGCCAGTGCCAATAGGCGCTGTCTGGGTTGGTCGCTCTCCTGCAGCCGCAGCAGTAGGTTCTGACGGAGCGCGCCGTAGTTCCTCTATTGAGGCTGTGTCGCTGTGGATTGGCGCCATGGGAGGCAGAGAGCGCGTCGATTAGTCGAGAGGTTGAGTGAGGCTGTGTTAAAGGTCTTAAGAGGCCAGGCAGTCGACTTGCAAATAGAAATGGAGATGAGTGGTCAATAATCGAAGACGTAGCAAGAATTAGATTGGGAGCGATGAGCGAGAGCTGCACCGAATATCCGCTCGGCGAGGGAGATCAGCAAATGGATCCTCATCACCAAGCTTATTACTCCTGATTTCTCGCAGGCAAGCAATAGAATCAGTTTTTCATCCCACTCTCTCTCTCCCTCTCTTTCTCTCTCTGCTTTGAGCCTCAAAGCAGAAACCAGTCTTTAAAAAGGGGCCAGGCAAGGAGCAAGAGACCACAAGATAAAGAAAAGCCAGGGGATTAGCCTCGCTTTCGTATGCAATGCATTTCCTGCCGTCCAGCCGTTCGGTTTATGGAGTACGAGCTATTTCTGGGCCATCCGCGTCTAATACGTATTTTCACTCAACTGGCTCTTGTCTGCTTACAGCGCTCGCCCTACTTAAAAGTCTTTGCCGCCGGCTTGCGAGGCCAAGCGAACCGGAGATGCCGTCCGTGCTCCATTGCCCCAGCCATGGCGTCCAATGGCCAGTTGGTGGCTGTCGGATTCTCGACGCCCCATTCCAAGACTCGGCCATTCAGGGAGTTGCTTTTGCTGGTTAATTTTTTCTTAGCAGATCAGCTTTAAGCCTGGTTTCGGCTCTTTTGATGCGCCGCTCCAGCCCATTGGCAGGCGCGTTTAATGAGTGACACGATAATGCCTGTCACATCAATTACAACAACTAACTCTTCTTCATGTGGCAACTACTAACAGCAACCAACCACTATACTGTACATTTTGAACATCAAATGAAGCCGAGGCCATATTTTTTACAACTTGCCATTGAGCTTTGGAATCAAATATCCAGTCAACTCTATGTTCATTATGCTTCGTATTTAGCTGTCAATTAGCAGCTGTCAACTTGTCGCAGACGCGCGTCCGTCCAATTGGCTTCGGATGTTGATTTGGCCACGCCAAAGGGACCGGCGCAGAGCTCCTCGCCATCGGACAAACTTTGGCCACAGGGCGCTGAAAGCTGTATACCTAAAAGCGCCATGAGGACTTCAGCTCTATTATTGAGGTGTTAATCTTTTCTTAGTGCCGGGGAAACACAATTCTAGACTCCGATGGTTTGCTTACTCCACAACGCCTTCATTGAGTTATAATTCCTAGAAATATTTCGAACCTCAGCAGATATACTGTACGTGTTCATGCTCATAGTCAATCGGCGAATTACCACGCCTAATCATCAGCCCTATTGACGGCCAAAATTTGTGCATCATCGCCATCAGCTGCCGGCGCTGCAACGTCACATCATCTAATATCTATTGCCACAGAAACAACAATCTCGGGATCAGCGTCCCGTTAGTCTATGAAGCGTCTAGCTAACCAATCCGCTGTCTACAAAAAACGTATCTACTGCGAGTCATCTCTGCATTCGCTTAGTCCTTTCTTCTGCTTTCCATTCTCATCAAAGTTCGACTCCTCCAGCCATGCCTCGAATCCCTTCCGAGCAGCAGGCCATTCGTCATCTAATATGCTCAACCAGGCCGAATCTCGGTGTCTGCCCTTTATAATCATGTGCTTCCTGAGTCACCGCCAAGCAATTAGCATATCTACCATTTCGTAATGAATGGGCCATTTGCAGTAAATCGTCATCTCAAGACTCACCTGAAAACCCCCTCAAACGAAAATCCCAGTCGCCGAGCTGCTGCCAAGCTTGCTGCATTGAGATTATTGGCCTTCCACTCGACACGTAGATATCCCAGATCCACAAACGCATGCTTCATGAAGAGAAAAAATGCTTCCGTCCCTTCTCTAGAGTGTTTTAGGACGTCCCCAAATATCACCCATCCAATTTCAATTCTTCGGTGGTTTGGAACAATTGCCTGGTACGACACGATGCCAGCCGGCTCCGAAGTGGGCTCGGAAGCAGGGCCCGAAAGTACCGCATAGTACATGGGATCTTTTGTTGCAGACCATGCCGTGATCGTCGCCTCGCATATCTCCTCGGTGAGGAAGCCTTCAAGGGGCATATATTTCCATCGCCAGGCATTTTCCTCTCCTCCGAGATGTCTATAAATCGCTCGCCAATGCTGAGGGTGGAGCGGAACCACAGACGTGTAGCGGCCGTGTAGAGGCGTCCTTGGCGGGAGAAGGGCCGGCTCGACCGATGCGGCGAGTGGTCCCAGCGATGTGTCCATTGGGATGCTTTGCGTGCCAAGAAACAAAGTTTCAATTAGGGCTGGCCCGAAGGATTCAACTTGTATTCGGCGCTTTTTCTTCCCGGCATTGCTTGATTCAGCAGTTATCTTGCACGGGATATATAGTCTACATACTAATAAGGCTGATGACTCATATAGAAAGCCACCCAGACTAAGCAGCGCCATTGCTCCATCGATAACTTGTAAAGAGAATATTCCAGTCTTCACAAGCTAGTAAGTAGAGTAGTTAACTAATTTTCACGAATATAATAGATATAGCTATCGTTTCGAGATGATTTGTATAACCTTATTATGAGCATGATATTTGGTAGGGAAACGTATAACTATTGTTATAGAACTACGCACAGTGGCAACGGAGCCTAGAAATCGACTCCGAGGCGGGTCAAAAGCCCACATCCATATCTCGCTTTGCTCGCTTTGGCGGGCCAAACTGCTTGGCAGATGAACAAGTAGGGGCGATTTCTCAAACCCTGCAGAGAAATTCGCATTCAAGGCCCAAGCCGAGTAATAGAGAGCTGTCCGCAGTCAATGTACCTCTTCGTAGAACTGCCGGAGTACAATAAGCTGCCAAGGCTGCTAAGTGGTAGCCCTAAGCAGAATTACAGGTTAGCAAGAAGACACCGCCGGGAAGAATTAATTTCATAAGGGAATCCGTCTCGATGTGCTTTTCCATGTTACTTGTATCTAATGCTGCCTTTCTCGTTTAATAGCTATGGGTACTATGAGCTCCTTTCTCCATCATCTTTTGCTTGTATAATGCTGCGACATAGTTGATGTCTATTTTAGCATTCTGTATATTGAATCATGACATAAATTTTCACAGCAAATTCATGATATTGTACCTTTGCTTGGGTTTAATTTCAATGGGTCTAGTAAACCTGCTCCGTGGGTGCATTCCTGTTAATCCTCTTTTGACTATGTACAATAATAGGCAAGGCTGGTTGGCATATTGGCTCCCTCTTTTGAACTTGTTTACAATGGCAACGTCAGCATACCAACGTACCCTCTTCTTATGTGGTAGCTCACATACACACTGTGTATATTATCATGATATAATAACCATGTGCTATAGTTGGCCTATATCTGGTGTACTAGCTCATCGTTTCGGTATTCAAAACATTATAGCACCTATATAGGATCACATACAGACTTACATTTCTGTATTCGTGAAAAAAGGCACAACTGCGACGATCTTCGGCGTAAATGCTCCGAGTTTAATCTCCTAGTGCAAACTAGCCGCCTCCGTCTATTCCTGGAATGCCTTTCCCACGTGAACTTGATACATGTCTTAAGAGTCAGTCCAATCACTGTGATCATCGAATAGTCGGACTGAAACAAACAGTACCTCACATGATGTAAAAGGATTCTTGTAGTATACAGAACAGCCCTATTGGGATATGCATAGTCTCACAATGATAGTATGAAATGATACCAGAGGTTATAATGCTACAAGACAGAAGCACTCTATCTGTGCGAGCTTGGCAAGTTACATTTTAACATATATCGTAAATAATCAAACCTTATTTCGACTGATATACGAGAGTAAAGGTATTCTTTTAGGAATTCTGTCTGATTGAACGCCGCATACCTCTAATGATGCCGAAATTCACAAATTTCTGTTTGCTGAATGACTGTTAATTTTCGAGTATATATTGAGTGCTTTCTTCCCAGTATTGCCAACGAATTCACCAAGCTTCTCTGATCTTTCAGTTTCAGTCTTACTTCACAGAATCATCCATCAAGCTCAAGTTCACATTTAAAATGCGTTCTGCCACCTTCGCCACTATCCTCGGGTAAGCACACCTCTGATGTCAATTTAAACTATGTACTAAGCCTAACACCTCTCTAGCTGTGCCGTCTACGGTTCGTCGCTACTGGAAAGCCAAATAACCTCACTTGATATATACTAATCCCATTGTAGGATCCCAGGCCATCATCCTTCCCCAGTGGCCCGGCAACTGGCCCGTTAACTGGTTCGACAACTGGTTCGGAAGACTCGACCACTTCCCCGAGAACCCCTGTGAGTGGATTGGAGGAACTTGCGACCCAATTATCGCGGGCACGTCTTTCTGCACTGGCGTCAACGAGGCTCCCATTACCGGCGTGCCTTGTGCCCCCTCAAGCCTTCTTAGTGTTGGCTGCTGCTGGCACGCACCTGTAATCAAGAAGGACTAAATGGTAGTTAAGTGCGCATAGCCTTGGCTCTACACGAAAGTTATCTACCCAGATAGTCTTGAACGTATAACCAGGGCGGCACACGAAACTCATTTACCCAGATAGTCTTCACTTCGACCTAGATAGTCTTCAAATTGATATTTGAATTATATTTGAATAAAGGATAACGAGTGAAACCTTGTTACCAATCTCATATTCTGCGCTGTAGCAATCTACAGTAATTTGAAACTGGTGTATCCGAACTGCTTGATATAAATAGAACAACTCGATGTACGTCTTTCTCCCAAACAAGAATGAGACGGGGAATTTTTTTTTTTTACATATATCTTACGAGCATAAAACGGCATACCACAATGTATCATAGGCGTTTCGAAGACCAGATCAATATAAATAGCTTCTATAATGTATGTGAAAAGCTATTTTGACATGAATATTAAAATATGCACAATTTGGTCAATAGAGGCTAAGAGTCGAGCCAAGTTCCTCCTTGGTGAATTAATGCTATAGCGAGAAATCAAATTTTGGCTCTCAGTGGCTTTATAAACTAGAAATTGATAGGCTAATGACTTATATGGAACTGAGGTTTGTAGTGTTTTATAGGGCAGTCGGCGCTACTCCAACGCCTCCATGCTTGTGATTCGTTATTCTCTACACATAAAATTGAAAATACCATAATAGTTTGCATATGATCTGCAGAACCATGCCAAAACTGTGACGCCTAATGAAAAAAGAAAAAAAAAAATATTATTCGTCTCACCCCCGAACCCCCCCGGTGGCAACGGGGCCAAAAAAAAACCGGCTCCAAGAGCACAATGTAAATAACACCTGATCAAAAAATCTGGGCATTGGATTATAGAATAAATGTTAATCGCATAATAATAACAATAACAATAACAATAACAATAATAGTAATAATATTCATTCCAGTTGTGCTGAAAATGCGGCAAACTAGTATAGTCTTAGTGGCATGTTGGCTAGACAATAGGTGAAACAACACTTTTGCACGTTATCAGCGCATAGCGATGCGTACCACATCTAGCTTATATCATTTGGTTCTTCACGCATAATACTTACACAGTAGGGAAGCCTCACCGCGCCAATGTAAGAATACATAAACGCTCCTCACATATGTCAAGCCTTGGAAGCCAATGTAATGTGACGACGGTCTTAACTATAAGGGCCGTAAGTCCGATCAGCCGATCAAATTCAGCCGACTTCCGTCTACCCATTGAAATATCTTCCCTGCATAGGCTGTATATCTTGGCGGTTAGTCTAAATACTATAGCCGTTGAGGAATAGTGCTGAATCAAATATGTCTTACCTGATGTATCCCATTAGGGTATACAGGGTCTCACCATGATAGAAAATAGTAGTAACGCTACATTGCTACAATCCAGAACTACTCAACCCATACGAACTCTAGATATTATATGATATGATTAAATAATACGAGACAAATTAAGTTTTATACTCCGCAGCCGTATCCCATTTGCTCTGATTCAAATTTACGGAGTGCTTTAAGCAGTAGATAGTAAGCCAGCAGATATTATTCTCACCGAGTCGTGTGAGCAAAGTAATATCTGAGTAATTCTGTCTGGATCAACGTCATATGTCTCTTGTGATGCCTCCGTCAATAGTTACTGGTTTATGTCTATAAATTGCGTGATTCCTGCTCTACAAACTGCGAGGGAAGAGGGCATTAAATTTCCAAATTCCCTAGTTCATACTGAGCCAAATTAACAACATTTCACCAACCGTCTGTTTTATATTCATAATGCGCTCTTTAGCCTTTATTACCGCCCTGGGGTAAGCACACACCTGGCTCCTTGTTTGTCAATTGAAGATGCTAATATCACTAGTCTTTCGCTCTTCGGTTTGTGACTTTCAGAATGCCGTTTTAAACTCATTGCTAGATGCTAATCGCATTGCACTAGGCATGGCAAAATCTGATGGCTGGCCAGGAAATCTATGTGAACGGGCTGGTGGTAGTTGCGACCCAGTCACCGCGGACTTTTGCCAAGGCGAGTATGACACCACGGTTGGATTGCCATGTGTCCCCCGAGGAGTTGTTGGCGTTGGCTGTTGCTGGCATGCGCCTCCTCCAAATTAAAACCTGATTGCAGGCAGATAAATGTGTACGGCAGTGGCTGCATATACGTGTTTGTAGAATTCTATCTAGCGACGGGCAAAAAGAATTAACAAAGCATTATCAGCATTGCCGTAGTAATATTGTTCCATCTAATTGAGAGCTCGCTTTATCTTAAGCCTAGTTACGCAAATACAATAAATAACTTGGGCACAATCTGTTAAGAGATAATAATAGAATGGCATCTGTTTGTTTGTCTTTCGCTGTATATGTAATGTGCATGTAATTGATCATAACTTTACTGGAAATCATGCATGCTCGCTGCTGTAGTCAGAGTGCGATTCTTACAGACAGGAATTACGCCAAGCCAATCGGCTGTTCTCCGCAAAAGAGCCTACGACATGCAAAAAGAAGAAAAAAGCAGTATGAAAAAAATTGCTTCCTGTGCCATTACGAGGAGTCGAACCTCGGTCTTCAGTGGTTTGTAGAAACTCCACAAACTGATGTCTTAACCGTTGGACCATAATAGCTAGCACTGGAGGTGGTGATATGCACGCCACAAATTCGTCTAATACACATATGACCCACCTATCTAACCACTACAGTAAGATCCAGGACCTCGCCTACGTAAATTGCATTGTGTGACACAATAACTGTATATACTGAAAGAACTTATAAAGCATAGTATGAAAGCTATCCACGAGGAAAATCAATTGCCTTTTCATCTCTTTAACCGTAAGCAATGGCATTGAAAGCAATAGCGTAAATGATGTCTAGATGGGACAGTAGAAAGGCAGCCATGTTCAGAAATCTCCTATTGTCAACCCAAGTACATATATCATCTTGGCCGGGGGCAAAAATGATCAAAACAGTGCTGTACTTAGATAAGTAAGCTCTGACATCAGTAGAGTTGGTTCCCTCAACGGTGCAACCGGTGGGCACAGAGATAAGGGAGACATGAGCAGCACCTACACCACTGTTACCAGCCGCACCAGACAAGAATATACCGGAAGAGACCAAAGCAGCAGCGTCTTAGTTACTGGAACTGGAAAAGGCAATTAGTGCTAAAAGACATGCTGGCAACTGTGCTATTAGGACAGTTGCGGGTCTAAGCGCTGCTGGCAATATATTCCATGCCTAGTGGAGTCAGAAACTACGCCACACTACGTCGTCGCAAAGAGCCTTGACGCCGAAGATCAGTTTTTTTTTTTTTTTTTTTTTTTCGCAATACTTGTGAAAACTGCCAATAGTGCATGATATATGGGTACCGTAACCGTTGCCGTTGGTGTTCCCGCCGGGAACAAAACTGTTAAGAAGTGTGGCGCGGCCGTCAAATTCTTATGAGGAGCATCGTTGTTAGCTGCTTCCGATAGTTTTCTTCCATCTCGAATATGCTTACGTGCTTGGTAGCATCAGCACCAGCATCAGAGACGTAGGAGCCAGTGCCTGCACCAGCGCTATCGTGGGTGGCACTGCCAGGAGCGTTGTGAGAAATGCACCGGTCGATGAGACGACAAGTGTAACGCTCGAACCTGACGCTGGTCTACCAGTACGAGCCAACGGACAAGGTTTTTTTAGACATTTTTGTAGCCCATCTGCTGGATATGTTTCTTTACACCCACGGAGCTGAGCAAAGGTGATTTCGGCATATGTTTTCCGTAGAAAGGTAGCAATACACGATGTTATCTCACTCAAATACGATAATGGTGATGGTATGCTTTAAAGGTATATCGTAAACTCTGATATATCAAGGAACTAACAGATAAGAATAAATGATAGTAGATAGAAGAGCTTTGCCATCGTCAATTTTAGCATTCGCCCTTGCTCCAAAAAAAGGCAGCTCTAAAATGGACAGGATAAAGCCACAATGCAATTATGCCCTTGACTATCAGCTACCCATTCGGGGTATTTTATACATGTAAAAATTCCTCGTATAGGCGTCATCAAATATATGTGTATTACTCATGAGGAATGTTAGAATTGCGCGGATAGCCTGAGGTAGTAAAGGTGTGGTGAGAAACACACGGGGGGGCTAGTTGGCAGCCCATGGCATAATGCTCGTACAAGCAGTGCCACATCTTCAGTAGAAGTACGCCACGCCTAAAGGCAACACCACAAGGCAATGATAGAACGGCAATATTGCATTGATAAATCTAGGGCCGCAGAACCCGTGTTACAAACCGACCAATAGTCACATGAGCAGCTGCAGGTTTGGAATTCGGCATGTCCAGCAGGCTAGTGTACTGGTAGCCAGACACTAATGCTTCCTTGTTGTCGGTTAAGCGGGCGATATCCGCCAAGAGCCCCAGACTTTTTAGTTCACGACTAAACATACTAGAGGGCTAAATGGAGCAGACCCTCGCATACGAGTTGGAGTTGGGTCGACATAGGAATCCTACATCATACGACAGGCCTGCCGTTTTCGAAAGTTAAGTCTTCCATTTATATTCTCTAGTTCTATTTCTCCTCAATAATCCAAAATCGAAACAACCAGAGGCATCTAACCAGCCTTGGCTAAGGCTGTATCGCACTCCCTTGCTACCTAACCATTCATTGGCCAACAATGGAATGAGAATTTTGCATAAGAAGGCAGTTCAACGTATAGTATAGTAATGAGACTCAATGCCTCGAGCACTGAATAATGCGGGTGAGTTTATAATCTTTCCTAGGAATCCACATTGAGCTTTTATATTCTCGAGCCCTTTTGCTTTTAAGTGTGTGCACAGCGCATGCTACATCGGAGCGTGTGCGGCCATGTTACTTTTCATTCGGTCCCCAGCTCCCATACCTCTTACTGATGTTTTGATACGATAGCCTGGTATGTGCCATCTCTAGCATTAAAAGGAATGCGATTCTTCCGTCAGTGACTAATTATAACGGCCGTTGGCCCCATATTACACAGCGACACATGCCGGCGTCGCAAGGTTAAATGTGAGTGGCACAGAGTCATTTTCATGAATCACACAGCCACCTATTCACTACTAGCTTTCAATGTCGTCCTCTCTCGGGATATGACAAGCTAATATATGCTCTTGTCTAACAGGTGATGAGGCCACCCCCGTCTGTGGCCAATGCAGAAAGTCTGGAAGATACTGCGCGCGTCTTCTGAAGTCGTTTAGGTTTTCAGCCTACTCTTATCAATCAGGGACGGGAAGTCTTTCTAAAGGTACGTGGGAGCCTTGTTTCAGCCTTTATGGCTGCTCCTATATGTTCTCCCCCCTAATTCTCAAGCATCTCATCTCTGGAGCCAGCTAAACCAACGACTTTGATAGAGGCCGCTGAAAAGAGACAATTCCCCTCCCCCGAAAATCCGCGAGATGCACTTCAGTCACCAGATGTGGCCTGGTATTTTCACAACTACATTGCGGAGCCTGCAAAGTGGTATGACCTCGGCGATGCCTCACGTCTATTTGCCACATGGGTCCCTGAGCTTGCTCTGGATGAACCGCTCCTTTTCAGTGCCATAGTTGCTTTGTCTGCGGAGCATGTGAGCCAAACAACGAAATCTAAGCCTGCAAAGGCAGTAGCTGAATTCTATCATGGACACTGCGTCCATCGCCTGATCCAATTGGACGAAAAGACCGAATTGCTGAGAAACGGGGTTGCCCTAGCGGCCGTATGTTTATTACGATCATACGAGATTTTAAATGGTTAGCTATTGGGAGATCCTTCCATGATGCTGATTGAAAGCCGAGCTGACGTCCAGAAGAGGACATTGACCCCAACAGACACCTTCAAGGCGCGTATTCATTAGCATCGTGTGAAGACTCTATTGCAGCGAGCCCCCCGGGAAGTCTCCTAGCTGCTGGATTCTGGAACTACCTCCGTGAGGATATTACTTTTAGCTTATTTGAAAGCTGCCCATTAAAAATGGACGTGACAATGGCTGCCGCTCCAAGTTTGACTGGTGATCAAGACCAGCTCCACTCCATGACGCTCATACTTGGTCAAGTTATCAACAAGGCCTTCGGCTATCAAATCTCAGAACCTGAGTGGGAGAGATTAGTTTCCATGGTTCAAACTTGGCTCGACAAGCTCCCATCAAACGTCAAACCATTCTCAAGAAGTCAGAGTGTGACTCCATCAGCGGTTGGCGAATTGCCATGCTTCTGGTTCCTACAAGACTTTCATGGTGAGTTTCGCAATAATTCTTGCTATTATCAGCAGTTACTATTACTGACATTGGAACCACAATTAGCTTCTGCAAGGCAGTATGCCCTCATCGCGCTCACTATACTTGCCGCATTTGCACCTTTGAATCAGCTCTCAATGTTGCCCAGCGTATGTGATGACGCCGAACTCATTACCGCCGATGTGAGTAAGGGGGATTTACTGGAAACCTACGCTATCGAAATCTGCGGAATTGCATTCACAACGAATATTCCATCCGTCCTTGTAAACTCTTTCGGCCCTATTGCGTATTGTAAGCCCCTTCTCCTAACTATTCATTCTCCGCCTCCCACATTGTCTCCATTCTAACCATGTAAATCTCCCCAGGCGGCAAATTCATACGGTCCGAAGCCACCAGGCAAGAAGTCATTCGCCGCCTGTCCGCGTGTAAACGGTCTGTGGGATGGCCTGTTGAACGTTTAATTTCCAGCCTAAAGGACTCATGGACTGCGGAGCTGGAATCTCCCAGTTTTTCTGGGGAAGCGGGTCCTGGGTTTGGATCTTAGCCGTCCGTCCCCCGCTTCTTCTTCTTAGTGAACGCACCAAGTTGGAAGGGAATTCCGAGCTCGGGTTTCTGTATAGCATCATCAACGGAGCTTGCCCACGGCTAGTATAAGTAGGCGGAGACGGAGGCGTATATAAGTAAATTTTTGCATCACTGATAATTCCCTTATTGTTTTCCTATTTTATTATCACATCTATCTATACCCGAAATATCAATTTAACAAAAATTATACAATAACAACCGCAATGCTTGCAATGCGTTTTCGAGCCCCTCGACTGCTGAGTCGGGGTATGGCCACAGTTTCTTCAGCAACAAAAGCTGCTTCATCTCCTGGTCTTCACTGGCCGGCTGTGGTTCGCCCCAGTGCCAGTGAGATCAAGAATTCTAGACTCGACGAGCGTAGTCTGGAAAAAGCAGTGCGGCACATCCATCAAGATGGTCTTGTAGTGATTGAAGATGTCGTGCCTCACGAAGACATTGATCAGCTCAACACCAAGATGGTAGAAGATGCCCGCGTGCTCCAAAATATGGGAGACAAGGGACCATTTAACTACAACCAAGGAAATTTACAGCAAGATGCGCCTCCTGTTGCGGAGTTTTTCTACCCATCAATATTCACAAGTAAGATATATTCTTTGCAGAATTTTGGATCGCATAACAACGCGTTCTAACCACACACTTCTACATAGACCCTATTGCGACACAGATTACTTCAGCCGTCCTTGGGCCTCGGCCAAAGTGGACATTCTGCTCTGCCAACGCAGCCATGCCTCCTCTCCCGGGCGCATCTCCTCAGCGCCAACCAGTGCACTCAGATGCTGACTTTGCGCATCCTTCGCATCCTTTCGCCCTTGTCGTCAATGTCCCACTAGTAACTATGACCCCGGAAAACGGTTCAACTGAGCTCTGGCTCGGAACACACCAGACTGACATTACCTTTCAAGAAGGCGCACATGGAGAGCGAGCAAGTGGTCGCATTAAGGAGAATCACCTGCGTGATCGAGAGGCGATTCGCCCGCCGGTCCAACCCATCGTGAAGAAGGGTTCAATCGTGTTGCGAGACCTTAGGTTATGGCATGCTGGTATGCCGAACCCCTCTGACCAAGTCCGGATTATGCTGGCCATGATCCATTTTGCTCCATGGTATAGGAATACTATGAAGCTGGAATTTGGAGACAATTTGAAACCCGTTCTGGAGAAGCTTGACCAACAGGGCCAGCTAGGGCTGGATATTCCAGTGGATTGGGTTAGTCGTGAAGAGGCCATGCAAGGCTATCTGAATCGCGGCTTCGGGAACAGTTATGACTTTAATCAGACTCCTTGAGCACGTTGATTATTATTCCGTGGCACCTGCAATAGCTGTAAAAATAACTGTATTATCGTGTCCCTTTAATATAATCCATATTGATAACATTTGGCTACAAGTATTCATTGGCTAAAGCTGCACTCATTATACGTATTTTAGACTAGCTCCATTGCAAAAGATGCAGTTAAGGAAACTAACTATTGCGTACATCTTGCTCTACAATAGGCAAGATATCGCCAGGCATTTTAATATTATAGAAAATAACAATTGGGTCGCTCTTGTATCAATTCATCCCAACTTAGGCAATCCAGAACCAGATCCTCTCTAAGAAATTTCTTGGTACGGGCTTTACCCACGTTGACTCCAATCTATCAATCTCGGCCTTGCCTGACCAGAGATCCATCTCTGCCAATCCAACAAATTTTGTCTTCTTGACAAGTTTATAGCCGAAAAATAAGGATAAGAAAATGGGAATATCGATATATGGCGGGATAAATGACTTGGCGCTAAATCGGCCGGGGAAGAAGCAGTCAAATCCATTGAACAGCGCAACTACAAGGCAGAAGATGAGTGCAAAATATCCCAAAAATGGCTGGAATGGGGATTTGTAAGGTAGAGTATCACGGTCGATGCCGTTGTACCTCAGGGCGTAGTAAAAACGGAGATACATGAAGGATACGCTGGCCCAAACGATGAGAGTACTGACAGCACTCAGGTTGCTGATCCAGAAGAAGACCTCCGAAGACTGGTTGTTAACGTTAAGATAGACCAAGCAGCTAAGGGCGGTTGTCAAGGCTACACAGGCATACGGCACGCCAAACTTTTCATACTTGAGGATTGCGGGCGCTTTGCCGTCCAAAGCAGCTGAATAGAGCACTCGCGTGGACGCGTAGAAGAAAGAGTTTCCGGCAGACCAGGCAGATGATAAGACAACTGCGTTAATGATATGAGGAAGAACTTTGATGCCTGCGTTCTTAATAGCGATAACAAAGGGGCTCGCACCGACACCGGGAGCAGAGCTGTTGATAGCATTGAGCAGATTCGGATCTTCAGATGAGACGCAAAGCCCAACAAGGAAGATGGAAAGAACGTAGAATAGTAAGATGCGCCAGAATACTCGTCTGACAGAGCGCTTGATATTTCGCCGCGGGTCTTTCGTCTCGCCTGATGCGACTACCACAATCTCACTACCGCCATAGGCAAAAGTAGCTGAGATGAAGACCTTGAAAAAAGCCAGAAAGCGGCCCAACGCACCGTCTTCCAGATAAGCGTTCATCGGGCCCGGATGTTGCCAATATCGGAAGCCGATTTGGTCCCCAGATGGAGATCCGCCCACTGTGATGATGAACATGAGGAGGATCAAACCAATGATTGTAGTCAACTTGATAGCTCCAAACGCAAACTCGGCTTCTCCATATATCCGTACGGGAAGGCAATTAACAATGACCATGGCAGCAAAGAATACGGTTATAAGTGCAGCTTTGGGCACATCGTTTGGCCAAAAGTCAACAATAATGGCACAAGCCGACACCTCGATCGGCACACCAATAGCAAACTGATACCAGTAATTCCATCCCAGAGTGAATCCCAGCGCTGGGTCGACAAATCGCGAAGCAAAAACCGGTACTGCACCGGGAATCGGCAGCCAAGCGGCCATTTCACCCAAGCTATTGATTACACAATACAAGTTGAAGCCCGTGATGATGTAGCATAAAAATGCAGAGAGGGGCCCTGCTAAAGAGAGAACCTGGCCGCTGCCGACGAAGAGACCTGTGCCGATAGCTCCAGAAAGAGCAAGGAATTGAACGTGACGAGCTTTGAGGCGACGATCCAGCGTGCCGATATGTTGCTGCTCATTTTCTACCTTTTGAGCATCGTAGCTGTCGAATGCGCTGACGGGGGCAGCAGCAACAGAGATGGCATCTTGAGCTTCGACATCGCCATAAGGCGATGGCTCTTCCGTTTTGCCCATAATATTGGGTAGGGCCCAGAGAATGATGATAGAAGATTCTCAATGCCGAATAAGAGATGATCCTGAGCTAATCGGGCTGTCGATCGCAGGAATGCAGTAGCATACACGTATATATACATGAAAAAAAAAAACAGCCCTGACGAAGACGAGTTAGATCATGTTGCATCTACAACTGACCGATGAACGGAGGCATTTATCAACTCTAGTTCTGAATCTCGCCTATCTGTCTACGAGATCATCACATCGGCCAACTCATGTAACCTCAAAATGCGGGCAGTTTCTCGCTTCCCCGCAATCAATATAGCGAACATTGTCACAAGCTCACGAGATAAGCAACGCAACATCTGAGTCTAGGTGGAGAGCTCAGCGCCTAAACGCTTCGTATCAGACGATAGCGTCCTTTGCTACCACGCTCGTCTCCCCCGCGGAAAAACTTTTTGTTTATCAATTTCTCCCCGAGTTCATTCTGTTATGCGGTTTAGAGCAGCAATTATGCATACTAGAGCTTAGCGAAGTAAGCGGCGAACGAGATAGCTGCAGTAGCTAATGGATTATCTGGGGTAAGAAGTAACATAGGGCAGCCTACGTGGGGGAATAGCCAAGGTTTTTATGGACCAGCAGCGAGAGAAGAGCTAGCACTTGGCCGACGTAGTTGAGGGCCATGCTCGCACTTATACGCACGCTGATCAGTTGAAGTTCGGGTTTCGGTCTAGTTCAGCCGAGTTGCTATTTGCTAGGTTGTTTGCGTGTACCTAATCACGCGCCCTATTATCCAAGCCGATACGGTATCGTTGTATACATGTATTCAGACAGCATCGGATGGTTAAGTATGTGCCGGCCCGGATGGAATTCCGGTAATCGGCCTGTTTCAAATAGGAAAGCATACCAGCTATCTGGTTAGAAGCGACGGCATTTGTACTTTACATAGGCACGATGTACTACTGTGTTTCGACTACCGTATGGATTACCCAGAGAGGCTTTAGTGGAACACAGAGCCATCGCAGATTAATTCTGCAGGTATATAATGAGAGCGAGACTATTGCTGATGAATCATATCAGGTTTGCAGGGTCTTTGTTTGAATTGCTGAGCGACTGCGCTGTTCTTCTGGCTGCAGCATGGCCGTATGTTCCCTCGTCTGCTCAATCAACGTATGTTTACTAAAGCCTGTGGATATTTTCCTCTAACAGCTACAATCGTTGATGAAAATCGCCTGAAAATCTCCCAGGTCTTCATCCATCTTTATTCGTTGTCGTTCAAATCGCGCATATTTCACTATGATCATTCCAAAACTACATAACTGTAGCTATCGCTAGTCAGTATCATCAAGGCATGCCGCTCCTTAATAAAGAAAATTTCCACATGTTATGCTTGTATAAGCGCCAGGGACCGATCCAACGGCTCCAAGCTCCGAATGAGGCCCTTGCATCTCACTATGCGCGCCAATCGAGATCGTAGCACGTTGCCGCCTTAGCCTCATTGCATGGCAATTTCTTGATGGAAGTCACATCGTAATTCTTTAGCACTTACTACATTCTAACAGCTATGTGTTGCACATAAAGCATGAACGCGCTGTATAGCCTAAATCAGGTTATATAGCCTAGGAAAATAATTTTAAGCATCTAAGAAATTAGCCTCAATTTCGCTACCTTTTTAAATTGAAGTTGCGCCGGTGTGGTCGTACTGTAATGTCCTGGCTATTGCATGGGTAATGTGATCGTCGCTCTCCTAGACGAATAGGCCCGTTTGCGGATAAGCAATGAATAGCAGCATCATCATCTATCAGACGTTGGGACAAAAAGCGAGGACGCGTAGATGGACTAAAAGTGGAATAAATCATTTATACCACATGCTGCCATCTATATACGAAAGAGCTGTAGCTGTATCTGTTACTATCGTAACAAAACGATAGGGCATGTGAAATTGTCTATACTACTAATTAATTCCTATACAAACTACATGCGTCCTATATGTCGCTTTGTAGTATCCATACCAGATTTAGTGTCGTTTCGGAAGGACATGATTTCATGTCAAGCTTCCTTCTTTGTCAAATTGCTTACTTCAAAGTGACTACAAGGAAAATAAGTGTAGTATTCGGCAGAATAAATAGACTTATAAGATAAAGCGGGTTTCTGCCATCTAATTAGCACCCACAACGGCGCCTCCAGCGTATATGTCGAAAGTAGTATCGGCTTTAGGATCACGCAATATTTGGTTACATTTGTAGGGTGCATTCATCCGGTCAACACCGACCTCTCGCTCAAATACAAATAAGTGTCATCGTATTCATTTGCTGATGAAGCTCATACTGGTATTACATTTCTTGAAGGCAATTGTTTCGACGATTGCACGATAGAGATTTAGCTTGCAACGACATGATTATCTATCATCCATTTTTTCACTTGCATACTTGCCGCGAATTCTAGGTACAGAAAGCTTTCCCGACAAGACTCAATTCCCTCTTTCATAGGAGGCTTGGCTCCGCGCCAAATAGATTACACGCGGGGTATAATGCTCCCTGACAGCTGCTTAGCACAGGGGGTCAATATGCATCCCGGCCGGGATGATCTAAGATGCTAGCTAAAAGGCTGAATAAAGGCTTAATCGAGCATGAAGACACTGTTAGTTGCACGGTAATATACGAAAATAACCTCATCAATTAGCATGTTTCAGCCTAATACGATTACCTTCCATTTCTAGTTATCCTGAAGAATTTCGAATTCGGAGTTAACCCCCTTGTTCAGATAAAGTAATTGTATTGATGAGGCCAAAGAGATATAAGATAGCTTATATCAGTTTCTAAATCATAGAGACTTGCGCAACTCCCTATTTGAAGACATCTGCATTACCTCACGCAATCTTATACTACGCATATTACCATTCTTACGATGAAGCTTCTTCAGATTGCGCCCACTCTATTGCCAGTGGCTGTTGCCGCCCAAAGCTCTTGCAGCCAATATGCACAGTTCTCTGGCGGCAACTATGCACTGAGCAACAATCTTTGGGGACAATCCGCCGGTAGTGGCTCTGGCTGTATCACTGAGATATCCTTAGGCTCTTCCGCTGTGTGGTCGACGAACTGGAACTGGTCTGGAGGACAGAGCAACGTCAAGGGATACCCCAATACTGCTCTTAATATTCCAAACAAGCGACTTGTCAGCAGCATCTCAAGCATGCCCACTACTGCCCAATGGAGCTACACTGGCAGCAGCATCCGCGCCGATGTGGCCTATGATCTTTTTACTGCGTCAAATCCCAACCATGTCACGTATTCTGGAGACTACGAACTCATGATTTGGTAAGTCAGCGAGATGACTGCTTTTAGTTTATCTACTGAACAGCAATTCTACCTGTAGGCTCGGAAAATACGGAGATATTGGCCCCATTGGATCCTCTCAAGGGACAGTCAATGTCGGTGGCTCAAGCTGGACACTCTACTACGGCTACAATGGCGCCATGCAAGTGTATAGTTTCGTAGCTCCCGGCAACCTCACCAATTGGAATGGCGATGTCAAAAACTTTTACAACTATCTTCAGAATAACAAGGGATACCCTGCGTCAAGTCAATATGTCCTCAGTATGTCACTCTAATCTTTATCACACGAACTAACTATACATTATAACTAACCGACTACTCTTTAAGGCTACCAATTTGGCACCGAGGCTTTCACGGGAAGCGGAACCTTGAATGCCACATGGTCAGCGTCTATCAATTAAAGAGGCGTAGTATAAGCGTGGTTTAGAATATCATTGGGCTGAGTTAATTGTTAGCGTTAGCGTATGAGGCAGAAATGAAAAGGTTCTATTCATATTAACTATATCCAGACTGTATCTAGTACGTGACACTTAATTGGGCCATTGCTGAGCCAAAGACATCCTGTGATTGTCTGTTTTGGGGCGACGCACTACGAAGTGGTCGTTGAGTTTGGTCTATCAGCTGCTAGAGGCAGTATTAGAGCTGCTTGGAGACGGAGCTGTCACTGCTGTTACAGTATCATATGATATATTAGGTCAAGTACATTGTATTATAGGAATAAGTGAAACTCTAGATTTAAATATGGATCCAACAATAATTGTATCATCATCCAAGCTTCACTGAGAGCCGCCCTTGCGGCCCGCCTCGCGAGCTTTCTCACTGCCAGGTTCAAAAGATCCTCCCGAGGCTTTTCCTCCTTGAGAAGCTATGTTGCGCTATTTTTGTAGATGTTAGGACATGTAGAATTTTATAGTTCTAGCATTTAGAAACCGACCTGCTTATCAGGGTCCATAGAAGCGAAGCCGCCGCTGTGGCTGGCTTGTCCACCCTTGGAAGCAATGTTCTGAACCTCTTCTTTGGGTCTTTTGATGGTCAGCTGCGAGAAATTACTAGAATTACTGTAGGAGACCGTACCGGTTAGCGAAATTGCCGGGGTTATCGTTATCTGCCATGATGAAGTATCGAGCTTGGTCTGCTACTGGAGAATGTATTGCAGGTACAGAAGAAATCTGCAGAAGATGTGTTTGTAGGATGCGAAATTGTCGGAACCAATGTAGGTATTTATAATACAGTCTCTTCTTGATATTTTCTCTTGTGTCATGTTTATTTCCGGTCATTCATTCACAACCAAGTAGTTGTCGTCATTAAACTGCTCTTCGTAGCCTCTGAGGTCACTCTCTAGCGTACTACCAGTCGACGCTCATCTCACTTCTGATCATCCTTATTCTATGACGGTCAGATGTCCGACATTATGACGTGGAATTCGGGTATGTTGTCGTGGTTTCTCGATGGTGTAAGAATGAGGGGCGGTCATAGTTCTTATGTCTAGGTACGTGGGATCAGTCAACACGTTAATTGCTCCATCTGTACCAGAACAATTTATTTGCAATATATTACTGCTTTATTAACGCAGCCTCCATCAAGGTGCATGCAGATACATGTACCTAATATTGCGCTCTAGTCTGAACTTTAAGACCGATAAAATTAACCACAGACTCAAATTGTTTGTATGAATGACGCCAGTCAAAGCAGTAGTGTTTTTGTATGACATATAATACTCAAATTTGCGCATTACACACGACTGAGGTCAGTTTCTAGAATAATTAAGCCGATTTACATAGCGGAGCCCCGCCACAGAGACCTAAAGAGCAAATATCATATGCTCCCGCTGCTCGCTCGATTGCTTATTTCTACACTCCATTCTAGAAAACGTAGAGAAGTACAGTCCAACAATGCTGAATTGAGTTGCAGGGTAATGAGGCGAGCCTAACATTGCTTGCCAGGTAGTGCAGCATACTCGAGGTGAAGATGGATCTGCCGTCTCCTATAATTGAGACATGATAAATCTAGTAGAACTATAGCAGGATATGAATTTTACCTACTTGTGAATACCATCATGCTCTTGCAACTGCTCCTGGATTCATACTGGGATGCGATGACACAAATGTGGATAAACGCTGACTAATACTGATACCGTAATGCATTAGCACAGTTCCTCATGACGGCCCTTTTCTTCTTAATCGCCGAAGCAATTCTTGGATATAAGGACTGGGGCGATGAATAGGCCTCGCAACCGCCAGCCTCGACCCTCGGGGCAAAATGAGTCTCGGGGAAGAGGGAGAGGGAGAGGAGGAGGAAGAGGAAGAGGAAGAGGAGGAGGAGGAGGAGGAGGAGGAGGAAGAGGAGGATCGTCCAACTTGGGACGTCGAGCACCTGGAACGCCGCAACAAGCTGCCGGCACCGTCCCGACCTCTAAGCAGGTTGTAGCTGGTACTGCTGTTTTCATCATCTTAAAGCAAGATCAGCCAACGGGCCAGGAAACTCGGGGGATCGTGCAGGATGTTCTCACATCAGGAGACCATCCTCGCGGGATCAAAGTTAGGCTGCGCGATGGTCAAGTCGGCAGAGTGCAGAGACTTGATGACGGGTCTTCTCAGCCATCAGCCGGAACAGCACCGGCTTCCAATGCCTCGAGCTCGCGATTCAGCAGCCGATACACAGATATCAGGAATGACGAGGACTTTGATTATCTGGAGGGACCGCCGCCGAGGAGTTTAGCAGATTTCATGCCGGGCTTGGATGAGCCTGCGGCCGATGTATCTTCCAGCGAAGCTGGCGGTGCTCGCATTGTCGAGGACGTGGTTGTCTGTCCAATTTGCGAGGCATTTGAGGGGGATGAGGCTGCTGTTACGCATCATCTCGATCGAGAGCACCTGAGTTGAGGGGGGCGCATCTCGAAATGGCGTCTTCACCTTTCTGAAATGGCTAGGATATACCTCCAGCACGCTGGGCATATTTGTACAGACACCTACATACTGGAAAGCTACGGTGTTTTACGGCGTTGAGCGGCCGATGATTTTGTTTCCTTCTTCATAGTGCAGCTATTTTTGGCCATGCACGAGCACAGCGATCTAAATCTAAACGAACCAGGATTGTGGCTGACTTGATTCACATTCACACTTACCCTTGATCCCGCGCAGGTGATTGCATGCATGTTCGGTTCGCATTGAACCAGGTATCCGCAGCCTTGCATGCATGATCTCAATCTCAGGCTCCAGGGCGTCCCGAAAAAGCCGGCGGAACGGGGGCCGGGGTGCCCGTAATTTTAGCAGGCTGGACAAGCAAGTGAAACCAGCCCAGCTCCAGTTCGTTGCTTGCTGGGCAGTCGTGAATCGCGGTGCAGTATTGAACCAAGCAACTATGAGCCCCTGGAGAGGAATGCGCAGGAATGTGAGCTTGCTGCTAGTATTTGCGTCTAGAAGGACATGGGACTGGAAAAGGCAGTCATCAGTTCTTAGGGTACATGTACATGCACATAGGGAGTCAATTTTGCTGATAAAGGAAGCTGTGCGCCCTACAGTGAAATTGCATCCGCAAGCTGCTGACTGGACTATTGATGTTTTAGCCTTGCCGCAGAAGAAATTGGGGAGCTGGGCAGCCAGCACTACAAAGTACCTACGTGTATGTACCAAGGTTAGCAGTACCTGCTTAGTAGGCAATACGGGCCAAGTACGAATTTGGGAGCAGCGCGTGGCCACGTCAACAACGGCAAAAGATCAAAAATAAAGCTGCTGGGTACGATAACGTCGACAAAACAAAGCATGGGATGCCGTTATTTTGCCTCGCTTCGCCCGCACGGCGGCGCAATTGCATGCATCGTCTCAGCGTCTCTTGTTTCTCTTTGTTCCTTTGTTTGTTCATCCACGCGTGGCTTGGCGCCGTCTGGGACCGGATTTTCCGTAAATCCGCGCCCCGCGATTGGCCGCGCCGGCTCCTCGCTCTCCACGTAATCAGTCCGGCCACCTTGTTCTAGTGGGCTGCTGCTCCCAGCAGTCAATGCCGCTCACACAGCCTGGCCTGCAAGGTGACCTGCCACTTCTCCTTAACTCTCCAACCAGATCTCCTCTTTCGCCAATCAACCCTCCCAGCATCTCCTCATCGGCAAGGCCCTCATCGCGACTCGCCTGCCGCCGCGTTTCTTTTCTTCCTTTCGATCCTTTTTCTCGTTTCTCTTAGTCCTTCGTCTCGTGCCGCTTTGGCGCATGGAAGCTGTTGACGGCCTCGTCCTCCGCCCCTCGAGCCTGAAGCTAGCTCTACCTAATCTCAACACCGACACTGTGAGCCGCGGCAATTTCGATAGGCGGCTGCCCTAGGAGTATCGAGTCGACGACGGCCCATATTATCTCATTGTTGGCTACTCTGGCGCAATGGCGCCTCTCCCCATCAAGTTCCAGGAGCTGGTCCAGCTCAGCAGCCTGGGCGTGGACACGCAATCCATTGGCTTCAACTCCTGCGTAAGTCGCTCTTCCCGCTCCATCAGACAATGAAAATGCAGCAACATTGCCCGTGCTGACCTATGCGCGCGTTCGGAAACACAGACACTAGAGTCAGACTCGTTCGTTTGCATTCGGGAAAAGAAGAACGAAGCCGCTCAGCCCGAAGTGGTCATTGTCGAGCTCAAGAATGGCAACCACGTAACACGCAGGCCTATCAAGGCCGACAGTGCTGTCATGCACTGGAACAAGCAAATCATTGCTCTCAAGGCCCAGTCCAGGACTCTTCAGATCTTCGATCTCGAGCAGAAGAAGAAGCTCAAGTCCTGCACAATGAACGAGGATGTTCAGTTCTGGAAGTGGATCAGCGAATCCACTCTGGGCCTCATCACAACTGGCAGTGTCTACCACTGGGATGTCTACGACGCTTCTCAGGATGCGCCTGTCAAGGTCTTCGAGCGCAATGCTAACCTCAACGTGCGTCAATTTACTCCATGTGCCTCATTACTCCCCGCCCCCCGCTAACTCACTACTACAACAGGGCTGCCAAATCATCAACTACCGAGTTAACAGCGATGGAAAGTGGATGGTTGTGGTCGGCATCTCGTCTCAGCAGGGCCGTGTGGTTGGTGCCATGCAGCTGTACTCCAAGGACCGGGGTATCAGCCAGGCCATTGAGGGTCATGCTGCTGGCTTTGGCACCTTGAGACTGGATGGTGCCCCTCAGGACACCAAGATCTTCAGTTTCGCCGTGCGAACCGCCACTGGTGCCAAGCTGCACATTGTCGAGGTCGATCACCCAGATTCGAACCCAGTCTTCCAGAAGAAGGCTGTCGATATCTTCTTCCCGCCCGAGGCAACCAATGACTTCCCCGTCGCCCTGCAAGTCTCGCAAAAGTATGGCGTCATCTTCATGGTTACCAAGTACGGTTTCATCCACTTGTACGATCTCGAGACGGGCTCGTCCATCTTCATCAACCGTATCTCTAGCGAGACCATCTTCACGAGCTGCGCTGACGATGACTCCTCGGGCCTTGTCGGTATCAACCGCAAGGGCCAGGTCCTCTTCGTCACCATCGATGATTCAACGATTATCCCCTACCTGCTTGAGAATCCCGCTAACACAGAGATTGCCATCAAGCTGGCATCAAGAGCTGGCCTCCCCGGTGCGGATAATCTTTACGCAAAACAGTTTGACCAGCTCTTCAACAGCGGAAACTACCTCGAAGCTGCCAAGGTCGCCGCAGGCTCGCCCCGTGGCTTTTTACGTACGACCGAGACGATCGAGAAATTCAAGCGCCTGCCTGCCCAGCCTGGTCAGATGGCCGTTACACTGCAGTACTTCGGAATGTTGCTTGACAAGGGTGCTCTGAATCGATACGAAACTCTTGAGCTCGCTCAGCCTGTCCTGCAGCAGAACCGAAAGCACCTTTTGGAGAAGTGGTTCAAGGAGGGCAAGCTGGACTGCTCTGAGTCGCTTGGTGACATGGTGCGGCCGTACGACGTTAACCTGGCGCTAAGCATCTACCTTCAGGCCAACGTCCCCAACAAGGTTATTGCTGGATTTGCCGAGACTGGCCAGTTTGAAAAGATTCTGCCATATGCCGCTCAAACCGGACACCAGCCCGACTACATCCAGCTTCTCCAGCACATCATTCGTACCAACCCTGACAAGGGAACTGAGTTTGCCACTGCTCTCGCGAACAATGAACAGGGCCCTCTGATTGATCTGGAGCGCGTTTGCGACATCTTCCAGTCCCAGGGTATGGTTCAACAGGCCACTGCCTTCTTGCTTGATGCCCTCAAGGAGAACAAGCCTGAGCACGCTCGTCTCCAGACTCGACTCCTGGAGATGAACCTGATGCACGCCCCTCAAGTTGCCGAGGCCATCCTCGGTAACGACATGTTCACACACTTCGATAAAGCCCGAATTGCTCAGCTTTGCGAACAGGCTGGCCTGGCTCAGAAGGCGCTGGAGCTGTACGAAGATCCTGAAGCTGTCAAGCGCGTCATCGTCAACATCGCCGGCGCCCCCAACTTCAACCCCGAGTGGCTGTCCAACTTCTTCGGCAAGCTCTCTGTCGAGCAGTCTCTTGACTGCCTCGATGCTATGATGAAACACAACATTCGCCAAAACTTGCAGTCGGTTGTCAACATCGCCACCAAATACTCGGAGCTTCTCGGAGCTGTCCGCTTGATCGATTTATTCGAAAAGTACAAGACATTTGAGGGTCTTTTCTATTATCTCGGCAGCATTGTCAATCTTTCCGAGGATCCTGATGTGCACTTCAAGTACATCGAAGCTGCTACCAAAATGGGCCAGTTTAACGAAGTTGAGCGTATCTGCCGTGACAGCACCCACTACAACCCTGAGAAGGTGAAGAACTTTTTGAAGGAAGCTAAGCTGCCTGAGCAGCTGCCTCTCATCATTGTGTGCGATCGCTTCAACTTTGTACATGATTTGATCCTGTTCCTCTACCAGAACCAGCAATTCCAGGCTATCGAAGCCTATGTTCAGCGTGTCAACCCATCTCGAACCCCTATCGTTATTGGTGGCTTGCTCGACGTTGACTGCGAAGAGAGCATCATCAAGCAGCTTCTCACGACCGTTGATGCTCAGCAGATTAGTATTGACCAGCTTGTGTCTGAGGTCGAGACTCGAAACCGCTTGAAGCTTCTGCTGCCCTTCCTCGAGGCCACTCTCCAGGCCGGTAACCAGCAGCAAGCTGTCTACAATGCTCTGGCAAAGATCTACATCGACTCGAACAACAACCCTGAGAAATTCCTCAAGGAGAACGATCAATATGACACCCTTGTCGTCGGTAAATACTGCGAGAAGCGAGATCCTAACCTGGCGTACATTGCCTACTCCAAGGGCCAGAATGATCTGGAGCTTGTCAACATCACCAACGAAAACTCCATGTACAGGGCTCAGGCTCGATACCTTTTGGAGCGAGAAGACACTGAGCTCTGGCGCTTTGTTCTCAGCGAGAACAACATTCACAGACGATCTGTTGTTGACCAGGTCACTGCAACTGCTGTCCCCGAATCCACCGACCCTGCCAAGGTCTCTGTTGCCGTTTCTTGCTTTTTGGAGAATGACCTGCCCCTGGAACTTATTGAGCTCTTGGAGAAGATTGTTCTTGAGCCTTCTCCTTTCAGCGATAACCAAAACTTGCAAAACTTGCTCATGTTCACCGCTGCCAAGGCAGACAAGGCCCGCGTGATGGACTATATCCACAAGCTGAACGAGTACAACGCTGATGAAATCGCTTCCGCCTGTATCGACGTCGGTCTCTTTGAGGAAGCCTTTGAGATTTACAAGAAGGCTGACAACAAGTCTGCTGCTGTCAATGTTCTCGTTGAGCATGTTGTCAGCATTGACCGGGCTCAGGCGTATGCTGAGGAGGTTGACCTTGCCGAGGTTTGGAGCAGGGTTGCCAAGGCTCAGTTGGATGGTCTCCGCATCTCTGATGGTATCGAGTCATACATCAAGGCTGAGGATCCTTCCAACTATACTGAGGTGATTGAGATTGCCACTCATGCCGGAAAGAACGAGGACCTTGTCAAGTATCTCCGCATGGCCCGCAAGACCCTTCGCGAACCTGTTATCGACACGGCTCTCGCCTTCTGCTATGCTAGACTCGAACAGCTCTCGGAATTGGAAGACTTCCTGCGTGCCACCAACGTGGCTAACATTGAAGAGTCCGGTGACAAGGCTTATGAAGAGGGACTCTACGAGGCATCCAAGATCTTTTACAGCAGTATCTCCAACTGGGCTAAATTGGCCACCACCCTTGTGCATCTCAGCGACTACCAAGCCGCCGTCGAGTGTGCCCGCAAGGCAAACAACATCAAGGTGTGGAAGCAGGTCCACGAAGCCTGCGTCGACAAGAAGGAATTTAGGCTTGCTCAGATCTGCGGTCTCAACCTGATTGTTGATGCCGAGCAACTCCAAGAACTTGTAAAGGACTATGAGCGCAACGGATACTTCGATGAGCTCATCAGCCTGCTCGAGCAGGGCCTGGGTCTCGAGCGCGCTCACATGGGCATGTTCACCGAGTTGGGTATCGCCTTGTCCAAATACCATCCTGAGCGTCTCATGGAGCATATCAAGATCTTCTGGTCCAGGGTGAACATGCCCAAGATGATTCGCGCATGCGAGGAGGCGAATCTGTGGCCTGAATTGGTGTTTTGTTACTACCACTATGATGAGTTCGATAACGCTGCGCTGACTGTTATCGAGCGACCCGAGAACTCGTGGGATCACCAGCAATTCAAGGAGATTGTGGTCAAGGTTGCCAACTTGGAGATCTACTACCGTGCGATCAAATTCTACGTTGAGCAGCACCCATCACTGCTCACTGACCTGCTAGCTGCTCTTACATCTCGTGTCGACGTCAACCGTGTTGTCAAGATGTTCCAGAAGAACGACAGCCTGCCACTTATCAAGCCCTTCCTTCTGAATGTCCAAACTCAGAACAAGCGCATTGTCAACGAGGCAGTCAACGACCTGCTGATTGAAGAGGAGGATTACAAGACCCTGCGTGACTCCGTGCAGAACTATGACAACTACGATGCCATGGAGCTGGCTGGTCGTCTGGAGAAGCATGACCTGATCTTCTTCCGCCAAATTGCTGCCAGTATCTACCGCAAGAACAAGCGTTGGGAGAAGTCAATTGCCCTTTCAAAGCAAGACAAGCTTTACAAGGATGCTATCGAAACAGCTGCCATCTCCACCAAGAACGACATTGTTAACGATCTTCTTCGATACGTATGTTACACTCCCGATACCCATTTTATCCCGTAATGATGCTAACTTCAAGTCTTAGTTTGTTGACATTGGCCACCGCGAATGCTACACGGGCATGCTGTATGCCTGCAATGATCTCATCCGACCTGATCTTGTCCTGGAGCTCTCTTGGCGCAATGGCCTCAACGACTTCACTATGCCGTATATGATCAACATGCTCGCCCAGCAGACCAAGGAGCTCGCACTGCTCAAGGCCGATAACGAGTCACGCAAGTCCAAGGAAAAGGAGCAAGAGAAGACTGAGGATAACACACCCATCTTGGGCGGTGCTAGACTCATGATCACCGCTGGACCTGGCGGAAACGCTGCTCCAGCGCCATATGGCCAAGCTAACGGCTTTGCGCCCCAACCCACTGGTTTTGCGCCCCAGCCCACTGGCTACAACTACTAGATGCAATTGCCAGTGTGGGTCAACGCACCATACTTAGTACCAACATATAATGCGTAATTCTTTTCGCTGTGGCATAGCTAGCTGCAACGCAGCCTAGCCAGGTTCGAGCGAAGCATGGTGGGGAAGCTAGACGGGCAATATGGGACTGATGATGACGACGCGTGAGCTTTTTGTTTTTAGGGGGCTCCTTCATCGAGCTATATAATGATGGATTAGAGATACAAAAAAAGAGTTGATCGTCTAGAATGAGACGACGAACCTCGGGCTCGGAGTCTCGCAAGTCACGGATTCTTTTTTCTTCTTTTTCCTTTGCAGTTAGAGTGGCGGAGGAGAAAAAAAAATCTTTTTCTTTTCTGAATTTTGGCGGAAGTGACGCGGAATGGAAATCTGCTAGGCTGCGAATGTGTATGATAGGCAATTTAAATTTGTTATTTCTCATTCCAGGTTCTGTGCGATTTATTGTGATGTTATGGCGTATACTTTGTTAAACCAGAAGCTCTGTACGAAGTGGAAATGTAGTTAGGGGGTGAAGTTGGAACCAGGTCTTGTGTGAGTGAGTGACAGCACCTACGCCCATTCACGCAGTCCTGGCTCTCACAGCTAGACCATGTACAGTTGGCAACACGTATATTTACAATATAAATAGCACTCATGCAAGAGTAGTCCCAACCATTGATAAATCAGGGCACATCTACACCTGCTCAGAAGTAAATACTTCAAGTATCACTCAATTGCATTAGGAAACAAAAAACCAAGTCTACAATGCCATGTCCAAGCTATGGCTCCTATGCTATTGTACAAAAAAGGTTTTACGTCCCATATCCAAACTCTCCAAAAAGGAAAATTAATAAAACAAAAAAAAAAAAAAACGCATAGAATAGGATAGGCTATATCATATATTCTATACTTTATTGCTGTTTGGCTTGGGGTGAGCTGTCTTGAGCCACTCGCCGTTGAAGGCATTAATGAGCCAATTGTTTAGTTCTAAAAAGCCACATATTAGAAAAAGCCCTCTGTTAAATGGGAATGTATAAGGAGAGAAGAGGTTTAGGAAAAAAAAAAAAAAACTTACTGTCGTATACAATGCGATTTGCGCCATGGAAGTAAATGCCATGGTCGCTGTCGGGGAACACATGGACATCGTAGTTTTCCACACCTGCCAAGTCCAAGCTATCCAGCAGAGTGAGGGAATTCTGGAAGTGCACATTGTCATCGGCAACGCCGTGCATGAGCAAGAAGCGTTTGTTCTCGCCCAGGGCCGTGGCATTGGATATCTTGGACGTGGCGTAGCCCTTGTCGTTTTCCTGGGGAGTGCGCATATAACGTTCGGTATAGATACTGTCATAGAAGCGCCAATCGGTAACGGGCGCCACGGCCATACCGTAGGAGAATGTGCGGCCGGCGTCCTGCTCCAGCGTCTTGAGGGTGGTGAAGCCGCCGTAGGACCAGCCCCAGATGGCGAGTCGGGTCTCGTCGACGTAGTCGAGGGAGGCAAAGTGACGAGCGGCTGCGATGTGATCCTGCGCCTCGAGAAGACCGAGCTGAGAGCGGACTGGCACGCGGTGCTTGCGGCCGAGGAAGCCTGTGCCTCTGGGGTCTACGGTGATGACCACGTAGCCGAGGTTGGAGGCGACATAGGACTGGAAGTTGACCGCGAATCTCTTGGTGACTTCCTGCGAGCCGGGCCCGGAGTACTGCTGGAAGAGGATGGGATACTTCTTCTTGGGGTCAAAATGAGGCGGACGACGTTCGAGGTAGTTTACGGTGACGTTGTCACTGAGATTGAGCGTGCCGTATTTGAGAATAGGAAGTTCATGCTTCTTGGCACGGTCGGCAAGCTCAGCATTATCTTCAACAATAACTTCATACGAGATGTTGCTGGAAGGGGTTGAGATGACCTTTTGGTACGGGATTTTGGGTCCGCGATAGGAGAGGAGGGCAAAGCCTGCCCCAGACGAGAAAGAGGCGGAATAGTAGGCCTCAGCAGAAATGTTTGTGAGGGGCTTTAGATCCGAGCCGTCCAGTTTCACGGAGTACACATGGCGCTGAATAGAAGATTCCTTGGTACCGACAAAGTAGACAAGGTTGTTGGCGAGATCGACGGCCGAAGGAGCATTATCAACTTCCCATTCCCCAGAGGTGAGCATGATGGGCTTGGAGTTGCTCAGAGGAGTGAAGTATCCAATGTGTTCATAGCCGTCGTAAATCACTGTGTCGACATAGCCATCCTCTGGTCGACCATTGTCCGGGTCTGCAGGAACATACGTCATTGAATGTGAGATCTCGAACCAGCCGCCGTCAAGCTTGTCGACATCGATATTGTTGATCGTCTTGCCCTGGCGCTCATTAACATCGACGAGAATGACTTTCAGGTTATCGCTGACGCGATTGGTCTGCTTGACAAGGACATTGTCGCCAGCCCAGATGAGGCTGTTGATGATGCGATCATCGTCAGGAAACTCGTCGCCGGTGCTAACCGAAAAGACGTCGCCTTTGGTGACATCGTAGAACTGGAGGTCAACAACGGGGTTGTGCGCGCCAGCTTTAGGATACTTGATTTGCTGGACCTCGGGGTAGGACTCCTCGCCACTCTGCGGTGTTTGGCCGCTGGGTCGCGAGATGAAGAACTGAACAGGATACTCCGGGACTCCGGTTTCGTTGGTCCGAAGGAAAGCCAGAAACTTTCCGTCGTCGGACCACCAAGTAGCGCTATTTCCAGAGAAAACCTCTTCTTCATACACCCAATCAGGAATGCCGTAAAAATACTCCGGGCCACCATCCTTTGTAATCTGCACGATATCGTTGTCGCCGGTGAGGCGGCGGATGAAGAGATTGTTGTCTTTGGTAAACGATATCGCGTTGCTGCGAGGGCTCCAGCTTGCGAGCTGAACACGAGCTTGCGTATCCAACGGGATGAGGGGCTCTGCAGTCTGCGTCTCCACGTCGAAGACGAAGTAGACGGCCGTGAACGAATGCCTCCAGACACTCTCTTTTGCGACGCCAATGAGGACCTTTTTCTGATCTGGACTGGGTCGAAGCCAGTGGGGAGTGTACGGTTTGCCTGCGTACTCGAATTGCGCCTTCTTCATGAGAGTCCGAGACTTGGCCAGCTGAGTATCCGCATCGCTTGCGTCCCCTACCACTGACCGAACGTCCTCCACGACGAGATAATCCTTGCCTGATGCTCCTTGTTCGAGCAAGAGGCCATCTTCGCCGTCGGGGCCTGCAATCCAGCTAAGCGATTTGCTCTCGGCAGACCAGTAGCGATCAAAGATCTGGTCCAAGGTGACAGGCTTGCCGGAGCCGCGAGAGTCGGCGTCGGGATCATGGTCCACATCGCTGGCGTGCTTGTACGATCCCTTGGAGACAAACACGGCGAGAGATGCGACCCAGGCAGCAACGAAGACGGCGGCGCAGATGAGCAGGATGCGACGCAGCTTCCTGTCCATAGGCCTGCGCTGAAGGCCTGCGCCGGTCGAGCCAAGAAAGGCGGCGCTCTCGGTGTCATCGGCAGCTTCATCCTTGAGGGGATCCTCATCGTACACGTCGGTGTAGGCAGGCCTACCGCGGGCCTTGCGCGGCACGGTGCCTTTCTCCATCTCCTCTTGTATCCGGTCGAAGACGATGCTGGTGGTCGAGACGGAAGAGAGAGAATCGGTCGATGGGGATCTCTTGGGCCCGTCAGCGGATGACATGATGGAGACGCGGCACGAGCAAGTCGCAGGGGTTGCGTGGAAGGGGTTTTGTCGAGTGTATCGGTCAGCCGGATCGCGTTCAGAGGCAGACACGCAGCATCGTCCCGCAGCGGATGGCAGCAGCGTTGCCTCGAGATCACGATGCGGACACCAGCAATTCGGAAAGCTGTCGACGAGAGAGAGGCGGTCAATTGCCGGTGTTACCGTCCTGAGCTCTCTGTATTGAGGGTTGAGAGGAGCTTATTGTCGCTTCTGTCGCGGGTGACGTGATTGGCGCAGGCTGCTGTTAGTGCTGGTCCTACAGGGGCCTATGGTCGGCTATGGGGCGACAAGTACCGCATTAGCACCTGTAGTCAGCAAGGCGAATGAACAAGGTTATCGCGAATTGGCCAATGGGAGTGCGCATGTCCTCCAGCCTTGCCATAAGTCGCGGCAACCGTGGCAATCAAGCATATCAGCTCACAGGCTGATACAACTGCCTACATGTAGTCTTTCTTACCTACCAGATACAAGTGCCATTGGTGCATGCAGCATGTAAGTGGTCTTACGGTTGAGACTCCACTGCCGGCCAATAGGCTTAGCATATGCCGAGGCGAGGCCTACCAATCAAGGGCAGCCAGATGCATAGTGCCTTATGCTCTACATTGCCAGATCACCCAAAGCACCACGCAACAACACAGCACACAAAACAAGGCGTCCGCATATCCTCTGCATGATGCAGCCATCCACACTTTGTGCCGTATAATTCGCCGGTCAAGCTCTTAGTGGGCTCCGCAGCGGGATCAGCACGGCTGTGGAACCGCCCGGCCGCCACACCATTCCAGCGTCTCCAGTGGATAGACGACAGACGATGGGAGCAGCTGAGTACAGGCGAGATGCCGAGCGGTGAAACGGCGAGGGAACACGGCGGATGCTGAACGGGGGGGTGTATATTATGTTATACTTGGTAGTACTACTACTAGGTAGGAAGCAATAGCCTACCTGCATGTATATGGGACAGCAGCACGGACTGGCATGGATATTACCGAAAAAAGATGCTATCGTGATAAGTCTCGCCGCTACACGCAGAGCAAAAGGACAAGCCAAGGCTGTGGCGCAGACATATACATACACAAGAGGCAACCATCGCCAAATCAGCTTGGCCGCAGCTCCCCCAGACTGGCCTATACATAGAACGGTTTGCCACATCTTTGTCTCTCATCAGCTCCAGCCACGTTGGTTTGCCGCAGCCTTATGACAGCCGACAGCTCGCATTGCCAACCCCAGACAGATTCTCCGGCCTCTCTCCCAAGCTAAGCGCCAGGCTCTACTCGTGTCTAGCCCCCTGCAGCTGCGGTGGCGCGTGGGTGCTCTCATCAATCTTGACAACCCGGCACGCTGTCCCATACGCCGCCGTCTGAGCGAAGCCCCCCATGTCTCCCGCATCGAATCTCAGACAGATGATGGCGTTGCCACCCCGCCGCTTGCACTCGTCGACGACTCTGCTGATGGAGTCGTTCCGGCACGCATACAGCATGGACGTGAACCACTGCAGCTCGCCGCCGGCCATGCTCTTGAAGACCATGCCCAGGCTGGCGCCGATGTTGCGCGACCGCACCGTGATGCCGTAGACTGTGCCGAGGACCTGCTCGATGCGGTAGCCGGGGAGATCGTTCATGGCTACCACAGGGTGGAGATGCGTCATTAGCTGTCTGCTCTGTACGCACCCATATGTCTTTGCATAGATTGTTTTACAAGCAGACGCAGTGGCGACTTGTAGCCGCGCCTGCGCCTGCGCTTATGTTTATGTGCTCCGTATCTGCAGTCGACTGACTTACTGGTTGTCACGACGCCCTCTGTTTCGGTGAAGCAGTGCAGGTCGGTCAGATGCGAAGGGATATCCGCAGCCTCTTGAGGCCGCTGCTGCTCTTTGTCCTTGCCGAAAACCATGGTGAAGTGCTGTTGATGGCGGGAATTACTGACGAGGGGAATTGAAAATCAACTGAGGATGGTAGAATGGACTAATGCTGCTGCTCGCTCTCCTGCGCTTCTGGCGAATGCAGCTCCTATTTATACCATTTGCATCTCAACGTATATAAACTCTATTCTGGACGAACCATTCCTAATTCCCATCTAGATCAACATCGCTCACCCTGATCCCAATCCATCAATGAACCCCAATTACCCGTACATACATGGCACTTGTTTCCCCTCAGAGGTGATGGAATGGCTTGGAGCAAAAAGCCTCCAAAGCGGCCGCTAATCTCGCCAAGCGCTACATATGGCCCATCCCAGGGTCTGGCGCGCCGCTTCCGCCTACTATGGGACTAGCCGGACAGCTCCTGATGCAGGGATCGGAGCCAGCCGTATTGCTCGCGTTTTGGTCCGGTGGCCGGCTAGCCCAGGAGTCATGGCAGCGCTGTCTCGGTGGTAGCGCATTGTATGAGCGCTATATTCGGGGGTTATGCACGATGTCGTCGTCGGTATCATGTCACACTGCGCCATCGCCTGACCCGAGAGAGGTAGTAGTGCGAGTCGGTTGTTGGAGAGTGTGAACACTCGAGTGATACCTGCTCTGCTCTATACTTCATTCAGCGTCATGCTACATACAGCAGAGAAGATGCCAATTGTAGGTCGTAAGATATCGATTCGTAGCATTATTAAGCGCATGCACCAAGCGCAATCTGTACCTGACAGGTTATGAGCTACTGAAGTTGGCCATCCAACTCGAAAGCGCTACAGCATGTGCTCCATGCCTTAGGTTAGTAGGTAGGTAGGTACCTATGACTGCCCGACTTACACGTTAAGCACCTAAACGCGCTGTTAGTCGATCCTGTACCTGCACTGCCAGTTGCCCCTTTCAGGCGGTGGACACGATCCGATACAGCGGCTGCTCGTCCTAATCGAGTCGCTTCGCTGTCAATGACTCAGGCACCGTCTCGGCAGAACTAGAGTCTGCCTCTTCCTCTTTGCTTCCTCCACCGCCAGAACAAACCGCTTCGAACCACACACCCTTAGTCTCACTCGAGGCATTGCGTCAAGGCGCGGCATTTCTTTGCTCGTTTCTCTCTGGTTCTTCGCTTCTTTTTGCCCTCTGATATTTCGCCTTGGGTTGCATGTGCGGCGCTGAACGCGGCGCAGCAGCGCCTATGCAGACCCCTGCCGACCATACGTGGCGCCAGCACATGGTCGAGCAGCCATGAACTGTCCGCGCCACAAGGCTCTGTGTCCTCTGCTCTTGATGGGAGGACACAGTGCCTTGACAAGAGTATCAACGAACGTTTTGGCTCAATTGGATTGGGCAATTCCATGCTGCGATCGATCATTGGGTACTACTTCTCAAAGAGATAACCACCCAATAGATCCATTCGGAGTTGGCTAGGTACGTATACGCACCTTTGAGGGCCAGAGATGTTGTAGTTCTGAAGTGAATGCAATGGCAGCGCATGTGCTAAGTCAAGATAGCTACCAAGTCGGCGGAATACCCAAAGAGCGTCGAGATCATATTTCCAGATTGGGTATCAACATAGGTTGAGTCACATCAACCCCTCTCGCTCAACCAATTTCCCTTCCATTGAGGATACAAATTCTCTGTAACAAAAACCAAAACCGTTGGTATTTGATGCGGAACTGCCTCTGCCGTCCACCACAAGCGATGCGTCTCATCCACTAAGATACTATTTGGAATATACCGGCGCCGGCGACTCGTTGTCCGTCTAGAAAGGATGCTATAAATGGTCAAAACTGGTCCCGGTGTGGTCACAAAGGCCCGATCAGGCATTACCATCCTCTCGGAAAAGTCCCACGGCTGTCTCGAGATATTCAATACCCCAGCCTGATCTTTTGAGCGGGCATGGAAGTTAAGAGCTCCCTCGCAATCCCTGGCCAGCTGAGAAAGGCTGATCCTCAATCCACTCCACTGCTACACCTGCTTGTACATTCTATTATACGGCAGTTTTTACCGGCACTCTCTGCGTTGCTCGGCGAGTATCTCTCAGCTCTCTCGGTTACGGATCCTACAAGTCCCGGTTACAACATAGCTCCATGCCTCTCCGGCCCTACGCCAACCCCAAAACTGATACCAGAAACTAGTTTCAATACTCCGAAAAGATGACATAGCATGGAGAAAGCAAAGACGAGAGCAAAATGGTGTGTATGTCTCTCGGTTACATTTCGATGAACTAGCAACCTTGCCGTAGAGCTGACTCATGCTCAACCACGAGGCATTTTACGGAAGCTCACGGACAAGCCGATGATAGTATTGAGTCTATGACAAACCAAAACATTCAATTCTCAACTCGTTCTGAATGAACCGGCGGGGCTGTTCAAAATTGACTCTCTATACACTCACAAGGCCCTTGATCCAGGAACAAAAGAGCCTTTTGGGAGGGAGGGTTGTTGCATTCACATTTCCCCCTCGCGTCGCCAGCGCCACGCGGCCGTGGCATGAACTGTGCAGCATCTAGTAACTCTATGTGTGTGGGCGTGTGCGTATGTGTATGTAGCAGACAGGCGCTTCCGGCCGAATGCCAGGAGTACATTCGCACGTTGGTGGCGAATTAAGCTGTTGCTGTAAAGCGGGCCGCCCTGCCAGCCTCGTGTCAATGGTGATCGAACTACGCCAGCATCGACGATGGAAGTATAGCCTTTCTGGCTTGCAAACCGCCGTTTCGTAACGGGCGCTTCTCAGTTCAGCTCAAGGACTTTCGCCGCAACTCCCTGCCAGCACATCTTACCTTGACAAGGCGCTGAGTATCACCATGCATCCAGTATCTAATACGGAGCACTCAAGGCTTTCCTATATCCACCGCTACTTCATCGACCATCAACTATCCATCTTATCGTTGTGGCTCAGCGTCCTGCTACCAATAGCAACTCCATGTAGCGACACCTCACCAGTACCAGCAACAGTATTTTGTCTCCCTGCAGAGGCTGCACACATAGTATTTACACCCCGCCATACTAGGTATGTGGGATAAAAAAAAGGCGGCTACAAAGTACATTGCACGCATAAGGCAACCCACCAATACCAAAAAAAAGATTTGATTGGAAGTCTAGATCCTACCACAATGCAGCGCACAAAACACACCCAGGGGGTCTTCTCCAATAATCTCGTCAAGTAACAGAGGTGTAAAAGGGGTTGCGCAAGTTAATATCGCCCTAGATGGGGTGAAAGGCGAATTGGCGGCTTGTGCAGCTTGCCAAGGTGCGTTGGGCACAATTTACCAATCAGAGCTCGGGATCCGCAGAGCCGCACGCTTGCTCCCAGCGACGAAAGAGAGATTGACAACAATAACGGACAGCGCCGAAGGACAGTAATATGCATATTCTTAGATATGCTTTATCCGCTGGAAGCGTCCAAGTGCAATGCTGATGGGGCCGTCAAAATGGACCCGCATTGCCCTGGGTCTGATCCATGCCACCCGCAGAGCCTCTTGGGGCCGGCCAGCATCGTGGTGTACTTCATGGGGTGTCTAGAATGTGTGAGTTCCGCCGCTGGCAGAGATGCGGAATAAGGCGTTTATACACAAGGTACTAGTATTTACCGAACCGACCACCCAGCAGCATGTGTGGTCCGGTGGTGCCCAGTTGCCTAATACACGCGAGGCTCTATGAGCATGGGTTGTATTCAGCACCCACCACACCACCTCCAGCGCTCGTCCTGGTTTTCAGCCAAAGCCAGCCATAAAAGAATCTTTTAATCTCTCTTCTTTTCCACTTCTTTTTTTCTGTCTCTTAATCCAAAGGCAAAGACCTCGGCTTGTGTTGACAATGTTGTATCAACAACCACCTCACCAAGCTGGACCATTTCTTCAACTACAACTGACTTCCTTTATGGGCGGAAACAACATGCTTGAAGCGGCTCCAAACGACGCTTCTTTTGGGTACGCACTGACTAGCTAGTGGCGATTTTAATATTGCTGGCATACATTTTAATATTACCATGACTAACTCACGATCGAATTAGGTGTTTTGCGGCCGAGCTTGATGACGCTATCGGGACACCGACACAATCAAACCGCAGGAGCTCGCCCCAAATTATGCATTCTGGCTTCTGTGCTACGTTTCAAGATTCCCTTATGATCAACAATGAACAGAGTTCTCAGCCCTCGCCAGAACCCTCGTTTACTCCCGGCCTTGGCCGAAGTGATTCTTCTTCTGATTGGCCTCAGCAGCAGGCCAGTGCGGCCAATAATGACAGCCTGATTTTCAGCTCCCCCATTCAAAGATACAACCCTGGCCAGGACCGCCGCCCGCACTCTACCGTGCAAACACAGATGACGGTATACGATGCACCTCAGTTGTCATACGAACACGGAGATGACAAGCGTCAGCATGGCTTCCAGTACTCAGATAGGAGACATGATCGTTTATACGCTGAGGATCCATTGCCGGCGCAGCTATTTATAAATGGCTTCCCAAACATCCCAGCTACTCTACCCTACAATCCTTTAAGCCAACTACAGACTTCTAGCCTCGGCCAATCTGGCTCAGAAGCCTGTTCTGGACCCTCCTCGAATGGTAGCACTCCCACACTCACTTGCTCTGGCGTCAAGGAGGTGGTCCCTGGTATATTGAACAGTCCCAACGATGCTCACAACGTTCTGTTTAGCGTTGGAAGCTCTGGATTCTATCTCCCCAGTGACATACAACAGTCTTCAAGTTTCGAGGCAAGTAGTGGCTATCACTCGCCAGAAACAGACTCTAGCAGCTTCACACGCTCCTCCTTCGAACCAACAGACAATCGTCATCGGCTTCCGAACAAAAGCGCTTCTCGCAACCGCCGCCTTGCAACCCCTCATCACGGCGCCTTCGAAAATACCATACTACAACGGCCATCCGATAGACGCTCGTCCATTGGGAAACCCCCTTTACAGCCAAAACTTCAGAAAAATGCCGCTGAAGGATCACAAAGGAATAATTTTACCGGACACGAAGTGAAGATGCCGAGAAAAAGTCGCGGGAGGCGTACAAAACCTCTAGAAGACGGAAAGCGGAAGGCTGCGACGAAAAGAAGAAATGAGCGTACCGTGTGCATTGGCTGCAAAATGGCTAAAGTCATTGTAAGTCTAGTTTGAATACTCTTGCTTTATCTGTCCACTTACATTCCTCCCCGTTCTTTTTCTTTTCCCCAATAATTTCCTTATCTTTTCTTTTGTTCTTTTGAGCTCCCTACACTTTACACAACTGCACACACTCTCTCCTACCCGCACAACAACATAGCATATATAACATCACGACTAACCTACGATGTCTAGTGTGAGGGCCGAGAACAGGGAGGAGACTGTGACCGTTGCACCAATAGCCATAACAACGCCCCGAAGCCATTCGTATGTGTTCCTGCGAGCTTTATCGAACTCATTCAGCAAGGTAGCACTATGTTGCTAGGTAAGAGATGAATATATGTTTAAGCATTGGGCCATTTACTGATACTATGTCTAAACTCTAGCCCTTCATACCGTTTATTCCAGTCCATCAGACGGCTTTCGCCAAGCAATTAGCTTACCTTCTAACATTGATGTAAGGCAGCTCCTTAGATCCATCAACGCCTTGCAACAATCCTATGGCGTCATTCGAGCATACGAGGGGCACGATGTGCTTTTCGAGCTCGACCTTCAGGCTTGCTGGACTTTCGTCAACGCCAACTACTCTCCTATATCTCATCCTTTCCGCCAATTCATCGATGGCCTTAAGACCCAGCGGCAAGGTAACTGGAAGTCATGCTTTAGAAACGGCACCGACCCGCTAGCAAACCTGTGTAAAACGCTTTTTACGTGGGACGATGCAGCCCCCTACGTCACGTACGCTATGGTATACAAGATTGATCCTGATGTCGAAGATCGTCTCAACCCAAACAACGAACAGCATGAGAAATTCATCATTGTCGCGGCTCAGCTATATCGAATTATCGGACGCCAATTAGAGCTCCAGTTTTATGACTATCTAAAAAAAGCTCTTGGTAGTCCTAGTATTTGCCGCGAGGTTGTTCTTGAAGTCGGCCACGCTATCATCTCTCTTCGCCGCCGCTTAGCCTCATGGACTCGTCACTGGGACAAGACTCAACACTGGGACAAGACTCAACACTGGGACAATACGTCGTGTGCCCTGATGCCCGAGATTGATTCATACAGCGATAGAAATAACGCCAATAATTATAGCTTTTGGGATGGCTCTATCGTTGCCGAGCGTGTCAAAAACCTCTGTTTGATTCTCTACGTTTATTTTTGCTATATGAGACGGCGGCTTCCCGCAGAGGAACAAATAGGTCTGCATATAATGAAAATGTGGGATCCAGACAATCAACAAATGGTGGAAGAACATCTTCCACAGTACGAGAGTAAAACGGGATTTGAGGACTGGCTGGAGTTTAATAGCGATCAGCCGATATTGGAATTCGGCAGAAAGATTTAAGCGTTTTTGAGATTTATTAATTTGAAAAAAAAAAAAGGAAGAAAAAAGGAAGAAAAGGAAGAAAAAGGAAGAAAAAAAAAA